TGTATGCATACAGTTTCTAATGACTTACTTGTTAGTGATTTATTTACAAAATTAAGTCATCATAAAAATATTACCGTAATTTTATTGTTACAAAATTTGTTTCCAAAAAGTAAATATATGAGAGATATTTCAACTAATAGTACATATATTGTGCTTATGAGTAATCCACGTGAAACATTACAAATTAAAATTCTTAGCTCGCAAATAGATGCAAATAATTCTAAATTTATATATGATAGCTATATAGATGCTACTAAAAACAAACCGTACAGTTATTTATTTTTAGATTTTAATCAACACACATCAAATGATGTAAGAGTACGTACAAACATTTTTCCAAATGAAACACCAAAATACATTTATATTAAATCAAAATAAATTAAAAAATATTAAAAATTGTGAAAACTCTCTGAAACAAATCGTTAATACTAAATCTACAAAACAAAGACAAAAGTTAATAAAATTAGCTAAAATCTGTGTCATAAATTCAATATCTGAAATAGCTAAAAACTGTCTGCATGGTAACTTACCAATAAAAAATTGTGATTTTAAAAAATTAAATAATAATAAAAAATTATTAAGAAAACTTGCAACAAAGACTTCAGTTATAAAACGTAAAAAATATCTTAAACAACAAGGAGGAAATATTTTGCTGAATATATTGATTGCTTCTGCTTTAAAGTTACTTTACAAATCTATATATAATGAGTTTCAAAAAAATGCAAATTGTTCAAAATGAGAATAAACATCAAAATGATATAAGTAACTTAGTTAAATATCAAACACCAAAAAATTTTTTAGTAATGAATGACTTGGATAAAGAAATAGAATCTATATTATCTAGCAATATTGATGAAAGAATTAAAGCTAAGTTATATGCAGAAGCTCTAAGAAAATTTTTGATATTTAAAAATAATATCGATCAAACAGAGGAAAAAGCATGCCTTGATATAACAAGTGCTGTAATAGCTTCCAAATCAGATGATGATGATAAACAAAAAGAAATTATAAACGTAAAAACTCCAAAAATTAAAACTCCAAAATTTAAAGAGATTGAAGCAGATTGTGACATAACCCCAGATATAAATAAAAATAAAAGAAAATATACTTACAATTTTAAAGCACCTAGTAAAAAATTAAAAGAACGGGAAGAATATTTAAACATAACACCTAAAGGATTATTTAAAAGAAATTATAAGACAAATGATAAAAGTTTAAAAAAATTTTAAAAGTAAAATCATTTATAAAAGATCTACGATCCCAACGAGTCGATATATCTCCAAAAAATACAAATTTAGTTAAAAAAGATAAATATAAAGAACATATGAAAACACCAGCAAGTTTTCGTTCTAAAGTTATACGTGCTAAGTACCCTAAAAATGTTAGACAAGCCATTAACTGGGAAAAATATTAATCATATACTCAAAAAATATTATTATAATACAAAATATTATTCTAGTTTTAGTACGCCTCTTAAACTTTATAAATATGTTAAAAACATTTATTCTAATATAACATTAAATCAAGTTAAACAATGGCTTTTAAATCAATCGACTCATACAGTTCATCGATATCCAAAATTTAATTTTAAACGTAATCCAATAGTGTCTAAACATATTGATGAGAATTGGCAGGCAGATTTAATTGAAATAACAAAACCAAAATCGAATAATAATTTTCGTTATATATTAATGATTATTGATAACTTATCAAAATATGGATGGGCTATACCATTGAAATATAAAAATGCTGATGTGGTTAAAAAAGCAATAATTTACATAATGCAGTCATCTAAACGTAAACCAATAATATTGTCTACTGATGCAGGAAGAGAATTTACAAATAAAAAATTAAAAAAATATTTGCGATGGAGAAAAATTAAACATTTAATATTACGTGAYAMATCTAAAGCWRKAACAGTTGAACGTTGGAATAGAACRATAAAAGAAAAAATTCAAAAATATTTGTTTTATAATAAAACTGATAATTTTATTGATGTTTTGAATAATATTATTTTAACATATAATAATACAGTGCATAGTCGTACAAAATACAAACCAGTTGATGTCACTAAAGAAAATGAAAAATATGTTTATAATAATTTATATCATACAAATATTATAAGAGAAAAACAAATATATAAAATTGGTGACAAAGTTAAAATTAAATTACTCAGAAATATTTTTGATAAAGGGTATTTAGAAAATTATAGTACTGAAATATTTACAATTCATAAAATTTTATATACTTCACCTTTTTATAAATATAAAGTGCGTGATAAATCAGGAACAATTATTCGTGGTTCGTATTATGCAAAAGAATTAATTAAAATTAATTAAAATGGATTATTTCAGAGAAAACGAAAATCAAATTTTTCATTTAACAAATGATAGTGATAAATGTGAGCTTAATGTAAATTTTAATGAAACAATAAAATACAATGTACCGATGGAATGTGCTTTGGCAGAATTGATAATTCCTAAAAAACTAGATCAAAAGGATTTATTAAGTGATTTGGAAATAACTTTTAATTTAAAATGGATAATGGATTTATCAGATGATGAAATTGATGTAGTAAATTCAGTAATAGATTTACTTGAAACAACAGATAAAACAGTAAATTCAATTAATGTACTAGAAAATGAAAATTATAAATATGGTAACCATTACATTGAAAAGATAAACTTAAATCATTCAACAACTAAACATTGGCGTGAAAATTTGAAACAGCTGATTAGTGATTTAAACGTAAAAGCTAATAACTTAATAAACGAAAAATATAAAGAAATATTATATATGAAAGACTGTGAACCTAGTGATTTAAATAAAAAATGGATTATAAATCCATTTGAATTTTCGTTTGAGAAACATATATATAAATTAAAAAATGGAAATTTTGCTATTGATTTAAAAGATCCATTTATACCCAAAACCAGTGAAATAATTGCACCAACCGACAAATATAAAACCTATAAATATTATAGTTTAAGAGGTTTATTTTATTTAGAATTTAATGATAAATTAAAAAAATTGCTAGGATTTAATAAATACAATATTGCAAATATAAAAACTAGTTTAAATATATTGAAAAAGCCAATTCCTACATCAGAATCTGAATCAGAATTGAATATATTACGTAATAACATTGATGACATTAAACATTTTGTAACTGACGTGCAGCCAATTAAAGTCTCTCAAACTATTAATTATTTTCACATATATTGTGATATAATAGAAGAATCTTATTATAATAATAGTAAATTAAATTTATTACGTGTCATACCCACAGCAATTAGCGAAAAAGATGACTTTATGAAATTTGATTTTGATATTAAACATTTTGTACCATTAAAATTTAATGAATTTAATTCAATAAAGCTTTATATAAAAGACGATAGTAACAATGATTTACTACTTAGATATGGTAAAATGATAGCTATATTAATAATAAGACCACAAAAATTGTTTTAAAAATGTTATCATCCTATAATAATAAATTTTATTTATATTTAACAAATAAAAATAATAACTGTGAAATAAATTATTATTTTAATCCACCAATAAAATTTGAAAATAATATGGAATGTGCACTAGAAGAACTAATAATTCCTAAAAAGTTAAGTGAAAAGCAAATTGTTGATAATTTAAATATCCGATTTCATATGAAATGGGTTATGGATCAAGATATAAGACATATTGGTGATCATTCAGAGATAAATTTTATGTACATACCAACAAACACAAATTATACTAAAGGTGATCATATAACAATTGATTACAATTTAGATAAAATTAATTGGGTAGATAGTTTTAAAAAAACAGTAACAGAAATTAATGAAAAAATCGAAGATTTAATACTTGAACGTTTTCCACAAGTTTATTTTTTACCTAATTACCATCCTACATATTTATCTAAAAAATTAGATAATTTAGGAAAACGTGCAAATCAATGGATAATAAACAAATTATCATTTAATTTTAATGAATCTAATAATCAATTTTCATTGACAAATGGTAATTTTGCTATTTATTGTAAAAATATAAAAGGTAATGATTATGATCACAATTTAAAAATTCAATTACCTGACCCAAATATCACCCCAACTGAATTTATCGCTTTTTATAAATTACGTGGTATTGTTTATTTAGAATTAAACGATACATTACAAAAATTATTAGGAATAAAAGATTACAATACACTTAATCTACCACAAACAATTAGATTAGGGGGTGGGTATTACGAAGGAAACCCATCATATATTAGTGAAGAAATATTTAGAAAAAATATGGAGATTGTGCAGCCAATTATATCCAATACTAAACCAGTAGATATTAACAATACAATTCATTATTTACAAATATATTGCGATATTGTTAAACAATCCTTTTTTAATAATAAAAAAGTTAGTTTATTAAGAGTTATACCCACTTACATAAATGAAAATGATAATTTTATGAAATTTAGTTTTAAACAAAAAAGTTTTCTACCAATAAAATATAATGAAATTCATTCTATACAATTAAAAATAACTGATGATAATGATAATAATTTGTTAATAAATGAAGGTAATATATTAGTATTACTTATATTTAGACCTAAGCGACTATATAGTTAGTTAAGTTTTTGTCTTTGACATGTTCACATTAAATAAAAATGCATGATTACACAAAATACTATTGTAATCAAGCAAAGCAAACTAATCAAACTGGTGCTGGACAGCCAATACAAGGCATAAATCAATTAGAACCTAATAATTTTGACTTTTTACCGTTTAAAACAAAACCAATTTCTACTAATAAAATTGCTAATAAACAATCTGGTTTAAAACGTAAACCAAGAAATAAACAGCCACGTCATCGATCTAGGAAAAAAACTACTAAAAAAATAATTAAACGCAAGTCTAAAAAATCTTGTCGTCGTAAAATCAAATCAAAAAAATTGGATATATTTATGTAAAATGAATGAAATATTAAAAAACGAACTTGATTTATTTCAACGTATGCCATATCAAGGTGCCATTGAAGGTTCTCAAATAATACAATATCGTCCAAAAGCGCCTATTGCTGATACAAATACTATAGAGTTTGAAATCCAGGCATCTACAGATGAATACATTTATATGCCTGATATTTTTTTATGGTTAAAATACAAAGTAATAAATCAAAATGGCAATGATTTTGCAGATACTTTAGGAACTGAAGATAATTATAGTCCTGTGAATTATGTACTTAACACTGCATTCGATCAATTAGCAATATATTTAGGAAATACTTTAGTGTCTCAAGCATCTAAAAACTACAATTACCTATCATTTATTGAAGCTGTAACTAATATTACTAATATATCAAATCAATCAATTAGTCCAAGTGGATTTGTTACATCATATTGGAATAGTGATTATGAGTATGACAAACCTGACCCTATTTTGTTAAAAATGGTACGTAAAAGTACACCAGTGTCTTTGTATGGTAAATTACATGGTCCTATTTTTACAACTAATCGATTGTTAATTAGTGGTGTACCAATAAAATTGATTTTTACAAAAGCACCGCCTTGTTGGCCTGTTATTGGAAAAGATGGATGGTGGACAAATGATACATTTCCTCATTTAAAAATAATGGACATGAGTTTGTTTGTAAGAAAAGTAAAAATTGCACCAAACATTTTAAATGCTCACGCGCAAGCATTGCGTTTATCACGAGCAATTTATCCTATTAAAAGACCATTTACTAAAGTTGTAAATTTAAGTGCTGGACAATCATCATTTAATATTGATAACGTAATAATTGGACAACTGCCACATAAATTAATTTTAGGATTAGTTACAGAAATTGCATATAATGGCAACAATCGTTATGACCCTCTAAAGTTTTCACATAATAATCTTACTTATTTAGCATTAAATGTTAACGGAGAAATGTTACCTAAGCTACCTTTTCAACCAAATTATGATATACACTATTATACTCGAGAGTATCACGATTTTCTATTAAATATTGGTGCAAATGCAGTAAATTTTCCTCCACCTATTGATTATACAAATTATAAAACTGGTCGATGTTTATATGCATTTAATTTAAATAGTGATTATAGTTTTCCAGAAAATTACATAAATGTACCAAAAAGTGGTTATATAAATATCGATATTAAATTTAAACAAAATTTAGAAAACGCATTAAAACTTATAGTTTATGCTGTTTTCGATAACACAATTGAAATTGATGAAAATAGAAACGTTACTGTAGATTACTCATAATCATGTATACAAATGAAATAATGAGTTATATTAAAAAAGATAAATATGTTTCAAAAGAATTTTGCGGTGTTAAATCATTAGACATGCTACCAAAATATAAAATTAAAAAGCCTTGTGGATTTATTGTTAATACGCAAAAATCAACGTTTCCAGGAGAACATTGGGTTGCAATATATTTACCTAAGACGGGACCAATAGAATACTTTGATTCATTTGGATTTCCTCCAAAACATAAAGAAATAATTAATTTTATTAAAAATAATGGAGACAATTATATATATAATAAATTTCATATACAAAATATAAATAGTTTAACTTGTGGAAAATATTGTTTATTTTATATAATCTTACGTTCAAAAAAAGTTAAATTAAAAAATATTATAAATTTTTTCTTTAAAAATACTAAATATAACGAATATATTATTTTCTCTATATTTAAAAATAAATAAATATTTTAAAAATAAAATCATGAAAACTGTTAAATTTAATGATAATATTCAAGTAAAAATTATGTATGTTTGGCCATATGCCTCTAAGCAAGCTAGAATATCTAACTGGCATTGGATTGTATGGGACAGACGTCTTCATGAAACTAAGTGTAAACTTATTGGAGAAAATATATCGTACGCTTTAGAAAAAGAATTTAGAGATAAAATATTTAATGAACGTTTTAATAAAATAATTTAAATATAAAATAAAAATTAAATTTTAGCAAATATAAACTTTCTGTTTTATTTCTATTAAACAATTACAAATTGGACAATTTGATATTTTTAAATTACAGTCTGTACAAGTTAATTGATGACAACATGGCAACAGTACACTATTTATTTCATTTACAAAACATATTTTACATAGTAATTGATCATTAATACATTTAATATTTTTTTTACATATTATTTGATGATTTATACTTTTATTAGTAATTTTTAAATTATTAATTTTTGAAATCAATTCTTCGAACTTGGGTAAAAGTACTTTGTTTCGCTTTTCACTTTCATGTATTTCAACACATGTTTTGATAAATGATTGACTTTTCTTTTCGCTGAGATACTTGCATGTCGGGTAATATTTTGCATGTTCTATCCATGGATCATCACCTGGTTCCCAACAATAAAGTCCWCCATTACATTCAAAGCATTTCATAATATCTTCATGGCCAACATAATATAAACCAGCATCTGCAAACCGATTGAAGTTGTTTGATATTAATTCATCTAAAACACAATTTTCAAATGAAGAAAGTCTATTTTCAAATAAATTATAATTAATATCTAGTGAATTCATTTTTAACTGTTAGAATAATGCATTTTCGCCTTCTTAAATACTATTTAATAATGTAAAAAAAATAATAAAATTATTTATTTGATTTTTATTGGTTGTTTATTTAAGGTAAACATGTTTATAATAAAGTGAAGGCTAACAACTTTTACTGTTATACATTATTATAATATAGTATAGTGTTTAATGCAATGCAATGTAATTATTATTAATATAATAATTGTATAAATTTTTCGTAGAGCTTATACCATTCAATTGTTTAATTTTTTCGTAGAGCTAAGTAGACATAAATGTCTATTTTCGTAGAGCTTGTAAAAGTATACAACACACATTGTTTATCATTGAATATAATATTGATATAACTAATAGTCTTTCATTAATTTAACAACAATTATTGTTTCAATTATTATCATCACATTTGTTAGTTGACAATCACTTGAGTTGACATCTAAGACAATGGTCAGGACATACGATACGGAAGAAGACGTGAAAGGCGACGGCCGGTCGTGTAGTGCCATACGTGAAGATCTTAAGTATTGCATTAATGTTACCGATTGTGTCCGTAAGGTATCAACAAATTTGGATAATTTTTATAAGAAATAGATTGTAATTTTGACCATCAATTATATCTCTTTACTTACACAACAACAACAACAAATAGGAGCGCAAAACTCCGCGACAATGTTTTCTTGAACATCACCCGTCTATTCCCGATGAATGTCACCAATTGAAACAATTGCTGTTTGATTGCAAACGAAGTCTGGTCTGTAATTTTTCCATCAATACTATCACTAATATATTGTTAACATTTCATTCATTTTATTTTTGTTCACACATTTAGGTTGACTTCAGGACCCGATTCAGGGGTCGCAAAGGATATTCAGGGATTGATATTTAAAATAATAGTTATAAAAAAATATAATTAAAACCTATTAATAGTCACTTTAAAATTTCGTTTTTAAATTCATTTTTATTAGTCTTTTAAAATAAAATTATTATAATTATTATTAAAATAGCTGTCATTTTGTTGACCGAAAAAAATATCGTTGCATAAGATTATTAACAACAAAAAAAACTTTATGAATAAATAAAGAGTATAATTTAATTACCTATTTATTAAAAGAAACAAAAAAAATATCAAAAAAAACCACAAAAAATATCAACGAATTTATATCATATATATATATGACTAGAAATGTATTTCTCAATTAAAATATATATAGTGTGTACTTATTTACTGAGCTTATGGTAAATCGTAGGGTAATGAGTGGATACAAAAATAATTAACAGTAAATAATATATTACATTCAAATTAATGTTATATTACGGTAATAGAGTAGGATTGGGAACAATAATTTTGTTGTTATCAATTAGCACTAAAATGTTATGCTTATAATATACTGTACAATATGAGTAAAATTGCAATTTTTATTTCTTATTATTTGTTTTTTTCTTAGACTTGGGTGATGTCGACTGAAAGACACTCGAAGCTGACATCAGATTCTCAATGTATTGACCCAATACTTGATTCTCGGACTTGAGTTTCAGGTTCTCCTCTTTGACCGAATCGACTCTTTGAGATAAATCTGTCGATATTAGAGAAAAACGTATTTTTTAATTAAATCAAAATTCAACATTTGATAGGAAGGAGTGGATACTGACCGTCGAGTGTGTTCTGTAGTTCGAGTACTTGTGTAATGAGTCGTTCCTTTTCCTCGATCTCATCTGCATTTAAATCCGGATCAAATGCTATGATAAAGACAACAAATAATTATTATTGTTTTCAAATAATTATAACCTATAAAAACTATACAATTAGGTTGAGGGGAACTATCGGTTCCATTAGTATAGACAGAGGGTATCGATTCAAAGCTTTGTCCGTCCATTTGATATCTCTGGGCTTCGCATAACTTTTCTTGACTTTGTGTCTGATTAGAGTCATCGCTAATATCGTCGGGTGCGTCCTCATCGGCCAGTGGTATATCATTCAATTGATCAGCTATACGATCGCTAGTGGCCGGTCTCTCATCCATAGCTGAGACCGTTTATTGTATATTATGTTTGCAATACTTAGTTTCAAATGCTGTCATATGATATAATTAATATAAAAAATGATACTATAATTGATATATTGATGACATTTTTTGACTAATCAATCAGTGATTGGGAGTTATTATTAGATGGGTTTTTAGACTAACGGAAGCATCAAATTTAAGTCAGTTTTATCTTACATTTATTTGTAGTTATTAAGCAATTTATACAACAAATGAAAATATATGTGATATTTGTATTAAATAAATGAAATCTAATATGATTTATGTCACTAAATAAACTACATATTTGTTAATTTTAACGGTATGTATGTTTCATATATATGTAATATAATATATATATATATATATACTGTAATACTGTACAAGTGTTTAACATGTATTTAATATAAATTGGTGTTAAACGACTCGACTCAACGATTTGCTAATTTAATTAAAGCATATTTTTATGTGAAAAATAATATATCATAATTGAAGGTAACTTTTTCATCAGTTTTTTTACTGTTAAAGCAATTGGTGCTAAAAACCGATAATTTGTCGTAACATTAAACAAACTCCGAAAAAATGTGTTAACTCTGGGAACTAACAAAATTGATAATAATATTTAATTAAAAAAAACAACTATTGATTTGTTTTGTATATAACAATGTATGTATTGTATTATAACATATAGACTATAAACTATGCGATAATATAGCATATCATTTATCAAATAACCCGATAGTTACAGCAATTGATTAATTGATATTCAATGTAACGACAAAATTGTATAATAAATACTGTAGTTATGTATCGGATATAATATTTGATATTTAAATTTAATATATATATATATATATATATCTTAAACAGTATTATATGAATTTGTATTAATAACACACATATGAATATATTGTTAAAAATTATTTAAAAAATCAATATTTAAAGTCATTTATTACTTACAATAAAATGTGATGAAAAATGATGACAAAACTCGTGTTCATTGATTGATTGCAGTCATTATAAACACAAAATTGATTTTATAATCACTTTGATATTTGACAACAAAATACAGCATTCATTCAATCAATGACTCAGTTATGCAATCAAACGGTTTGCTTATGTGATGTTTGTTGTTGTTTTCAGTGCTATCGGTGCCCGACTACAGGTGTCTATAGTTGATCGGTGTTTGTAAAAGAGAGAGAGAGAGAGAGGAGAGACTGTCTGTATATATACTGTATGAGGTTAGCCAACGATTGCATCAATTGGTCGGATGTGTGACACCAATGGATATGTTATGCTATGTTGTGTTGTGTTGTGTTGTGTTGTATGAGTCAGTCAACAGTCAACGTATGCATTGCTATGCAGTTTATAAGTGAGAGATATAGCTATAGCTGTATAGCTATTCAAACACATAATAAATTGTGAGCCACTTTTGACACCAAAAAATTGATACGATATGTCAGATGAGATTAAAAATGTTATTTTATTTTTATCATTATTTATATAAATATATGTATTTTGTTTTTATTTGCAACTTTTTTCTCCAAAACACAACAAAATTATTATTAGTATATATTTGATAGCTTTAAATCTGTGATAAAAATTTGTTTTAACCAAAAAAAATAAATAAAATTTATTAGAAAAATCTTCAATTAGTAAATTAAAGATCAACTAAAATGTTTGATCAAAATCATGTGTTTTTTAAATAATAAGTTATATATATAAGTGTCGTTAACCAGTAATGATTAAGTAGTGGTGATAATCAAAGTGATAACTAATTTAATTAAAAACACAAATTGTTTTGACATTAGTTTCAGTGTTGACATTATTTACAAACATAATACAGTAATAATAATAATAATAAAAACATTTGAATTTACTATTTAATTGATAACTTTTATATTATTTATTGATTGCCACACAATAATCAACTGTCAGTACAAACACCGATATTGTGATTAATATAATATTATTTATATATTTAGTATTTTTTTAATGATACTAAAAAGCGATGACAACCAAAAAGGTTTTTATTGTTTATATTTTTTATTTGGAAAAATATTTATAATTTTTTTGGTACAAAAATTTGCAATTAACTGTCTCTCTATGTCTTTAAGTCAAATACCATTAACTTGAATGTCATTATCGTTAAGCTTATCATCAATTTTCTGTTTGTTATCTCTCTCTCTATTTCTCTCTTTATTTTTTCTTTGACTACAGAAATATATTTACACATAAGATATGATATTATCAGATCCTATCAATTAGTAGTACAATGCCTATCATATTTATGATATGATTGAATATCATATTATGTTTGTCATATAATTATTATGATTATTATTATAGGCCATCAATTATATTATTGAATTATAAGTAGTAAAGTACTATTAGTATTGTTATCGAGAGATTATTGATATTTATACGATAATATCATTAAAATGATTATTACAGTATTATTACTATCATGAATACAATTATTATTATTATTACACTTTCTTATAATAATTAACTAAATATATGATATATTTGTTGTCCAGTTATCAATACTTAAGAGGAGAGCGGATAGGGATAGAGGAGAGTTGGTGTGCGGTGTGAGCGCCGGTACTACAGCTGACGGAAGAATATTCTACAAGAAGTAAGTGACAAAACTTATGTCTCACATGTTTTTGTCTGTCTTTCCTATTTAGTCCTCATTTGCATATAATTTGCGTAATTTTTGTGTACATATCTTACATAAAAAATTATCTTTTAAGTTGTATATATATATATATATGTGACTAATATATAATATCTACACACATGTGTACAATATGTGTGTTGGTATGTGTTTTAAGTACTGTATAATAAATAACAAAGTATTAGTTAAGACTATATTTAGTCGATGTTATGTTGTTATGTTGTGTTGATTGCAGTCACCAAACAAAGACAACCTCATGGCTGCCACCCATCGAGTCTTGGATGGCATCCGATGATCACTGTCTTCCCTATGGCTGGGAGTCAGCCGTCGATAAAGAAGGCAAACCTTATTTTATAAAGTGAGTTATAATTTGCTTTATTTGTTTTAAATATATTTGCAAATTATATTATATAATAGTTGCATAAATTTTGGCTCATATTTTTTGGATTTAAAATAAATTATCTAAAAAGATTATTTATATAATAAAAATAGTGTAATTTAAATAAATATTTTAGTAAATATATAAAACATTTTAATTTTATTACCGGTATAAATATTGTATACTATCGTAATGCTTGCAAACATTTTTTTCTAAATAACTTTATTTTATTAAATTTATTTAATTTGATTATATATATAATTTTATATATAGACATTATTATTATTATCAAAAATGATATTTTTATGTGTTAAATGTGCGGTTTGCGTCAAATATTTATATATAATTTATATAATATAAACTTTAAAACTATATACAAAGTTCTTATACTATAATAATACAATATACTGTATTATATTATATTAAATTACTGTAGATTATACTGTACTATTATATTAATAATATTGATTGATAATATAGTAAATTAATAATATGCAAATTGATTATATTATAGTTATGATAAGTGTAAAGTCAACAAATGAAAATCATACTAAAAATTCACAAAAATGTAATATTTTTATTTTAATATTATTATGCATTTTAAATAAAATAATAAAAACAATTATTGCATTAGTTGTATCATATTTCTATAAATAATCCTATTATAGAATATAAAGAAAAATAGTCGAAATTAGTTTAATTTTTGAGATGATATTAATAATTACAGTATATTTAATGAGCTTATTATTATAATAATAATTGAATTTTTATTTTAAAAAATGAAATTAAGTTATAATCTTTAAATTCAGTAGTTGTATATATACTGTATATATAATTTTTAAAAATGGCAATTTCTCAAAGTAGAGGTTTTTAATTACTTAATAATTTAGTTTAAATGATTTATCATTTAATTTGTCTTCCCATCAAAAACATGTGTTTTCATTTATAAATTGAAACTCCAGTTAAGTTCTTTATTTTCAAGTTTTTAAAAGCATTTATACAATATATATATATATAAGTTATATATGAATGTCTTTGAATTATTTCTTTCTTAAAATACTATTTTTATCATTCACTCACTCACTCACTCACCCGCTCACTCTCTGTCCCCTTTGCCATTGCCTGTCATTCACCCTTACTCTCCCCTACCCCCACCCCCACCCTCTCTCTCCTTACACTCAGTCATTCAGTGATCCATTGAATGCAAGTTATTCGTGGCTTTTCAATGAAATATTGATATGTGTTTCCGTCCGTAAAGACATAACGACATATAATCTTTTATTTTGATTTAGTTATATACCGATTATTAAGCAAATCCAGTGGAATAAAAGATAAAATATTGCTTTTATTATTTTTTTAGATTTATTTTCTATATATATATCTTATTTTTAGACATAACCAGTTCAACAAATAAAACAAACAAATATAAAAAATTATATAAAAATATATGAAAATTAATTTCGTTTGTGTGCTTATTGTGATTATTAGATGGCATATTAGCAACAAAAATAATAAACAAATTTGTAATAATAATAAAAAACATCTAGTACAATAATTACATTGTTGTAAAAATTTTGTTTATATAGTTTGTTATGCTAAATTGATTTTTATATTAAGTTTTTAGATGATAATCTTACACTATTATAATTTATACCCATTATAAATATTTTTAATTTATGCGTAATTAATAATAATATTTACCGCATTTTATTTATTATGTTGTTTTATAAAAAAAACCAGTATTAAAGTTTGGTAAAGTTTTTTTTTTAACTTTCAAAAACTTTCAAAATGATTTATTTTATTTAATATTATTTTTTTTATTTTATTAAATATTTCCGGCATATTATAACAAAAATAATTTATATTTTAAATAAAAGTGAAATTTGTTATTTTTTGTAATTTGTAATTTGTTTCTACATTTTTTGTTATAGATTAATTTATAAGGTAATTTATAATATTTGACTATTATCTTATGCTATATTATAATTTACAATAATATATTGTAAAATTTAAAACTTATTTGATAATATAAATAATTTTATTTAATAAAATTATTAAAATTGATAAAAATAAATTAACGATTTCCCATTAGATTTTAATTATATTAATTAGAATATTGTTTGATATCTTATAAAAAATGTTTTTCTATTTTAAATGTAATTTACGTTAAATTATGTAAATTATAATTATTAAATATATTAACATACGTAATTGTAATAAAGTGTAAATTGTTTTTTTAAAATAAAATAAAATATTGTTATAAACAATTAAAACAAATTTTGTTTTCTATAATATATATATATAGTTAGTGATTATTTAATATTTTTCGGTCAATTTGTTGAGCTTTTCTTACATTGAAAGATGGCGTCAATATATTGGATCAGATTATTGTCTGACTTGCATTCAATGTGTTTATTGTTTGTTACAATTCATTTATTTTTTGCAAAATTAACTTAATATAAAAGACTAAAATAAATACATGCAAAAAATTTATTTGATTAAATGCTTAATATTAGGACAAAAAATTAATTACAAGAAAAATAAATGATGATTTTTTTAAATTTAATTATCTCAATAATAGATAAGTCAACACTAAATGTTTTACATTGAATTTTCAACAAAAAAATTGTCATATACGGTATTTGACTATTACTTAATAGGAAATAAGCCTTGATAATAGTTTTTATTATTGTTTATTATGAGATTAGCTATTATGATATTAATTATAAGCTGATTAAATTGGAAATTTTTAAAAATTTCTTATCATATATTTGGTTTGACAGATAAAAAGCAATAAAAAACTAAACACTAAATACTTATTTTTATTAACTTTGCATTAATTTGCATTAAACTATTTACTCAACTGATAATTATATTATCAAAATTAGTATTTTTCTTAATTAATAATAAAAATAATAATTGTAATTATAATAAATTGCCCACATATTAAATACAGTACATTATTTCTATTTATTGTAATGATAATATTTTTTTTTATTATTAATTTTATTTTTGGCCTCAACATAAATAATACATTTTTATTAAATATATATTTTTTGTATTTTTAATAACTTTTTATTTTTTGACAAAATTAAACATAACAATTATTTCTCAATTTTGCCTTATATTCATATATAATTTATTATCAATTTGCATATTATTGTATTAATTAGTTTTCTCTAAAAAGTAATTTTTCTACGATATCTGACACATCAGTGTTTGTCGTCTATTGAAATATGACATGAAATGTATGTAAATTTTCTCTCAAATAGCTATTAATATTTGCATTGTTATTCAAGTATGACTTCACTTAATTAAAAGCATTATTTCCTGTATTGTATTGTTTTGCAGTATTATATATATATGTCATCTTTTGACTCATAACTTAAGACAACTAACATCCTTATAATTTCATTACATTTTACCGCATATTAAATACCAAAAATACATACATAACATACACACATACACAAAGTTTTCTAACATTTATAAAAATAGTATTATTAAATTAAACACTAATATATTTCATATTTAGATACAATAAATATTTTTTATCTAATGAAAAATCAAACTCATAAGTAAACTGAATTATACTAGCAGATGCATGTTAATAGTGAAAATGTGATAATATTTAAAAAGTGTATGTACTGTATGTATGTATATATGCTTTTAAACTACAATTTACAGCAAACAATAGGTTATTTTTTTATTATTATTATTACTATTATAAAATAAAATTGTATATACGATTAATTTTGAAGCGTGATATTTGTGTTCAAATATTTGTATAGAAACACATTCAAACATATGTCATGATTTTATTTTAAATTATGCAGTTTTACTGCTATTGTAATGGTTTTATTTATGCGAAAAAATCAAAGTTTTTTTTTATATTAAGCGCAATTGTTTTCAAATTATAATCTATTATTTCAGTATTGAAAATGTAAGAAAATATTTGCAATAAAAAACTTAACACATATTTTTATTAAACAATAAATAAATGAATTTTACTTATATAGATATTAGGATTTTACTTTGTAAATTGCAATCAATATTTTATTTAATAAATAATTTATACCTCTATATAAGGTTATAAAAAATTATTTGTGAAAATTTTTTGTTTTTTATTGAATATAAATTATAATATTTAGCTTAAATTTTTCATACATATTAAAGTTTATTCACGTTTCATAAAATTCATGTAAAATTTTTTAAATATTGTATATACTATAGTTAAATTACTATTTTGTCAGCAAACTTGTCTATTGTATGCTTCAATTCATATATAAGTTTATATATATTAGTTGATTGTATTTTTGTATAAAACATTTGACTGACTATTAAATGCAAATCAGTTAATGTCTAGACTCTAGACATTTAAAGATGATTTTTTGTTGTTGTAAATAATATCTTATTTTAAATTTTTAAATTGAAATTAATTAATAATTGATTCTGTGGTTTAATGTTATGATTCAAAAATTTATATCTTAAAATGTTTAGACAAATAATTTATTTATAATAAAATATAAAATATCTCCAGTTTTAAGATATTTGGGTCAAACATTTTATAATATCTCTCAAATATAATGTTTTTTATTGTTTGATTGACATATGTATCATTCATATAACATGTTTTATCATTATTAGTGGTTAATAACTGTTTATATTTACATCACATATGATCTTATATCTTAAGCGATGAACATTAAGTTGAAAATAAATACAAATTTGTGATACAAAGTGGAAAACTCATTCATTTACACACAAAAACTAGCAAAATGTTTATATTATTTATATTTATTTTTTATGATAATTCATATTTTATTTCTCTCTCGAAAATCTTGTTGAAAATATAAAATTTTTATATAAATTTGTTTAATTTTAATGTTTTTATTTTGTTTTTCAAATGATAACGACATTTTAACACAAAAATTATCTTTATATTTCATTTTAAAAAATAATAATGTTTTGCATTTATGAAAGTTTATTTAAATTTAAAATACATAAAATATTTTAAAGTATTTAAATATTGTTAGAAACTGTATAAATAACTAAAAATATATACAAATATTAAAAATAACATTTTTCTAATCTCAACCTTTTTTTTTGCTTATTTTGAATTTTATTTGTGTATATTTTGATAATAACCATAAAAATGCTAACATTTTCAGGGGTTTATATATAATGTGTTTTTATTGAATAAAATTTAATAGAAAAAGATTAATAAAAACTTGTCTAAAAATTTAGACTTAAAAATAGTTACGCTATATCGTTATATATAGTAATATATTATATGCAGTATACACACTGTATACTGTATTTTTTATTATTATTATTTCTATATGCTATACAACAGTATATTTTTAGTCTATTTGATAATCAATTGTTATACAACTCTATATTAAAACAAGTTTTTAATTATTTAATAGCTGTGTTATTATGTTATTACGTAGTTATTATTATTATTATTATTATTATTATTTCTATATTTAGATTATTAATTTAGATTGTTTTATAATTAATTATTTAATAATTATTATTATACTACTATTTTTATAACTGTGTGTAATTTAGACTTTATAATCAAAAAAAAATATATATTAAAAATAATATTTAGTTTAAAGCTTGATTGCAATCCCAGAACCTCCTGAACTGATGGCTGCACTGCAAACCACGTAGTAATGATGAGCATAGCATTCAAATGTTTGAAGTGTTTATCAATGTTTACGCTATGTTATAAATGTTGTTGCGCTTACCTGCACAACATCAATACAATGCTTAACAGTAAAGGAGACATTAAAGGGTCCATAGAGTTAGCACACATGTGCCAAAAAGAGTTTGTCAATGACTTACATTGAAAGCTATGCAGCAAAGAGAGAGACACACACTACTAGTTTAGTCGTTTAGTACGCTTATTGTGTGCCCTTTAAAGTGTGTGAACCAACAAAATTGATATCATTGTATAACACTTGTATAGTTTATGTAAAAAAACTTATTATCTATTAATATCATAGAGTATATTATATAATATACTGTATAATACTTGTATCTAAAAGCTTGAGAAAATTTTACTAATTGTTATCTCATAAATAATTTTGACAAAAAAATGTTTTGTATGATGTTTTCATGTTTGTAAGTTACTAACCAATCTTGTTATATCATTATCATTACGACAATATAAATACATATAATATAAATGTTGATTGTTTTTTATTAGAGGTCAAAAACTTAAATAGTTTTTTTCAAACTTAATAACCCAATAATCTATGCTATTTGATTATCCAATTGTGTAATTATCCAAAATATTTTTACATTATATCAATTCCTATTTGTATTTTAAAGTTTTATTTATTATTATTATTATTATTTGTAGAAAATTATAGTATACAAATTACTATTAGTATTGTAAACTATAAATTTCCTAGTATAGTTAAATGTGTACAAATTTATTATAATATTGAAATTTTATTCTATACACTATAACTTATACTTAATAATTTTTTATTTATTAAAATTTTAATATAAACAAGTTGAATTTTTATTGAAATATCAATTCATATTGAAAATATGATATACATCCGTTGTTATAAAAATAAATTTTTATCATAAAGTGCTCAATATAAATAACTATTAAATTATATATTTATTTTATTCCGATAAATATTTATTTAGTACTATATATGTTGAAAATATTTTATTTTATTTAGAGGGAAAAATCGGTTGTTTGCTTAATATTGAATATGTATTGCAAATAAATTTACATATTGCAGGCGGGGATCAAAATAAAATTCAATATATTATAATATAACATCAATTATACCTCTTTTTTCTAACACAAAATCTGTTATAAGTTTTTGTTGTATGAGTTGAATAAAAAAATCAATTTTTCATGTAATATATAATAACTTTTGCATTGCATAAAAACAATTAAACTTGTATTAACTATGCTTTGATGTATGCCTAATGATATATACAAACTATTTGTTTGCTTAATAATGTTATTATTATTAATGACAAATTTTTTGTAATACTTTTTTATGATCGACAGTCACGTCAACAAAACGACGACATATGAAGACCCGAGAAAAGACTTGGAGGAAGAGCCGCCACCCGTTCCCCGAGTAGTTGAACTCATTAGGGATGAGAAGTTGAACTTTGGTTTTGTGGCCGGAAGTGAAAAACCAGTTGTCGTACGATTTGTTAAAGAAGGTATTGATTGACATTACATTCTCACGAATATTCTATATATTAATTTGTTTTAACACTTTATTTGTTTTTTGTTAAAAAGGGGGTCCAAGTGAGGGCCTACTCCAAGCTGGGGACCAAATACTCAAAATCAATGGCGAAGATGTTTATCGGGCGCCCCGAGAGCATGTCATTGAGCTGGTCAAGTAAGTACTACTTAAATTATACTATAGATTACATTATTAATTTATAAGCCATTGTCACCGCTGATGCCAGCATTTTATTTTGTATCCCAAATGTGTAGCTATTTATATATAATTATAATCTATTTATATGTCATTCAGATCGTGCAAACACAGTGTTGTACTCACTATATGTCAGCCCTACTCTAATAATGTAAGTATTGTATAGTTTTAATCCGATTTATTATTCATTTTGTGTACACATTTTTTTGACATAAATTCTGTTGATTTAATAATCTCATGAATTGTTTATTTATGGTTTTATTTATTTGCCAAACCGTTATCATTGATGGCCTACAGTCCACCCGCAAGTCAGCACTCCTCACAGCCTCCAAAAAAGCTAAATTAAAGTCTAATCCATCGCGAGTTAGATTCGCTGAGGGAGTCGTCATCAATGGTTCACCTCTTTTCTGTCCGTTGTCTACCTTCGACTCGTGCGTTCCATTCATGCCTAACGTGTTAAAGGTATTCCTCGAGAACGGACAGACAAAGACATTCAAATATGACAGCTCTACAACAGTTCAGGTGATTATCAATCATTGCTATTTAGGTTTTTCACGACAGTTATTGCTATCTTTATTAAAATGACAAACATTTATCATCATTTACTTATATATTTTTTTTATTGATATAAATAAATATATATATATATATAGGATGTCTTGAGCTCATTGTTAGAGAAGTTATCGATCAAATGTGGTGAGCATTTCAGTCTATGCACCGAACATATCAAAACTATGCGAAGAAATCGATTAACACTTCTCGACCCAAAAGAGCCTTTAGCTAAGGTATGGATGATTTGATTTGATATAAAAAATTTCTTATAAAATGAATATATTTTAAAATAAATTTAATAAAATAAAAATTTTCAACATTAAGATTGCCGCCCGTCCCGGTGCTCATAACCTGCGGTGCCTTTTTCGTGTGATGTTTGTACCAAATAATGCTATGGATCTTCTGGAGAGAGATCAGATTGGTTTTGAATATCTATACAATCAGTGTTGTAATGATGTGGTTCAGGAGCGGTTCTCACCTGAACTCAAGTATGAAATTGCATTACGATTAGCAGCTCTCCAATTGCTTCAACACTCAATAGACAGCAATTGTCTGCAAAGTAATGGTAAAGTAAATGTCAAACACATCGAAAGGGAATGTGGTTTAGAATCGTTCGTTCCGTTTACTCTATTGGAGTCTATGAAACGCAAAGAACTTCATAAACTGCTCAACCATTTCCTTAAACTCAACCAACAGTTATGTCCGTCGGGCCAGAAGTGTCTGACATCACTGCAGGCAAAACTACATTACTTGAAGATAATGAGTGAATTGCCATCATATGGAGCAAAGATATTCTCATTGAATATAAGAGATGCGACTACAGAATCTGGTCTTTTAGTTAGTCCTAAGTTTGGCGTAAGTCATGTGAATAGTCTTATGAGAAACTCATTACCCATCACTTTAGCACAAATTGAAGACATTAGTTATGTAAAAGTGTCCAAAAGTGAAGATCTTTATTATAGTCTAGAAGTACATCTCAGTCCATATAATAACGAAATGATATGTCCGACAGTTCAGTCACCGCTCAGGTTTGAACTCGAGGACAGGGATGCAGAAGAGTTTGTTCTTTTAGTTAAAGGATATCATAGACTATTCAATAAGTATGATATTGAGTGCAACAATGAGAAAGAGTTGCCAGTATTCTGGGATATACCAGAGGAATGGTGGAATGATAATGGTATGTTAAAGTAAACTCAAATAATATTTCCATTGAAAATTTACGATTATTTATTTAAAAAGACATTTATCTAATCATTTATTTTATTTTAATCTAATTTAAACTAACACTTTATTTGAGTTAAAAACTTTATTTAATTTTTTAAACTTAATTTATTATTTTATTTTAAGAAATCGATATCATTTTATATACTATAGTTATATACTCTGTATAATACTGTATACTCTGTATAACTTTTAAGTATGATTTCAATTTGAAAATCTAATTTTAAAACAAAAGTATCGGTACTTATAATATATATGTTGTTAGTTAGTCTCCAGAGATGTCTAACTGACACATAACTGAAAGTAAATTCCATAAAATCCTATTCTTGACATTATATTAATAAATAATGATTTAATGTTATTTTGTTATGTTTTTATTGTTTCATACATAACATTAATATAACACATATAATACACACATATAAACATTATATAACAAACATTTTCTAATGAATTAGTTATCCTTTTATCTCAATTGACTCTATATTTCTCTCTTTTATCTCTTACTTAACGCTCGCCCACTCCTAACCTACTGTGCAGTCAAACGCAATCTTATATATGGCTTTGGTATGACTTTCATTAATTACAAATTAAACACATATTTCCTGCATTACTTCCCGCGTTGTCTCCGATCAATAAATTATAGACTGTTGTTGTATTTTTTTTGCTTATATTTTATTTGTACGTATATTAGCTCCCAGTTATTGTGGTGTCCATACCGTACGGGTAGCTCATTGGAGTTACGCCGCCAATGAGTCCGTCAGACAAATAGATTTATCTATACCTCCGCCTCGTTATATGCTTACCGATAACGATGAGAGTTCCCAACAAATTAATAGTAACACTACTACACATCCAACTGTTAACCCCAATAACTATGCACTGATAGATCACCAAATGAATGAAAAGCCAGAACAAGTGGTCACAACCAATGGTGGCATTGATTTGCCATCACTTATGTCGATGGAAATACTTGAATCTCAAGCGTGCGATGTCGACACCAAAAATGATGACATCATTAGAAGAGTGTCAGAAATGAATCAAATAGTGGCCGACGCCGAACACTATTTGACCGCAAAAGAGTCATTTAATGGCGATAATGATAATACTCAAGTGATTAATAGACCAGAAATGGACACCAGTTGGGACCAGACATCACAGATACTACAATCTGCTACGGATTCATTGCTTCTCATAAAGCAAGTCAATGGTAACGGCATTGCAGATAATAATGGCTTTAATGACAAAAAAATTGGTATTTTATTTATTTTTAATTATTTAATCAATAATTTATGCAATACTTAAAAAATGAAAAAAAATTAATTGAATTACTTATGCAAATATTGTTTATTGATTTTTTGCAAATTTATATAAAATCAAATCAGCGAAAGATGTCATTAATGGTGACTTATCTGCCACTGAGAGCGACACCGATAGCCTCATGAGTCCAAATGAGAGTCAAAACAGTATAAATGTGTTGAACGCATTGCAACTACAGGCTAACGGTAATGTAACCGTCAATGGGATCAGTAATAGTAATCGGACTCAGATTAAGCAAACGCCGAGTTTTGGTTTGCACAGTCCCGATGTCTATCCAAACACAAGTACTACAGACCTACAACTCATCGACGATAGTAATCTGAAAGCTGAACCCGATTTAAAATTTCAATTTCCCAAAGATATTTGTTGCGACTCTGATATGATTGACTTAACAGCTATTCCTCCGCCCGACACTCCCGATGAACTTGAATTTATTGACTCAACCATTAGCTTTCCAACTACTGATGATCCGCCCACACCCTATAAAGAGGACATCGACTTTACAAGCTTTACTGTGGATGACTCGGCCCGAGTTGTGGCCGAATTAGATGACTTGTGTGACACCCTATCGGAAATTCAGTCGTCGACAGCTGGCGATAGAGACTCTAATATTAATCAACATTTACAATATATGTCTCAAGACATCGATGACTTTATTGAGTCGATGACAGTGAGACCACCTCCAGCTACTAATGAACAAATAGCACCAAATGAACACTACTTAACACCATTCATAATACCTCCGCCACCCAACTCATCGCCATCAATGACCAGAACACAGGATGATGTAATCGCAAAGTTTTGGAAAGTGACAGACGATATAAAGAAAATGTGTATAAATGATGAAACGAGTCCAAGACTTTTCAAGCGTGAAGTCCATAGCAGTAGTTCCGGTGAATCAGGTTATGATTCGGCATTTAATTCGTACACATTTTCTTCTGCAGCTAATGATTGGCCAGTTTTCCCAGAGAACGGCTCACCAAAGCTCTCACTTCCCACTGTTATTGAAGTTAATTCTTCAACAGAAAATGAGAGTCACTTTTTAAACCAAAGTTATAGTAAAAGATCTGATAGGAGTTCCAATGCGAGTACCAGTTTAGAAGATTTAAGAAATAAAGATGTGAGCAGTCAAATGAATGGCTCGATATCACCCAAACAGTCGATGTCTCGATCTAACTCTTGGAACAATTTGCCCACTAATACTCCCAATTCTTCTGCAACATCTCACACAATAATACAGTTTGCAAAACCTCCTATACCTCCATGTTCTCCGTCTATACAAGAAAAGAGAAGACAATTAGGAATCAAACCAAACAGTCCTAAACATCATAGAAGTGGTAAACACCATCACCACACACATAGTCATCACAACAGTCATAATGGCTATCAGTCAAATGGCAACAATACTGGATCCGAGACGATAACAAATGGTGTCAACAGCTTTATTACATCGGAAGCCGTTCGCAAACAAACTGACGAAATCTTTCATCAATCACAACACGATATCGATGTACTGTTGGCCCGATTAGAGGAGGTTCACGACAAACGACTTCATTCTAGTCATGGCTTTGAGTGCACTGAAACTGACTTCGTGGCCGCTAAAGAAGCTTTGGTCACCGAATCTCGTCATTTTGTGACCGCATCCAAATTGTTTGTCAAGTGTGCCACTGATGGGTCACCTCAGCTCTTGGAGTATTTGTTAGATTGTGTGACACTACTCGAGCGCATGTATAGTGTCGGTGAGATTGTACTCTTGAATCTTGAATCACAGGCACACATCACTTGTCTGGTCGACCGACTTAAAGAAGTGGCCGCCACTTATGCCTATACTGTGGACACCGTTCATAAGCTTAACGACAATTTGTGTTCTCCAGCTTCCAGTCCTTATATGGGACTTCTAATGACTCACGCGACCAGTTTGGCCACTTCGTTGAGTGCACTCATGAGAACATTGCGGGCAATGAATATATAAATTACTTATCGATATATAGAATAATTGTATTATATATTTGTTGATAATTTTTATCAGATTTAATGTAAACATAGATTTTATGCAATGATTATTATGTCCAACAAGTTTTAAGGTGTAATTGTGCCACAAAATTATGTAGACATTAGTTCATCTAATGAAATGACTGACTTGTTTTGCAACTTATTTATAAATTATATATTTAATTATTAATACTAATTATGATTTTTATTAATGTTTTGTAATAATATTAATTATTAATAATTTTATAGTTATATAAAATGAATTAAATTATATATATATTTCAGATTTTTTTATGATTTTATATACAGATTATATAAATTTACATTAATATATAAATACGTTACTTATTAAGTTAATTATTAACTATTAAAAAAAATAAAAATGTAAAATTAAATCACTTTATTATTTATTTAATTAATTAGTAATTAATTTTAATGATGTATCAAATGATTATAAATATAACAATCATATTACAGGTAATTATTGAATATTTTTGTTGATTTTTAAAAAAATTATATTATTATTATTGAATTGTCAAGGTGATAATTCCAAATTATAAATACCTATTGACCTAAACATTAACTGCATTATAAATTACAAAATAATAGAAAAAGTGCCTTGTTAAATTTAATGTACAATTCAATACTACAAGTGTATTAAAAGTACAACAAATATAATAAATAACGTAATTTTTGGCACAATTAACGTCTAATATTTACATCAAGTTTTCTATTGATTTAATGTATAAATAAATAAATAATTCGTTGATTTTTTTTCTGCAAAATCATTGTTTTCGTAGTTATAAATGTTGTGTGAAATTAGTGACCAATTATTTCATCATTTGATTGTAACAATCATTTAGTAATTTTCCAGAATTTTCTGTTTTATTTGTTGTTATTTTTCTAACAATTTCTATAAATTGTTTGTCCGAACCATTTGAATGACTCGTTATATATTTTTTTTGTACACAAAATCAATAAATTATTTTATTTTAATAATAATTTGATTACAATTTTCTCATAAAAACCTAATTATAATTTCAATTTTGTTTTTTCACAATTTTATTAAACAAATATATTTTTTTTGTTATTTTATATAATTTATTAATATTTACAAAACATTTATAATAATTGAAAACCAATTTTTTGTGAAGAAGTGATGGAATTTCCCGATTTGGGTCAAAACTGTTCCCAAAGTGATTGCAACCGATTGGGTAAGTATTGAGTGACCACTTTGTCGACCATTTAGTGTTTGATATCATATAACTTGTAATATGTCTTAAATTTGGTGTCATTTTGTTTTCTACAGACTTTCTTCCCGTGAAATGTGATTTATGTCATAACACCTATTGTGTGGATCACTATCCGTATGCCAACCATTTGTGTCCCAATTCATACAAGAAGGACAATCAGGTGCCCATCTGTCCTCTCTGTAACCAACCGGTGCCCATCAAACGCGGTGAACTGCCCGACATTCGGGTCGGACAGCATATAGATTTGGACTGCGAATCGGATCCGGCCATCAAAAAGAGAAACAAAATCTTTAAGAACAAGTGTTCAGTGAAAGGATGCAAACAGAAAGAGTTAATGCCTTTGATGTGCAATGAGTGTAGTCTTAATCATTGTCTTAAACACAGACACCCGGCTGACCACAATTGTCAGCCGAAAGCCTTATCAACTTCCCGACCGGCAGTAATGTCGATGTCGGGTTCGGCGGCAATGAAACGTTTCGAACAAATCAAAACAAATGTTACCCAAAAAGTGGTCCAAATATCAAATCAGATGAAACCCAACTACGAAACCGGTAGTAGAAGTCATTCAAATAGTAATTATAACAATGCGGTCAAAGTTCAGGGAAACTTTAGCGAAGACGAGGCCTTAGCCAGAGCTCTGCAACAGTCGATGATTGAGGAAAATCATTCATCAGATTCTTCAGCCAAAGAAGCCAACCATTCCTCAAGCAATAGCACTCAATATGATCAGGATTTGGCCCGAGCTATAGCCGAATCACAACGTAATGTCGAAAGAAATAAAGATAAATGTTTAGTATCTTGAGGTCAGCACTTAAAATGAATTTTATGCAAATTATATCATTTTTAAATTGTTTGTTAAATTGTATTTATATAATAATAATAATAATAATTGATGTCTTTTTATACGAAATTTTAAATCGAAAATAGCTTTTAATATTAAATCAATTAATAAAAATAAATTATTGTTATACAAGTTTTTCTACGGTATAAAACCTGTCTTTCAACAAAATATCTGTCTTTTCAACGTTTTATAAAACTATATATAATTTATATATATATATATATATAACTAAAAATAAATGAAATTTTATTTACAATTTATGAATGTTTTTATAAAATATATATACTATTAATAATATACTGTATTATTCTTTTATTAACTTAACTTTAATCCCAATCTTCAAGTGCGTGATTCATCTCTTCTGGTAATATAAACGGCTGATCAATACTACTGATAATAATATCTCCGCAATAAAGACATTCATTGGCCACAATGTCATCCAATTCATTAAGAAGTCTTTCCCTTTCATTGGTGACATTGATGTTATTTGATTGATCTCCAAGAAAGTCATTAAGTTTTAATGGTACCGCAGAATGATTGCCACTCGATCCCAGTCCTCTTTGAATCTCATCGACACGACTTCGTTGAATGGGTTTCATAAATGGCATCAACTCTGATATGAGACAATCCGAGTGAAAGAAATGATTGCAAGGAAACGTATAGAAGGAACGGGTGAGTATGGCATAGGAACAGACACAACACTTGTCTTCAGTGCGGATGACTGTAAACTTTTGGCGCAACATTTTTATGTCATTTCGTATTTGTTGCGCCGATTCTGTGGCGGACTTCATATCTTCTTTAAGAGAATCAATATTTCGATTATACTCCTGAAGTGATGAACAGATCGCTTCTTTAAAGTGATCAATGGTATCAAAATCGGAGAAGAACTGCAAAATATCTTCAATTTTCAGGAGTTCACACTCTTTAAGCACTTGAGTGGCTGTCTTAATGTCTTTTTGTTCTCCACTGATAACGTGTTTAGCAATTTTGAGCCATAATTTTTTCCTCATCTGATCCGGAATATCCGGCTGATCAGCAGTTTGTTTGGCTAATTCTATATCAATCTTTAGCCCCAAATCGACCGCTTCCTCTAACATACCCATTGTTGAGTACAGATGAATACAAGCTCTATCTAAACCCAATTCAATGCATACTCTTATAGCGTATCGGATATCATAGGGAACGGATGATTCGTCCTGTCCTTTCATTGACAAATATGTCATCAACTTTTCTGGTGATGTCTGAGCGTAGAGCGCCAGTAGATAATTATGTATTACTGAATCAGAATCTCCTAATTTATAAGCACAGTGTTCAAGATATCGGATGGTTTCCAAATACTTTTGGATCAAAAATCATATTACCGTAAGTAATGTTAATATGATTTTATTGATAATATACTGTAATTGATTATAAGAAATACCTGAATCACATGTTGTTTACTGTCTTTACTTATATTTTGTTGAACTAAAGCTGGTATTAGTTTAGTTGATTCCAATTGTGGCGCAAATTGTATCAAAACAGATATCAAATCTGATGGCATCTCTTGAATAATAATGGGCGCAAACTTGTAAAACAAGTCGGGAACTCCCTTTCAAATGATAATCATTTCATTTATTAAAAAATATTATAATTGATAATAAAAACTAATGCAATACCTGTTGTCTGAGAACATTGAGGGCCTGTTTATAGTCTTTATGTCGCAAATGGTGTTCAATAACTCTTTCGTAATCTTTCATTAAAACCGAAAAATAGATGAGATTTTCGTCCATTGCGTGGCTTTCTATTAAATCATAAATCGCTTTACGATTTTTGTTTAAACAGGTCTGCAATAATCCATAGGAAAAAAATAATTACAAATTTGTTTTACAAGAAATAAACTAATCATAAAAATATAGAAGAATTGGTGACAAACCTGGACTTTGGTCTGTGAGAGCAAACTCCTGAACTCGGCTTCAATGAGCTCATACTCTTCGGTATTTTCTTTACCAGAGTTCTTGAGTGCAGCCATTTGGCTGAGCTGTATGTCGATGAGCCACAGCAACAGTACAGTCATCTGAGTGGTCTCTTTCGGTGATAATGAGTCCAATTCACAGACAAGAAATTGTTTGAGTGCTTCGTCTTCGTTGCTCTGAATAAACTTTAGGGCCATTTCTTCGAAAGATTTGTCACTTATTGTATAAAGCGATGCAATCTTCTCGTATGAAGACGTCGACAATGATTTCGGATCTATTATTAATTGCCGAAGAGTTTGATTGGTTTGACAAAAATCACATTTGTCTGCATTCATGTCTGTAAATACAAAACAAAAACAAAGACATTAGTTATCAGAATCTGTGGTCAAAATCAGCGGATATGTACTGACTGTGGGAACAGTTGTGACTTAAATTGGAAAAATCCATCACTTCTTCAGACAATTTGATGACTAATATCGACAAAAAAATTTTAATTTAATTTACTTTTTGAGTCCAATGTTTAGCACTTTATTTGACATTTAATAACAAATTCAATGCAATGTTTACATTACAACCCATTTGTTAACAATAAATAACATTTACTTTACAGTCAATCATATATAAGATTTAAATTTTCTTAATTAACAATAATCTTAATAAAAAACATTTCAATAAAGTTATAAATTTATTTAAAAAATACTTATTATTATTATTATTAAATAGTCATTACATGAATAATACATTTGAAAAACTCATTAACAAAAACTCATTTAAAACTAATTTTCATATACAGGTATATAATATAAATTTAAATCAATTATATAAATATAAATTTATTAAACAAATCACAACAACAGTTTGTGTGCTTTTAAAATGTCAATCAATTAATAATAAAAATATCCAATAAATAATATTTCCAATCAAATACTATCCTTAAAATAAAGTCATGAAATCCATAGCTGTTATTGTCATTGAGTTCATTCAAATGCATTCATGATTTGTCTCCTAAATAGATGTAGTGTTGAGAACCAACCAAAAGAAATGGTTGACTCAATCCTCCAAAAAGAAATAGTTTCCGCCTCTCTTTTGTTCCGTATCTTTGACTGAATTCAATTTATTAATTCTTGGTCTAAAATTGGTCGGATCTCTTCGGAAAGTAATATTCAATAATTGTAAAAATTTATTCATTCCGGCCAACAATGTCTGCGGAGACGTGGCTACTGTTTTGACAGACGGTTCGCCTTCAAATACAATGACCCGATCGGCCAGATATGTAGCCATAATAAAGTCGTGTTCGACAACAAATCCGGTTTTCTTCGAGTGCAACAAAAATCGTTTAATAACTTTGGCGGCCACTAAACGCTGTTCAGAATCCAAATAAGCCGACGGTTCATCAATCAGGTAGACATCAGCCGGCTTTCCCAAACAAAGTACAAGAGCCACGCGTTGCAGTTCACCACCAGATAGATTGACAACTTCCATATCAATGATATTTTCAATCTGAAGAGGTTTGACAACCTCTCCCTGAAACTGTGGATGATTGTAGAAATCCCGGATCTTTTCGTACAGTAATTGTCGAACAGTTCCCTGAGATTTCGGATTAATCTTTTGCGGTTTATAACTAATGTTAAGAGTTGGCACATCATGTGATCCTTCGTCGGGTTTCAGATTTCCCGCAAGCATTCGGATGAATGTTGTCTTTCCGGTGCCGTTCTCTCCCAACATAACAATAATTTCCGAATCTGTAAAACTTCCCGGATCTATTGTCAATTCAAAAGCACCGCCGAGATGTTTAACCATCGCTGGATATTCGTAACGAGACATTCGTTTAACTTCTTCCTCTGTAGCCGTTTCTGACACTTTGAAGACAAGTGCAGATTCTCTAAAACGCAAGTTTTCTGTCGGCACAAACCCATCGAGAAATATATTGATTCCTTCCCTAACAGAGAAAGGCATAGTGACCACACCGTAAGCACCGGGAACTCCATACAAACAACATATAAAATCTGACAAATAGTCCAAAACCGATAAGTCGTGTTCGACTACTATAATATATTTTTCCGCTTGGATTAGTTCTCTGATAGCTTCGGCGGCTTTTAATCTTTGTTTTACATCCAAATAACTGGAAGGTTCGTCAAACATAAAGATATCTGAATTCTGGACGCAAACCATAGCAATGGCAAACCGTTGCAATTCTCCTCCACTCAATTCTTTAACATTTCGGCTAAGAATAGCTTCTGTTAGATCTAATACATCACAAATAAAAGATTTGTTATCCCTTTCGTTCTTCTTGTCAATCAAATTGGAAACAATGCCCGAAACGGCTTTCGGAATTTGGTCAACGAATTGCGGTTTAATTATGGCTTTTAGTTCGTCCTCTAAAATACGGGTAAAATAATTTTGAAGCTCTGATCCTCTAAAATATGTCAATATTTCTGTCCAATCGGGAGGGTCTGAACCGTACCGACCTATTGAGTGAAAAAATAACAAAATTAGTTACTAATTATTAACTTTAATTTAAAATCAAACCTAAATTAGGTTTCAATTTTCCGGCTAATATCTTGAGAGCCGTAGACTTGCCGATACCGTTAGTACCGACGAGACCGAGCACTTCTCCCGGTCGCGGTATCGGTAAACGGTGCAACTTAAACGTGTTTTGGCCGTATCGGTGAGTGGTATCGCGGTTCAGATTAGACGGCAAATTGATGATTGTCACGGCCTCGAATGGACACTTCTTTACACAAATACCGCATCCGATACACAGTTCTTCACTAATCTTCGCTATCTTATCGTTTTGTGTCACTTCGATGCACAGCTTTCCCATCCGCACGACTGGACACGACTTTTTGCACTCTTGACGACATCTCTTGGGTTTACATTTGTCTGTATTGACAATCGCAATACGGGTCATCTTGTCCTGACTGGCCATCGCTTACCGGTTGTCCACTGGTTAACAACTATTTATGAACAACAACTAAAAACAGGTGATCTTTTCCTATGGATGTGATCGACGAGTCAGCACTCAATGTCTTTGACAAACGTCTTGATTATGATTTTTGGACCAAATGTTTGGCAAACTATGCGAACAAATGTTAATATCGTTTCAATTGATTGAATGAAAGCCACGTTTTGTCACACATTTGTTGAGTCGATAATCAATTACGAGTGAAAAATACATTTTGAAAATAATGTAAATATTTATTATTATTATTATTAAAAAGTTTTGACAAATGTTTTCATTATTTTAAATTTAATTTTGTTTACATTTAACTGTATTTTCATTCATTTATTTATATAATCGATGATTACATCAAACAAATTATATATTAAATTATATTAATTATTAATTGTCATTAAAAAAAATCTGATCCATCTATTGGTGACACAATTTGTTTAGTGAAGTCATTGACACCAATATATTGTTTTCATTTGTTTGTGTCATCTGTTTTGACACAACTTTGATGTTTTGAATGACCACTTATATCGCCGATTAGTGGCCACACTTTTTAAAAGGTTAGTCAATCACCGTCGGATACGATGGATATTCCGGGATTTTACTACGACAAACAAAAGAAGAAATATTTCCGTATCGGTGGTGCGGCGGCCAGTAGTGGCCCGAGTTGTGTGACCAGCCATGAGGTTAATAAAAGGAAGAAAATTGACGAGACTTTGTCAACATTCAAGAAGTGCGACCAAAGCGTTCATTTGCCGCAAACGCTATACAAACAGGAAATCAATTTTCACACAAAATATAATCTTCAGGAAGAAGTGCTTCGTTCGCATCTAAAATCAATTCAAACGATTGCCACAACACAACTGGAAGTAATTGATTTTCGCGGTGAAAACATGAAGAATATAACTGTCGACGCGTTAATTGGTTCGCCAACTGATGACCAATTGTTTACCGTTTTGACCGGCGATTCTGGTTCTGTTGTCTATCAGATACCCGTTGAAGACATATTCAATGACTGTAAAGTCGATGTTTGGCGACAAATAATCGGTGCGTTTCCCGTCCGTAACCGAGTGATCGACATTGACTACAATAAGGGCGTTATGTCTACTCTGGTTCATCACCATATAAACAGTCAAATGGCCCGAACTAGCTATACATTGACGACCATTAATGGTCTGGACGTACATCCCGTTCGAAGTAGTTTCGAGTTTGAAGGCTATCTGTTTAGTGCCACACATACTGACGATTCTATCATTTTGGGCGACGAAAAGTTAATCAAATTTTATAACAGAGAAAACTTAGTAATTTTGACACCAATTAAGACTAAAAATAATGTTTTAGTAATGAAAACAAGTGACGACGGAAAGTGTTTGCTTAGCGGATCAAATAAGGGACAGTTGTGTTATTATGATATACGAGATGACTATAAGAAAAAAACTAAACCATTGATGCAAACCATTTCTAATTCAAAAAGTATTGTTTTTACATCGATATTATCGGACAAAAACACTGTAATTGTCAGCAGTCATGACCACAGTCTATGTCGATGTGATCTAAGAATGTTTAACAAACCAATTGTCAAATACAGTAATCATCGAAACGATTGCTCAAAGATTGAGTTCAGTGTCGATGAAAGTGCGGGTGTTTTGTGTTCATCGGGTGACGATTGTTTAGTCAGATTCTGGTCATTGCAAACGGGAAAACTGTTGCATATAATTAATCCGTTTACCGATAATGAAGACCAAAGTATTAAAAATCAATTGCCATCGACTCGTGTTTGTTATAGTCATTCGTGGAAATGTCTTAACAAACAATTCAAAGCACTTGTATTTCAAATGAATGAAAATCAGTTTAATATAATATCTAATAATGTTATTAATTCATTATAATTATAACGATATTTCAATGACGATTACAATACAGTATATACTGTACATATGATAGATTTATTTTTTTAAATGTATAATAAAATATGTGACCAAAATATGTAAAAATTATTTTTTTAAATTTATTAATTTATTGATTTTTATTATAATCAAAATTTATATTATGAAAATCTATCTATTTCACCACTAATTCACTTAATAACAACGTTTGAGTTTAATATTAAAAGGTTGTATTTTAGTTATTTTAGAAAATATTTAATTTCATAATTTACATATTTAAAAATAAAAAAAATAAAATTTAACTTAATTTCTGTATAAAATAGATTTTTTGAGAAAATTTATATTTATTTTAAAACTATATTTTGTTAAAAGTTTGGATTATATGTTTTGGATAGATATATGATTTCTGAATAAATATCTATAACCAAAACAGATATGTAAAACACATATTATAATGTCTATAGTTATACCTAATTTTGATATATAATTATACAAATTATACATTGTTTTTAATTTATTATATTTGATTATAAAAATTATTCATTATTAATGAATTTTTTATATAACTACAGTATATTTACTTTAAATAATGTCATTGTAAGTGTAATATTATTACAACAAAATATTTAATATTTATTGAAAACAAAGGTATTGAATAAAATGATAATAAAAATCGTTAAAAAAAACTATTTATCACTCAAAGTAACAAAACTCTGCAAATATTGTCCACACAATCTAACGGTGAGTTTGATTCACTTGTTGGACGACAACAGTCTGTATCGGAACAGCAATTCTGGTTAAGAGTGGCACAAAACTCGTGAGTTTTATAACAGATACCGACATTCGGATCGATGACAGAACTAGAGTTATGGCAAAAGTGTTTTTCGGGACACGAATTGATCAATGGATACAATTGACAAAATTGAAACTCTATTGTCCCACACGTCGTGGACGCCGTAGTAGGTGTCACCAAATTGGACGATCCCTCTGATGTCACCTCTTGAGCTTAAAATAAATAATCATTTTAACATATTGTATCAAATTTTATATCATACACTAAATTAAATTTATATTATAATATTAATTTTATCACTAATTAAAACAAACCTGTCGTTAGTTTAGAAATATATAAACTAATAAAAATTACACAATTTTTTGCATTGAATATCATATTTGCTATTAAATTAATGATTTTACTTAAATTGATAATTTACTAACTTATAATTAATTATAAAATAATAGTTTACTATAAAAGAAGTTTATATATTATCAAAATAATAAAACAATTATTAAGTTGATCTCAAAAACCATATGTTTTTCAAATGATTTTAAAAAATAATTTGATTAATTTTTATTTTTAAAATATCATTTTTTTCTATTAATATTTAATTAGTATAAAGCCTTTTAAAACATAATACAAAATATTTTATATATAGATTTTTAAGTTATAACCCTTTAATTTATAAAGTTATCATAAAATATTTACCTTGATTACATTGTGTATAAATAACAATAATTGTTATTAATAGAAATTTGCTAAACATATTTTTTTTGATAATTTTGAAATTTATAGTACAGTAAATTATAATGCAATGCAATTATTATTACAATGCAATTTTTATTAGTTTACAACATAAAATGCAAAATTACTTTCAAATCATTTTTGCAAAATTAAATTGTGCTTAAATATGATTTTTTATTTATCAAAATTTTAAAAACTTGTTTTGATTTATGATTAAATTAAGACTCATTTGTTATTTACGTTAATTTTTTTATATTTAATACAAACAATAAAACACTTAGTGTTTAGATGTGAAAAATTGAAAGTTATAAACTTTAGTTTCTTATTATAATTTTGTAACAAAAAATAGATAAAAAAAATTAAAAATTTCTATATAAGTTAAGTTAATGCTAAAAACGAATACATCATATAATAATAAGTTTTGTATTTGTATTGAAATTTTCTTATTTATTGTAGAAATAAAATATAAATTATTATAAAGTAAATACAAAAATAACTTTCAAATATTTTTAATAATAATCAACAAAAAAAACCAATTTATTTAATACACAATACTATGTCCTCAATCACGTATAGGTATAATAAAACGAGGTCAATAGATATTTCATGATAAACAAGCAACTTTCAATTTATCAATATAAAAATAATAAATAATAATAACAAAAATTATTTTAAATTTAAAGTTATATACATTATAAAAACTCAGCTAAAAATCAAATATATTTTAATTATGTATAATTTTAAACTGAATTTTTTTATATACAATAATTATAAAAATTTAACCTTTGCAAATATTATATATATATTAGATATTTTTACCTACAGTAATATAATAAATTATTTTTTAACTTTAAAATTAAAGAAATAAAAAAATATGTCATTATTTAATTTATTCATTTCAATATCAAATAAATTGCAACATTTGATAGACTAGAGTACAATATTAAATACAGAGATTTTTATTGATATGTCATAAAAATATTGATAATTTATTACAGATTCATTATAAATCATCATTTCATTAATAGTTATTAAATCTTTTTATTAATGAAAATCATATATTAATGGATTTGCACTAAATTAACAATTAATAAACGACTAATAATTTTTTATTTGTTCTCTAATGTAGTTCATCTGGTGGTCAGTGAGACCCCAATTAATCGACTCGTCTTCAAACTGCTTGATTGATCCAAAGTTTCCCAAATAACCATTAATTCTGGAGGCAATGTGTGAACGGATCAGCTGTTTGTCACTTAAAGATAGACTTTTCAATAGGTCGTTGTGTTTCCTTAGCATATATTTCTGATGATAGTCTTCTGCCTCGTAAAACACATCCAACAGTAATATCTTTGTCTGAATTGGTTTTGAGTAAAGCTTTTGTGTTTCTTGTACTGACTTTTCTGCCAATTGTTTTTGGTTGTCGTTGTGGTAGAAGATGGCAGACATATACTGACGTTTGTGACAAACAGTTGGCGAATGATTAGTCCAAAACAGGTTCAGAAGTTTCTAATATTATTAATTATATCAAGAAATTGCATTAAATGTGTCCATCGTATATGATTTACATATTATATATATATATACCTCATAAGTGGTTACATTTGGATCAAATTCAATGTCAATAGTTTCTGTGTGATCACCTAATCTATGATAAGTCGGACTAATTGTTGTCCCTCCGGTATACCCGACTCGAGTGCGGATCACTTAATTTAAGATTCAATTTTGTTTATATTAAATATATATGATTTGTAATTAATTAAAATATTGTATTACCTCCCGGTGCACAAGCAAACTGTGCTTCGGGAAACCAAAATCATGACAATGCAAGGGTCGCTCTCTCGGTAACCACATTCGGGTCGACCATTAAATTCATACCTTTATTACAGATCTGTAATCATTTAGAAATTTAATTATTTAAGTATAAAATATCTAATTTATTAAAAATATATTTTCTAATTATAATTAATAATAATTTAATTACATTTGATTTGCTAAACAAGCGAAACATTTTGTTGGAAATAATTAAATTAAAATATTAAAACATAGATATAATTATTAATTTTAATTTGTAATCTATTTGTAGACTATAATAACATTTTTTAAAAATTATTTGCGTTTTTTTATAGTTGAAATGAATTAGGATTTATAAAATAACAAAACAAATACAATAATTATAAAACCATAGTATTTGATGATATTATTAAACAATATATTTATATGTCATGTCATGTCATGCGCCACAAAACCAGTCAATCGGATAATGTATTGCATAATTGAAATCCTGTTTTAAATAAAGTAATGTTTCCTTTGATGTATTAATCTACAAAAAAAACTTTTTTTTTCGGATAAATTCAATGAAAATGAAAGTATTTTTTAATCGACAAATAAAATAAAATGACAGTTATTTAACATATAAATTATTTTATTTTTTTATCTATATTTATTAACATTTAATATAATAAGTCAACTTTGAATTTATTTATGATAGAAACAACATTAAAGATATACAAAAAAATCGGTATTTTATGTTGTAATGATTGTCAATGTTTATAAATTATTAATTTTTTTATTTGAAAGTAATATTAAATACATTATGTTATAAATTAGCATATATTACAACATAGTTGTCAAAAACTATGATATACTAAAATATCATTTTTCACAAATTTCATATTCATTGGCAATCAAAGTGCAGTATAGACAAGCAATTAATATTTAAATCAGTTTCAAAAATACTAAGCCTAGCATTGCCAGACACCAACATTTAAAATATTTTATTTAAATTATCTGTTTGACAAAAAATTTAAATTATTAATTAATCAGATATATTATTTTTTTWAAATCTTATTATATTTGCAATTTAATTTAAATATTTGTAAATATTTCCATTTAATTCACATATCATATGACATGATTACTACCAATTTTCTAGCAATTTATTGACCATTTTTATCAAGAGATAGGACATCCAAATACTTTTCTACTATTTTTAAGTCAAATCATTAATTTAAGTCAAAAGTTTGTACATAAAAATTGCAAAAACCGACATAAAAAACATATAATCAATTGAGAGAGTACTTCATCTAAAAGAAATCATCAAAAATTATTTGTAAACTTTATCTCAACTCAAATGTTAATTATTAATAATTTATTTGAATTAATAAACCAATCAATCTGTCAATGATTTGATTTACTTAAAAATTACATTTAAGTCTTAATTATAAATTCAATTGCTTTGCACTTAAATATTTATATATAAATTATTAATAATATAGTTTCTATTTAGAAGTATTTTAGTGAAAATATATTTGACGACTAGTTATTAATATAATATATTTTATTAGATTTATAACATAATAAAATTATTGAAAATATTGACCCCAACATTAACTAGGCTTTTTATGTTTATTTATTTATTTGATTGTTTATTAGCTTAAAAACTAAAACATAGCGCAAATACGGAAATTTTTATTAAGTTTTTAAAAATTTATTTTATTTTATAATACTAAAATCATATTATTTATTTATTTGTGTTTAGTATTTAATAAATTAATTATAAATTAAAAACATTTTAAGCTTTTAATAATATTATTATCGTAAAGTTTTAAAATGTTAAATAATACTACAGTATTTAAGGTAATAATATAGTAAACTAATAATTTGTTTATAAATTATTAAATATATATTTAATTAGATTGAAAACAATTTTATCACCAAAGAAGTGGCAATAATTGCTTCAACTTTTTCAATACTAGTTATAATTGTCGGCATAATTGGTAATATATTAACAATTATAGCATTGGTTAAGGGATCTCCTAATCTTCAAAGTCATGCGACCACTAAATTTATAGTGAATTTAGCGGTCAGTGATTTGATGTTTAGTGCCCTAAACCTACCGCTTACTACTGTCCGCTATATGACCAGGTCGTGGCCTTTCGGCTCATTTCTTTGCCATTGGTTTCCATTCTTCTTCTATGGCAATGTCGCCACTTCGCTCATGTCTATCGCCTGTATTACAATCAATAGGTTTGTTGTCTTAGATTTATTGAAAACTTTTTAAAGTATTAATTAATTAAATTAAATTATATAGATTTGTATTCATTGCATATAATGCTCGATATTCAAGAATTTATACAAAACTAAATGTTTGTCTAATGATATGTTTTTGTTGGTGTTTCTCATTTGGACTAATGATGTTTCCATTGTTGGGTATTTGGGGCCGATTTGGTCTCAAAGTGACCACATTTTCGTGTACAATATTAGCCGACACTGGCGGACATTCACCGAAAAAGTTTTTATTTGTATTTGGATTTGTTTTTCCAATAACTGTGATAACAATTTGCTATACAATTATTTGGATTCATGTTAGACGACAATCGCGGAACACATTGAAGACCACCAAACGTGACTTAAGGCTAACAAAACTGATTTTTATAATATTTGGTGCATTTGTCATGTGTTTCGCTCCCAATACTATCGCCAATGTTTTAATCAGTGAATCCGAGTAACAGAATATTCTTTATAACAATAATATTAGAAATTAACAAATTGTTACAATATATTCAAATATATAACTAAAATAATTTGTATTTTATTCAAGATATCCATATATTCATGTATTGTCATCAATGCTCTGTTGGTTAAACTCTTGTATAAATCCGTTTATATATTTTGCAATGAATGCCAAATATCGTCGGGCATTGAAACGTGTCCTCGCATTTGGCACCCATTCATCCGGTGCTATGATTAACGAGTCTATTGTTTCACAATCGGATCAAATTAAATCATCCGTCATATATGTAAATAAACAATTTATAGCAAAGTATAATATAATTTGTCAAAATTAGTTTATATTTTACAGTATATACTGTATAGTAAATATATTTTTAATATAATTCATTATGATATTTATCAATAATATATTAATTTATCTTAATTATAATTTTATTTAAATTTATATCATATTATATAATTGTTAAAAAAACTTATAAATAGATATTAGATAAATTTATATACATATATTTCATTAATAAATTCACAATTTTTTATACATTATGTTTTATGATGATAAATATAAAAGATAATAAATTAATTAGTATAAGTTTAATAAGTTATTTAAAAAAAACTAATTAATATTTATTCAAATACTGTACTAAAGTGACCATAAATTTCCACAATAATTATCTAAAAATATATAAAAACATATTACCATTGAATTGAGTGTTTAGTCAAACAGTTATGTAAATTGAATGCAAACCAAAGTTAGCGCCACTAAAGTGTTGCCAAAAAACGGCGCCCAATGTTAACACAAATGTGTAAACAAACAGTGCTTTCAATGTTTGGCTTCTAATGACTGACAGCTCAGTACACATGCAGTCGTTGTCGACAATGATCTCAAATACTGACCATCACTTGATTTGGTGACCAACCACTTGACTGGACAACCAATCGACCGGAAACTCAAACAAGATATGACACACAAGAGACTACAATCAACACTGCATTTGCCGCACATTTTGGACACTTTACAGGTCGGTAAAGACGGGTTTGAAATTGTCTGAATGTCTTATTTTCTTGTATACAGACGACCGGCTCTTTGAGGCCAAGGATGCGATCGGGCATATGTTCGGCACTGAATCGGGAGTACGTGTTATGCGATTTGTTGCCCAACGACTCGTATATGAATCACATATTCATCGGTTTCACCCAAAATGGTCAACACTTCTTGAGTTACTCTAAGTCAGATGAGACCAATCAGATTCAGTTACATATATTTTTGTTTAACGGCGACCGACCGCTTTTACTGATGGCCAGTCATATTATATATACGGGTAATCTCTATCACTCGACCGACTTTTCCGACGCACGACTCTTTGAAGGCGTTTATTGTTATCAGTGGTTATCGGATGACAATTATCTGTTGACAATTGTTGCGCCACATTATCCTAACTCCCGACTCATTGATGTTACGCTCATCCGAATTGATTCGTTTGGCTCTTATGTGGTCAGTCCCGGTTCGTTGACCTACAACTGTAATGGTTTTGGACGAACTCCCGATTTCTGTGATGCAAAAATAGATATCGAAGAACTCTTGTGTCCTAAAATTATCTTAAGTCAGCCAAAGGTGTGTTCATTTATTACCGACACTGAAATCGTGTGTTTGGAGATTAAAGAAGAGACAAACCAAAAGACTGGTCTTCTCGATGCACGACTTGAGTCTAACGTATTGGACGTCGAGAGAGATATCTTCGGTGAAGTATTTAATCAACACTATAGTTGTTCCGACTTTTATCATTATGTGACCGAATATGAACTGTTAGTCTACGATATAGTCCGCGACCCGATCCAAGTGAATGCCTTACTTGAGGTGTTGTTTCTAAAGAACGGCCAAAAACTGTTGCATTCGTTTGCTATCGAATGGTGTCCGAAGACTATGCAATGGAAGACAAATATATTTTCGCAAAACGATGAACAAGAGGTTCATCACTCGTATTATGCATCACTTCTTAAGATGATTGGATCCAATCGACGTAACACGTGCTACACAATCAACAACCTGTCGTTGGCTGAAAACCACAAGAGTCTGACACGACTCGACTCACCCGTCAATGCCTTCTCTGTTATTTTGCATTGAATTTGGAGTCTTTGTCATCAAATATAATACAAATATATAATTGTTTTTCTTTTGTATTAATTTTTCTAAATATTTTAAAAACCATTTTCTCGATAATATCTGTTGTTTTGTATTAATTAAAAAGTTTGAAATAAGTTATTGTTTGACACAATAAAAGTGTGGCATTTAATTGCTTTCATATAATACCAGTTGTGATGACAATCGACGTGTTATTCATGGATTACATGAATTAGTTCCGAAAACTGGTGCCGACAGTCGAGTCGCTGAACATTTGGTCAAAATTAGCGCCACTTTTGCCGCATTTAGACATCAATGTAATGTATGGCGACATCTGATGTAAAGATATTATTGACTGTCGATTAGGGAAAGTCTTTAGGATTTTTAATTCAAGTGAAGTGAGTGTTGAAGTGCTTCACAACTTTGACGATGGCTTGTCATCAATGGTAGACAATTGCGATCACAAAACACATGACAAGTCAAGTCATCAGATCATTGACCACAGTTTGTCCGTATATATGACTCCAAGATGACGAACAATTCGTCGGCAAATCTCATCGACTTCGATGATCATCACTTTGACAGTACAAGTGACGACTGGACTGACGTAAACAGTGCGGTCGCGACCAACTCGGACCAGAACTTGGGTCAAAACTTTAAGGCCAACAATGTCGGTAAAAGTAGTTTTTACGGAACTCAATTGGATTCGCCGATTAACGATAATATTGTGGACATTTCGCGACACGAGATCGCAACGGGTGCCACACCTTTGGCCGCACGGGAGAGTGTTATACGGGCACAGATGGTTATGCGTGAGGACAAGTACACCCATTTGGAGAATTACCGACTATTTGTGGGCACTTGGAATGTGAACGGACAGAATGCCACACAATCACTGCATGACTGGTTGGCCAGAGATCCCAATCCTCCCGATATTTATGCTCTCGGTTTTCAAGAATTAGACTTATCGACGGAAGCCTTTGTGTTCAATGAGTCGCCGAAACAAGAGATGTGGTTTAAGGCGTGTAGAGAAGCACTTCATCCGAAAGCCACGTATGAGTTGGTCCGACTCGTCAGACTCGTCGGTATGATGTTAGTTGTGTTCATTAAAGCAGAATTAAAACAGTTTGTGTCGCACGTGACCGCCGAGATGGTGGGCACTGGACTTATGGGCCGAATGGTAATGCAATTGATTTAAATAATTATGATATTAGGAATCAGTCATTATTTTAAAACAATTGATTGTAATATTTGGGATCAATTTGTAGGGAAATAAAGGCGGTGTTGCCATTAGGTTTGACTTTCACAGTACGTCAATCTGTTTGGTGAACAGTCATCTGGCGGCACACGTCGAGGAATATGAGCGCCGAAACCAAGACTACAATGAGATTTGTTCGCGACTTATCTTCAATTACTTTAAACCTCCGAAATATATTAAAGATCACGAGTTAGTAAATGATTTGTCGTTGACTTTAAACAACTGGTTTTAATATAATTATATCTTTTTTTACTATAATTTTTAGTCACATTTATTGGTTTGGAGACTTAAACTATCGGCTAATGGACTTAAGCACCGAACAGGTTAAGAATTATCTTAACATTAAGGCCTATCAGGTACTCCTAGAGCACGACCAGCTCAAGGTTCAGATCAATTGCAAGAATGTGTTTGTCGGCTACACTGAAGGCGATATTACATATTTGCCGACCTATAAGTACGATCCGGGAACTGATAATTGGGATTCAAGTGAAAAGAGTCGACCGCCCGCCTGGTGTGATCGTGTCTTGTGGCGATCCAAAGAGCCGACCAAACAACTGGCTTATAGAAGTCATCCAACTTTGTTGATCAGTGACCACAAGCCTGTGAGCGGTTTGTTTGATGTCTCCATTAAAGTGATTGACAACAAAAAATATCGTAAAATATATGAAGAAGTGATGAAAAAATTGGATCAATTGGAAAACGAATTTCTACCTCAAGTAACGGTCGACAAAATGGAAGTTAATTTTGATTTTGTCACTTTCGGTGAACGACAGAGTAACCTATTGACAGTGGCCAACACGGGTCAAGTGCCTCTTACGTTTGAGTTCATTAAGAAACCAAATGATGTCTCCTATTGTAAACCGTGGCTACAGATAAAACCATATACTTCTAAGTTAATGCCCGGCGACTCACTGGACGTTGAATTGGAAGCGTTTGTCGATAAGACAACTGCCTATAGACTTAATAGCGGTGCCGACGAATTATCAGACATAATAGTGTTACATCTGGATGGTGGTAAAGATCTTTTTATAACAATCACCGGTACTTATCAACGAAGCTGTTATGGTTGTTCAATCGATACATTGGTTAGACTTAAACAACCACTTAAACAAGTGTCTAAAGATGTTGTCAAACAACTGGAGCTCAAACAACACGACAAATGGCCAGCAATTTGGGACATACCTAAAGAACTTTGGATTATTGTCGATCAACTATACAAATACGGAATGTTAACAAAAGAGTTGTTTCAACAATCAGGTCTAATAACAGAGTTTTGTCAGGTGAGGAAGTGGCTGGATATGGGATATGTCGACAAATTCAATGTAAGCATCTATTCAGTAGCTGAAGCTTTAATTATATTTTTGGAATCGTTATCCGAACCGGTCGTACCCTATAATTATTATGCACGCGCTCTGGAAGGAAGTTCCAACTTTATACTATGCAAACAAGTGAGACATCTATTTATTTCAGTTGTTTAAACAGCAGATCTCATTCATTGATTGGTTTTTTTGATGTACAGGTGGTTCAGGAAATGCCAGAACATCACAGAAATGTATTTTACTATTTAATTGCTTTTCTAAGGGAATTGTTAAGGCATTCAAACACTAATAAACTCGACTCTAAATTATTAGGTAATTACTCTAATAATAATAATTACAGTATTAAACAAATTATAATTTACTTGTTTTTATTGGTTTATTTGTTACATCGATAGCATCGATATTTGGTTCAGTATTATTGAGAAGTCCTATCAACGAAGGTATGGGTGTTGAGAGAAATATTCTGAGAGCTTCACAACAAAGTCTATTTAGAAGCTCTTCGGATACTTCCAGTAGTTCTTCATTTCAATCTCACGTGCAGTCAATAGATCGCAAAAAGGATGCCTTTGTTTTTCATTTCTTAGTCAATGATTTTGATATTTAAAACAAAATTCAATGCAAATTCTTACCGGTTTTCTGTATTATTATTATGTACTGTATATGTGTGTATATACTGTAGAAATTAATGCTTTTTATTATCACAAATATGAATATATTTTATATATGTATTGCAAACTTGCACTTTGAATTGGATTTTAAAAAATATTTTGCTGTAAACAAGTTTACTTTTAAAATATTATTATTATACAATTGTTTATTGTTTTACAATTTTATAAATTATTATAGCATAAAAAAATTAAACACTTATTTATTGAAACAAAAAAAATCAAATTATCACGTTAATAATTTATTATACTTGAGATTATATTGTTATGTCATAAATAAATAAATATATATATATTAATAAATGTTTTATCAAATTGCAAACTAATTTTACCTGTCTTATATGATTTGATATACTTCACATTATTAATAACCAATGGTTAAAAATAAATCAATATATTTTACAAACTATAAAACTGCAATTTTTTTTGAAACTGATTACTACAGTATATACAGTATTACTGTAAATTTATATACTGTATATCTAAAATAAATATAATGGTTAACAAATTAATTTTTTTATTCATGAGTTTTATGTAAAAATATACAATTTATTAATTTAAATTAATTGGTATTAGGTATGGGAGTAACAGTATTGCATGGAGTACTTAGTAATTAAGTTATAATTATAATAATAATATATATATAAATTGTAAGTATAGTTACCATTAATATAAATTATAAATATTGACTAAAATTTTAAGCTGCATTTGATTAAACATTATTCAATAAAATAATTAAAATATCATAACAATCAGTTGTCAAATATAATATTTGATAAAATATTTTTGTTAAATATATAGGTAAAAGACATTAATTTTTGGTCATCAAAGTTGGCATTTCTGGTCATACCTCCCATTATAAGGAAATTGAATCCTAATTAAAGCCGACTCAGACTGTCAGACAGTGTTTTATTTTTGTGACCATTAACTAAGTAACTAATCATCACATGAAGTTTGCATTGAATTGCATTTTATGTGAATATCATAATCATAATTTCAAATCACCACAATTCCGTGACCATTGTTTGTTTTTTGAGGTCAGCTATTAGGTTAAGATTGTCATTTGGGAGGTAGTTATCAGTTAATTCAATTCATTTGTGCAAAATTTTTAAACTTATTTAATTTGATATTATAAATAATAATTGTTTTAAAATTTTACACTATAGTAATAAGTTGATTCCCCCATTTGGTAAGTCAACCTCCTTTTGATCACATTTATAGATAATTGTTGATTGTTGATGGGGGACAACCATTATATTATATTAAATAAAATATAATAATTAAATAATGTTGGCATTTAAACTAGGTATATAATATTAAATATATGATAATAGATATAATAATCAACATAATTTCTATAATAATTGTTACTGTATATAATGTATAACAAAAAAAACAATGATTTTTTTCGTGGACTGCCATCACTTTTATGAGAGGCTTAGTCTAGATTTTGCACATTCGGCGCACAGCAGTTCCGGACCGTCCATAATGAAACCCCTTCCCGATAACGTTATCTGACAGGCGGAACACTTAAAGCAATCGCTGTGCCAATTCCTATCCTCGAAGGCCACAAATCGGGTACCGCCGGGATTGCCCGATATGATTGGTTTGTTACACGAGGAACACTTGTGCGCATAGACTTCGCCAAAACAGTCCAAACAGTATAGGTTGTCGTCTTTCATTGAAAACTTATTGCCCGAAATCAGTTTTTTGCATTTACTACAAGCAAAACACTCCTTATGCCAGGGCTCGTCCTTGAAGGTCAGTCCGTCACCATTTATTACCTGTTTGTTTGATTGATTAAGTAATTGAGTTAAACAAATAAAAAAAACATCAAATAAATTATTATTAAAATTAGTGACAATCAAGATATCATACTTCACTGCATTTGACACACCGGACGGCATACTTAAGCTCATAGCATTCACTACAGAATATGTCGTTTTCTCGCGGAACAAATGATTTGGTACCGATCGGGACCTGACATTTAAAACAAGTAAAACACTGCTCATGTAATGACTTTCCCTTATACTCCATCTTTTTATGACCTGTTAAATGATAATAATAATTATAATTATTATTATTAACTCATAATAAATTATATAATAATAGCTCATCATAAAATATTATTAGGAAATATGTTATTAATTTACTAACATATTATTATAATTAAAAGTAACAAATACTGTATCTATTATATTATACTTAAACAGGATATATATTTATAGAATTTTATATTAATATTTTCTTAGACACAATATATTTATAGATAATGAAACAAATGTTTTGTTAAAGTTGTCACAAACATAATTAAGGAAATATAATATACCGTATAAACAATGTGATAACATATCTTAATTTAATTTGATACCAAAAAAATGGTTTCTTAAATTAGCTAGCTCAATTGCATATATAGTATTAATAATAAATTATTAAGTTATATTTTTAAGCGATTATACAGAACTTATATTACTACATAAATTTAATAATTTTATCGGTATATTATAACTAAAAATATATTGTTTCCAATAATAGTCAATACACATCCTATTAGCGGAACTAATAATTAAATAAATATTTATTTTGATAGAATAGACTATCCTTTTTTTTGTAAAATAAATATTTATTTTAATTAATAAGTCGACCAATAGGTTAGACAACATATAGGTGTGTATATATCATACCAGCTTTAAATGGTTCCCCACATCCATCACATCTCGGTGAGTACTCCATGTCGTAACAGTCGCCACAATAGACGGCATCGTTTTTGGTGCCAAACCTGTCGTCGACCAGTGATTTCTTGCATTTGCGACACACAAAGCATGCCTCGTGCCAGTGCTTCTCATTATAGCATAAGTCCTATGCAAACAATGCAAAACACCAATTAATTATAGTGTAGAAAAAAAGCAAATAATATATAGTATTTATAACATTATTTGACATTTCAATTTGACTTCAAATTTTTAATTAACTAATCATATATATACATAGTTATAGTATTTTATATTATACTAAACTTATGGATCACTTAAAAGTCAGATTAGTTCAATGTATAATATACAGTATATAAATTTAATTGAGTTTTTTTTATAGAGATGGGTTTAACATATTTTTCAACTTTAAAAAAATTTTAATAGATAAAAATAATTTTGTTTCAAAAAAAATTGTTATAATTGATAAATTAACCAAATTTTTAGTTAATCACATTTATAATAAAGTTTTTCATTATTTTATTCACACATTCACTAAATAATATTGTCCAATTTAATATACAGAGAAATTGGACCCCAATAGGGGGTCATTTCCGGGATTTTATATTATTTGCTAATAAATAGCGACAATATCATGGAGTTTAAACCACAAAAAACAAATATGAAATCTATGAATATGTCACAAATATAGTTCATATCGGGTAACGGTTGGGGTATTACAACAATTTTAATGATATCGACCTAATTTCAATGATAATATTAAATTATACAAACATAAGCACTGGTGGGATATTCTTGATTAGCATAGATGTGCACTTTTCTTAGCAATAACCTTGATATATATTTTTGAAAAAAATTCATCTATATGAATTTTATTCTACATTTAAAAAATGATCGATAAATGACTATGATCATACTAAAAAATTTTTAAATAGTTAAATACAATATTTAGTTCAATATTTGTTGTTAAAATCATAATAAAACTATTGAATGTCAATCACGTCTCAAACCCACTCTATCTCTCTCTTTCTTTCTCTAACACTGTTGAGTCAATACACGCCTCCTTTTATAGAAAAGGATATTTGAATTGTTGCCAAATAGTAAAGAGAGGAAGTTATTAATGAATAATATCTATTATATGATTAATTTGAATTTAATAGACTATTAATAAAAGTGTTTATTTACATTAAATGTTGAAATTTTAAATATATTTCTAAACATATTTTTCAAGAATATTTTGGGATCATTAAAATTTATGTTTTTACTAAAATATTCACAATGTAATTTTCAATTTATAAATATACTGGTATAATTTATAGTAATTTGCTGAGCAAATAAAAACTAAATATTTACTATTTTATGTTCACGAGATTTTAGTTTTAACACAATATTTAGAAACAAATACAAAAAAACGAAACTTTATATAAAATATGTGCCAAAATTGAATTTCCAAAATAATTTACTTATGTGAACAAATATAGTGTATTTTATATTAATTATTAATTTTAATAAAAATATAATATAATAAAAAAATCCTCAAAAAAATAATTTCCCGAATCAATGGGACACGAGTTTAAGGGACACAATAAGTGAGAGAGAGGTTAAGCACAACATGATAAGCATCGGTACCTTTGAGTCAATGCCAATGGGTTTCGTACACTCTTCACATACATTTGCGTGGCTCTGTTCGTAACATTTGATACAAAACGGGTGACCCTCTCGGATGACATATCGTTGACCACTGAGTGTCAGATCACACTTCCAACAACAGAAGTGATTGGTATGCCATTCCTTACCCATGGCTTTCGTATATTCGCCGGAGAAGATCAACTGTCGACAAAATAAGCCATTATTATACGGTAACATTGCTTTCAAATGGTTTATTAACATAACATACAAATAACATTATAATAAAACAAATGCCTTCAAAAAATAATTACTACTCCACTAATCTCTATACTCTCTGTACTCTACATAACAGTACAGTATATCTAAATTGTTTCGCATTGGGTTTATTAATAGCAACCGACGTAGGATTGCATTGAATTATTTTAAATGATATATTCAGCAATAACTTTGTTGGTTGGGATCAGTTTCGTGTGCAAAAACGCATTGCCACTAACTTCTTGGTTATTGTAAATCTTTTAAAGCTAAAGATTTTTTTGTGTTGTCAGTGAAAGAAAACTTTTTTATTGCAGACACACACATATATATATTATTATTATTATTATTTTAATGCATGCCATTAAATGAGGCCAAAAATAGTTTAGACGAACACATCAATAGTTTAAAAAACTATCGGTTCAAACAATTTTTTATTTTTGATTGTTGTCTATTACATTCTCGGATAAGATACTTAAGACCCCCTAGTCTTGGATAATATTGGGATAAATGATTGATTTGATTATCTGTTTGTGCAAATATTGTGTGTTTTGAAAACTTCAAAACTACAAATTGTTTTACAAATTGTATAATAAATAAAAGTAAAAGTTTCAACTCAACCAAAAGTCATTGATTCAAAAATAGTTAAGTAATACCTCATCACATGCACTACATCTAGGCTTTATGGTCTCCGCGTAATGTCTTTCACAGTAGAGTTTGTCATCTTTTGCACAGTAGGTCAGGTCTACCAATAATTCTTGGCAAACGTTGCATATGAAACAGTTTGGGTGCCACTGGACCTCATCGCCAAACTTTGACGCCACTACACAAACCTCTTGAACGCCAATAGATTTGTTGCAAGTTTTACACTATAAAAAAATTGTTGATTCAATAAATCAATAGAAATTTAACCAAAATAAAAATGATTATATATATAATAGGTATGCATAGATGTGATAATATAACCATGAAATGTAATACAGTACATGAAATAAAATAACAATAAAAATGTTTATACATACAGTGTTGTTGTTACTATCAGTGAATAATTTGATTGATCCGATTTCCAATGCGTTCACATTTCTATTGTGAACAAAATCTTCAAAATATTTCCAATTTTCTCGTTCAACAAATTTACAATAGGCTAGTGCCAGGTCCTGTTTGGGCAATTGCATGATTATCTGTCGGTCCCTGTATTTTTGGCCCTGTGTTCCTAAACGAGGCACTTTTTGGACAGGTAGTTGCAAAAAGTACTGTTCAATCTGTTTAACAACAAAAATAACATAAGTTATATATAAAGTATAAGCAATTAGGATCTATTACAACAAATTATATTAAAATGCAATATTTTAATATATATTATATTACAAATTAAAAACAAAATTACAATTAATCTTTTTTCTTCATCGTTTAATTTGCTATTATTTTTTGTCAAACGTTTTTTCATTTGTTTAGTAAACATAGTCTCGCAATTCATTTTATGATAGTATAGTACAGTATACTATAATTTTTGTATACTAATGTAATAAAGTTAAAAATAAACAATAATAATGATAACAATAACTTTTATTAAATGTCAAATACAAACAATTAAACTAATAATAATAAAAAAAGGTTGCACTACACATTTATTTAATTAAAATTATTATCACTTATTACGACTACTATTACATGATAGTCAAACAGTTTGACTCAAACTTATTATTAGAGATGAGATCATAAATATAAACAAATTAAACCGTTTAATATGATATCAGTTATACTAGAAATGTCTATTTATGTTGTCTCTATTTTCACCAATTTATTAAATGAAAATATAAAAATGATAATAAAAAAAAGTTAATTCAAAATGTGAATCCAATAACTATTAGTAATTATCAAAATAATGTCTTCCTTTAAATCTATTGCTTGTTTGCTTATATAAGGCGTGAACTTATGTTATAATATATCATAAATATATGTGAATTTCTATTCCAGTTTTTGTAGTAATATATTGTAGAAATACTATAATAATAATAATAATAATAAATTATAAATATTATTACTAACTGAAAGGGTAGCTAAGGTTACATATTAGAAATTTTGTACTAGGACAATTTGCTATGGTTTGTTTATTTTAAAATATCCGTTAAATATTACATTAGTAATACATTATGACATAATAAAGCTAATATCATAGTTTTTTTTGTTGTTATTTAAATACTAATTAGTTATAGAAGTAATACATAGTTTCAAGTTTATATTTGTAATCAACAAAAATTTTACACTATATTTAAGGGTAATTAAGACACTGTTGGATACCATAAAGACAGTTATATTATAGCAATTGTCAGCCAAAGTTTTAAATATATTGGTTTTTAGACATCATTTGACATTAAAATAATAATCAAGAGTTATAATTATGACTTATAAAAATCTGTTTCGTGTCTGTAATCCATATATGTGTACTAATAGCTATCATTACTAAATACTATATAAAATAAACATATATTAGACATAACATAGTGTACAGTACTTTATATTTATTGTTATATATTTCACCACATGATTCAATTTATAAGATAATGTGTCGACAAATATGCTAAATATTATGAAAATCTAAGTGAAATTATTTAATAGATGAGTTTGTGCCAAAAAAGGTCTAATTATATATATATATATATAAATTTATATATATTTATATAAAAATTATCAAAATAATACCTTTTCACTTGTGATGCCTGTGGGAACCCAAGAATATCCCTCTTGTAATGTCCTCTCCTTATAATCTGATCCATCCTTTTTCAATCCTAATCTTTGTCTAACGTCAACAAACTCTTCGTGATAGACAGCGTGTGAATCTCGCGGACACTTACAGTTGGTACACACTTTCCTGTGATTATTATTATTATTAATATTAATAATGCGATTAAATGGCATCACATATAACTATCAATATATATATATATATAAATAAATATAATATTTAACAAATGGTTAGTCAATTGTCAACAATCATATACAATCACAAAAGTATAACAATAACGACAACAACAAAATTAAGTCAATAATAATTAGTTTATTGCAAGTTTGTTTGTACCACATGTTATAATCATAATAAATAAATGCATTGAAACATTCATTCATTCAATTAATTAATTAACTAATTATGAGAGTTTGTTTATTATTAAAATAAATTAAATAAATATTAGAGAAACATATTTTCAAACACTTTATGCATTCAACAATTTTTTGCATAAGTTTTTACATATAAGTCATTTGTGTAACTAATAAACTAATATCCTAGAAATTAGAATTTTTCGCCTTGATTATTTAAGGAAAAGTGCATATATGTTAGTTTATCAATATATGGTAAGTGTAGACATGGCATATCAACTAATCAGTTCAGTAATACAGTGCAAAAAACACCAGTTTTTAAACAGTAGTAAACAGTATTTGGATCTCAACCACAAAAAAAGCTTTCAATAAACTCATTGATGGCTAAAACTGAAGTACATTATTATTATTATATAATCTACTTTATGAGTGATTCTGTAGTCTAATAGTATATATACAGTAATAGACTTATATTTTCTCTGCGCACATACCGTATATTAACTAACATAACGGTGTGACTAACAGTGTGCTGAGCGCCAGTGTATCTGATTTAATCTGTCACCAAATCTAATACCAAAAGCAATACTTTTAAATATAATAGATTATATATGTTTGCTATATAATTAAGAAATAACTATCACTTGATGTAACTGTTTATATATTCATACATTTCTCAGTTATAGTAGTTTTGATGGACAGCTTAATGTATTGTTATTTTAGATGAAAACTATAGTCACAATGCATGACAATGCGTGCATCAAAATTGATATTTTTAGGGAATCGCCTAATTATATGCTTTGATTGACAATACCATTGTATTTACACATTAGCTAATTGAAAATTGTAGCAATAAGTATATATTGAATTTATATAATCTTAATTTGCATTTATAATTAAATAAAATAAATAAGTTTATATACAGTATATGTAAAATAAGTTCATTGAAATCCAAAATTAATGATAAAAGTTTATTATCAATGTTTATTATAACAAAGAAAAACAATATATTTTAATTATAATTACTTATTTAGACTACAAATTAAAGTATACAAACTATTAATAATAATCATATTGTATTTTCAATTGTATTAATACTGTTTTCTATAAAAGTCTATCTAAAAATAACAATTTATTTTATTTTATTATTAATAATGTATCATAATTATAATTATAATCCTGACAACTATATTATTTTAGATACGATATAATCAATTTATGCAATTCAATGATTGGCTTATATTATATACCGTATATACCAATATATATATATATATATATATATATATATATATATATAAATATAAAGCATATCATATATAATAAAATAGTCAGATATTTCAATTGATACTCTATTAGCATCTGAGGCGCCGACATATGGTCTGAAATGTCGCCAAACATAGAGAGAGTGCTGACATCAAAATATATGACAAAACAGATGTACTTATTATTAGATAATTTAAAGCGCATTCGTGACAATACTTTGTATTTTAAATTATTTGTATTTTTTAAAAATTAATTAATTAATTTCAATGATTAATAGTTACAAAAATATTATGGGTCTGATAATGAAAATGCTGATGTTTACTATTTTAAACCTACTTTAAACACTAAAATCCATTATAAGTTTTTGTTTTTAAAATAATATGTATTTAATTACAATTTAATAAAAAACACATTAGTTTTGCATGTAAAACCATTGTTCATTAATTAGTATATATATATATATATATATATATATATAAGCAAATTTATAGCCAAAACTGATGTATATTTATTAAGCATTTAACATTTTCAGACACATTGAAATAAAATGACAAAATGTTTTTAAATAATATTTATAGTCTTATTTACACACAATAATATTTATATTATATAATATACAGTGTACATAAACATAAATAATATTTTGCATTGTTATAATATATAAATTTTATTATATATATATATAAATATGTATTTTAAAACGGCTCACAATTTCCGTAAAATTATAATAGTAAGTCATAAATCATTGTGTTTTATGCTTTATATAATATATAATTAGATAAGTTTAGTTAAAACTTTAAAATTCTACTCAAATTAAAAGATAAAATGTTACACTTAATACAACAGATTATCTAAAATAATAAGTATAGAATATTCTGTTAAGTAAAATAAAACTTAATTTGTGTCAATAGTATTCAATGAAATAGTTTTCTGTATATTTGTTTTTATAGTACATATTGTATATAATTATATCTTAATACACATTATTATATTAAATAATACAACACACAAATTATTTGTTTATTTAAATAAATGGGGGAAAACTATTTGGCTTAGTTTACATTTTATTTGACACCATCAGCAGTGGTTGATTTTTTTGGTAGATAACTGAATGTTGAACCTAATTAACATACTTCTTAATTTGTATGATATAAAAAACTATAAATATAGACTATTGTAACAAAAAATAAAATAAAGAGTTAACATAAATTCTTCTTAGATTAGCTAAAAGTTTTTTTTCACAATAAAAATAAAATATTATAATTTGTGTTTACTATTTGGTTGAACGTAAAACTAAAAAACATTTTCTAAATTAATTATATCCTAAAAATATATAAACAGATATATACTGTATTTGTCAATTTATTCAATTTAGTTAACTTAGTTTTTTAAAATAATTTGTTAAAAGTTATCCATAGATGTATATTCATAGCTAAAAAATTATTAAAATAATTTATTCAATTAACAAAAATAGTTAAACATACTATTGTCTGATTACAATCAACCAAATATAGTACATATTTATTAAGATATTTAAGATATAATTTATATCACTAACTTAGTTAGAAATTAAAAAACATAATATCAATACTACAATAAATTATTGTCAATAATACATAACTCTAGATAGAGTTACGGTATAAGTAAATATAATAAATAAAACTTTAATGTTAGTATTATAGTATATTTATATTTATTCATACTGTATAGTATGTAATTGTACAATTAAATTTAATTGCAATATGTCAATGAGTGTGAGTCTATGGAGCAAAAAATATTAATATAGTTACTATAAAATGAGTAAATTTATCTTAAAGATTAATAAAAAATAAACATTAAGTAAAATAGGATATAAAATTACAGTATTATAGTTGTCAAAATGTATATATTATATACAGTATAATCATATTAACTAATAAAGTATATATATAAATATAATATAAGTCATAATTTCAAAATTTTTGACACTTTTGATAAATTCTTTATATGATAATAAATAATAATATATACTTAAAAATACTTAATTATAAATACTACATGTAATTTTAACAGCCTTTTATTATTTACCTCAAGTGCTTTGTAAATATTTTATAATTTATTAAATATTATACAATATTATTATTATTATTCCAAACAAACTCTAATATTAATATTTAACAATTATTTTAAAATCCACTAAAGCAAATAAATACATTATATATGTTATCTGTTTTTTGAATTAATTTCCCACTAATTATATGTCCTTTTTTATTAAAAAAACAAAACAGTATAAATACAATATATACTGTAAACAGATAACTATTATTGTGGAGGCAGTATTCAAGTAGATATAATTGTTTTGCATTAACAAATAAAAAAAGTGTATAAATTTATTATTTTTATATTGAATGAAAAATAAAATCGCAATTTCATTGAATAAATAATTAAATTGAATAACAGGTGATAAAAAAGCTTATATTTGCTATTTTTAAAAAAGGCAAAAAAGAGACTATTTATATGCAATGACTCAATATAAATATAGTGTTAATCAATTGTTTGAGTTAATTTTTTTAACAAAATTCAATGCTAAACACTACATAAAATTTTTAGTCATGAAAATTATTTAATATATATGTAATATATGCATTTATTGCAAAAATGGTTAAATTCTTATAACATGAATTACATTATGGTTTTATCATTAATAGAGAATTGGTTGAATAAATATTAATAAGTTTTTATGTTTGAATCCCATTTGACTTAAATAATATAAAAAATATAATAAGATTATTATACACTTTATATATGTAATAAATAGGATATTAATATAAAGTAATTTATGATTTTATTAATATTAAAATACATTTGTGATTTGTTGGCAAAAACAAAATGATTTTATATAAATGCTAATATAATTTATATCAAGAATATTTATAGGGTGGGGATTGAAAAAAATCAAAATTTATAGTTATAGTCATAAATATCATAAATAATTTAAATTACCGGTAACTAATTAAAAAATATATTAAACAAAATAATAATATTGAGTATAGAATTTAAAAGAATATTCTCCTTGGTTAAAAACAAAATTTATGATTTATTTATAGGAAACTGCTTTACCTTGTTTGCCATTCAGTCAAATGTATATCAATTTATATTTGACACAACAGTAGTAGTAATAATTATGATATGAAAGCTATAAAGTACTTATCAATAAAATAAAAATATGATATAACTTAAAATGTATGTTATATGTCATAATAATCATATAATCAAATATTAAATATGTTATATATAATACAATAGTATGTAATGCATTGAATATATGAATGAATTTTTCCATTATTTATAACTAATAAATAACATATACCGGTATTAAACCAAATAAATTATAATAATTTATAACATACTTTAGTCGACAAAAATAATAACTACATATATAGTATAAATGGTATAATAAAATCAATAATATTTATGTCTAAAAACTTACCGCCAGAGATGTGCTTCAAAGCCGACACATGTGTGACAATCGTTACACTTTTGGCCGATATCTACCTCATTGATGACAATGGCCTAAACAAAGTAGATATTAGACATAATTATAGGCAAATTTAAAATGAAATAAAGTTTTTAACATTTAAAAATAATGATAGACAGAGATAATATTTTGAAGGAAAGAGTGCAAACAATTTTTGCAATTAAATATCTCATCGATAGCTGGTTTTTATCAAGTGATGGCACATACAGTATATAACTTATAATAGCTGTGCACTGATTGACTTTAAATAGTACAGTATATCTATCATCAAGTGTTTCGGGTAAATATGTAATCAATATATCATTAATAATATATAACATTTAAATAAAGTAAATAACATATAAATAGCTTTTTTTTCTCCTAAAAACTTTCAAAACATATGTCTCAGAAAAAACTTTTTACTTTAATGGTGTAGTCATTGACAACACTTTATTTTTAGTCACTAAATACATGGGATCAGTGTTTGTCATCAAAACTCGTCGGCAAAACTATTTTTTTTTGTTGAGTTTAAATTACTGACCATTTTCGGTGATTATAGTGATTGTGATAATATTGCTGTGATGTCCAAAACAAACATAAAATCTTATTTAAAATTCATAAAAATTTATATAATTATATATAAAAATAAGTTAAATGTTTAATAAATTGTAAATAAAAATTGTTGAGTTATATATATATATATATAAATGTGCAAAACTTGTACATCAAATGCAACTTTTCAGTGACACAATCGCTGTAACAATAATTTCATTATAAAAATGAAAATATGAAAAATGTTGTGTAAAAACTATTTTGAATTTTCTATGAATGCATTCAACAAAACAACACAAAAGTGATGCACTTTTTATTGCAATACAACACAAACATTAATATCAATTCAATTCATACATTCATACGATACATACCATTGATATGAAAGGCTTATAAGTTATAGGACTGACAGCACAACAAACACTAATAGAATATCGTTGTCAATATAGTAGACATACACACAGTGTGTATGTGTTGTCGTAATTATTGTGTGTTATATAATGTATGTATGGGTCACGTGATTATATGATTTGTGTTTTGACAACAATGGCGACCAAATCAAACACAACAGCAGTGATGGACACGAGATCCGAATTGGCAGAACTGGTCAAACGTCGCGCCGAAATTGCCGTCAGTATTAGCCACCGTCAACTCGATGGCTAACCTGTCCACACATTTACACTGTTTTTCATTATTGCAGGAAATGTTGTGTAATCTGGAGCGACAAATATACGCCTTCGAGGGCTCCTATCTGGAGGACACACATCTGTACGGAAATATCATCAGAGGTTGGGACAGGTATCTCATGAGTAATAGGTCTGTCTTTTTATAAGGACAGCCATTTGGTTAACATTATTAGTCACTAATTTGTGTGTCTTTTGCGTAGAAATACAAATAGCAAATCTGACAAAAGAAACCGTAAATTCAAAGAAGCCGACCGTCTATTTTCCAAGTCTTCCATTACTTCAATGCAGGTCATCATCGGCTAAGTGTTATCAGAATAACAGTTGTTTGATATAAACTTTGTTTGTTTAGGCTGTGGTAGGTTTGCAGACAGACAAAGAAGCAGCCGAACAAAGTTCGGAATCTGAGTCTCACAATCCGAACAGTCCCGATGATGGTATGTCTTCAGCAAAAGCATAACATTATAGTTTTAATTATGTACTAATCAATTATGTCTTATATTGAATTGTCATCAGCTCCTGGTGATGGCGCACTTTCTGCTGATGAAGACGTCACTCCATCCAAGATAACCAAATCATCGCAAAACCGCTCAAAGAAAGCCACTTCCAAGAGGTCCAGACATAAGTATGGCATTACATAATAATGACATCAATTGATGGCATTTAGGTAATCATATGTTATCTTAATTATAGAGCCAGTGATGACTAAATGTGATGAATGCAACCACAGGAATAAGTTTACTTTCAATGACACCACTTGAGAGTTGTCACTGAACTCAAGCAATCTTTGCCATTTGAAAGCATCGATTTGAAGACAACTTATTAAAAAAAAGCAAACGTCTAAACATAAACTTAATTTTATGATTAATGATTGTAATAAATTGCCACTATTTTTATGTTTTACAGTAATTCTAATATCTTATGTTTCTAATTATAATAACTGATATACTTTTAAGATTATATATTCAATAAAGTTTTTAATTGAAGTAAATTTTATATTTTTACAGTAAATTAAATTTTAATTTCAGTATTTTTCTGACAGTAATGTTAATCAATACGATTGTCTGAGTTCTTGTTCTGCTTCTTCTAATGTTTTGATAACATGAGTCAACTCGTCTCTGTCTAATTCAAGTGACACAATCCTATTTCTATTGTTTTCGGTGACACTCAGATCCAGATTGACAAGTGGTTCGTTCAAATCAGACATCTTATCGCTATCTAAGACGACATTTAATTTCCAGAAAAAATCTTTGAGCACCGGATTGTTTTCGGCAATCGTCTCATTGATGATGGCTTTTCTTAGTTCCGGTCGCCGAACTTCAATGCACTCTAATGTCAACTTCTGGATATCTTCAGGTAATTGTTGTAACGACTAATTATAAAAACAATAGATTAAAAGCAAGAAACAGTGTGTCATAATTATCACCTCATGTTTGGTCCGAATATCAATCAATTGTAATAATAATCTTTTAAATAATGCGATACAATCACCAAATTGTAATTCAGTAGTAAAAACTGTCGGAACATATTTGTCAGTTTTTAAGTCACAAATACCACAAATATCATCAATTATTTCGTGAATCAACTAATTTTAAAGACATTAAAAGTTACCGATAATAACAAAAATAAATCGACTATAAAATCAAAATTTAAAATAAATTTACCGAAAATATTTGGTCACTATTTAAGTGTTCACTCAATTGGTTGACAATTAAATTGGTTTCCATAATGTCTTTAATTAAAAAGTAAAAACAACTAAATCAAAGTCACATTAACTTAACATTAAAAAACAAACCAATCACTGGATTAGTTTACAAAGTTTATGAAACAAACAAAACAAACCCAACTTTTTATTGATAGTTAACATTAAATAAACAATTAATGACTAAATTTGTTGACATATTATTATGAGTGGACACATAATGTTGGGATCAAATGGTGATAATCATTGACCACTACTTGTATTGATTGGCAATCGCTTGTCATTCATGTGTTGACATATACAACAAACTCCGCCCACAAACAGTCTTTACTGTTCACTGATTGGTTGATTGCTGTCGACGTAGTGTTTGTGCAAAACATTCGATTTTGGATTCTTTGCCAAAATTCTGTCTTTGAATTGCTTTTCATTAAATCGATTGAACATCTGATCCAAAGATATCACTAATAATATGATATCGATTTGTACTCTTATTTACACTACAGAAGTAATTCATTAACAGTTAGTTTAACGATGTTTGGTCTGTGTTCGGGCCGTAAGCCAACCGGTGAAGTCAATCGTCGAGTTCGGGCCAATATTGTGGACACAATCGGTACTAACGCCACGTACGCCAACAACCGGATCCGGACCACTAAATATACTGTATTGACATTCTTGCCGAAGAATCTGTTCGAACAGTTTCATCGGTTCGCCAATTTGTACTTCTTGGGCATACAACTACTCAATTGGGTGCCGGGTATGCAATGGTCACTAACACACACTCATAGACATAACATATCATAAAAACATGTCTCATATGTTGTTGTTGTTGTTGTTGTCAATGATTTGTTTATCTTTAGGTATCACCGCCTTTGCCAAAGAAGTCCAAATGCTTCCCTTTTTATTCGTATTGAGCGTTACAGCCGTTAAAGATATTTTTGAAGACTATCGGCGCTATCGGTCCGACAAAAAAGTTAATAACTCGATATGTCGTCGCTTTGATGCGTAAGTTATACCACAAAAAATAATAAAACAATAACTATTGAAAAACAAGAAGTTTTAGCAATAAATTAATAAGAAATAAATTATTGAATATTAAGTTTTATGTGTTTGTCTTTTGGTATTTTAGAAAAACCAATCGTTTTGTTAAAACCAAATGGCAGGACATATATGTCGGCGATTTTGTCCACTTGTCTTGTAATTTAACCGAAATATTTAGAGAAAAAACATTAATTTTTCAACAATGTTTGAATATTTGTCAAATTAGGTGATGAAAAAGTTCCCGCAGATATTCTTATACTAAAAACAAGTGATGAGTCTGGTCTTTGTTATGTCGAAACGGCTAATTTGGACGGAGAAAGTAATCTAAAACAACGACAAGTGGTCAAAGGATACGCCAAACAGAGTTCTACGTTTAGTCTGAAAAACTTTACGGCTATTGTTGAATGCGATGCACCCAACTCTCAGATCTATCGGTTTAGTGGTTTTATAACGGAATCAAATGGAGAACAGATATCCATTAATAAAGATAATCTACTTCTTAGAGATTGTGTTCTGAAAAATACAGATTTTATTGATGGCTTAGTCGTCTATGCGGGTCATGAAACTAAAGCTATGCTCAACAATGGCGGACCGCGATCTAAGAGAAGCAAATTAGAACAGTATATGAATAGAGATGTTGTTTGGTGTGTTGTCATTTTGTTACTCATGTGTCTAATTGGATCTATTGGTAAGTCAAACCATTAATTATTTATTTTATTGTCAAACAATTATTCATTTAAAAAAGGTTACGCCATTTGGCTGACGTCTTACGAAGACTGGAGAGAAGTGGTATATCTTAATCCTTACCAATCTATTAGTCCGGCATACAATGGATTTCTAATATTTTGGACATTCATTGTGTTATATCAAGTGATTATTCCATTGTCTTTATATGTGACCATTGAATTGATAAAACTGGGACAAGTATATCATATACATCAAGACATACATATGATTGATGAAAAAAGTAGTAAAAAAGTGTTTTGTCGGGCACTTAACATAACTGAAGATTTGGGACAAATTGAATACATATTTTCCGACAAAACGGGAACATTGACTGAGAATCATATGGTGTTTCGCCGGTGTTCTATTGGTGGCATTGACTATAGTCATCAAAAGCCTCAATTGACTGAAGATAATTGTAATTTTGATGGCAATGGCAGTGAAGAGTTTCTATTGAATCCACACCTAAAAGAAGAGCTAACACTAATGGCTCAGAGAATGCCTTCCGAAGAGAACTTGGAATCCAATCAAAAAACTACTTACGAGTTATCCGAACAAAACAAACGCATTCAAGACTTTTTTATTTTGTTGTCTGTTTGTAATTCTGCAGTCGCCTCCAAATTTCCACATAAAGATCAGATGACCGCTAGTGGACAATATCTCGATCAGATATCACCGCCAAAAGAGACTGATAAGAGTCCATCAATAAAAAGACCGCTCAGTTCGTTGATATCGTTTATATCTTCGGGATCACCGGCATCTCAACGGTCACAGAAATCCCGTAGCCCATCACCGCTACCATTAAGACCAATCTATGAGTCTGAAAGTCCCGATGAGGTTGCCTTAGTTACCGCTGCTTTTCGCTACAGTATTAAACTTTTGAAACGAAACTCTGAGATGGTTTTAGTGAGCCTTCCTTCTGAGGGAACCATTGAATTCAAATTATTAAATATACTGCCGTTTGATTCGACCCGAAAGAAAATGTCGATTATCTTAAAACATCCCAAAACTAATGAAATCATATTGTTTTGCAAAGGCTCTGATTCGGCAATTTTGGAGAGTTTGGCCAAAACTGATGACCAGGAAATGACAACAATTATCGACACAACAAAAAGACAATTAGACTATTATAGTAAACAAGGTTTGAGAACACTCTGTATGTCTAAGAGAATACTTTCTGAAGAGGAATACAATAAATGGAATGAAAACCATAAGAAAGCCGAACAGTCGTTAAAAAATTCAGAAGAAGTGCTGATAGAATCATATAATCGAATTGAATGCAATCTGACATTACTCGGCGCCACTGGTATTGAGGACAGTCTACAAGAACGAGTACCAGAAGTTATAGCCAATCTTCGATTGGCTGGTATTGTCGTTTGGGTACTAACCGGTGATAAAGTTGAGACTGCAGTTAATATTGCCTATTCGTGTGAATTATTTACTAAAAATATGACCGTTGAATATCTGACAATTGAATCTAAAGTAATGAAAACTTTGATAATAAATTGAGACTATTTGTTGATTAAAAAAATATGATTTTTTAGGACAAAACACTACACAATTTGCGGAAGCATTTGCGACAACTTCACGAACAGGGCGTCACAAAAGCCATCAAAGATGTAGAGATGTCTAAAGCTATGCAATGGTTTTTGAATATTATTCTTTGGGGCGCTCGAAGGCCACAAACTTGTACTATTGATCCAATTGTTCGAAGCAAACGTGGACTCGTTGTCGATGGCAAGACATTATCGTTTGTCACCGATAAAGAGTTTGTCGGCTATTTCTTAGAGTTGGCACAATTTTACAGTTCGGTGCTCTGTTGTAGAGCCACTCCGTTGCAAAAGGGAGAAGTTGTCAAACATGTTAAAGAGATTCTTAAAGTGATGACTCTGGCCATTGGCGACGGCGCTAATGATGTCGCTATGATTCAAACGGCTGATGTTGGCATTGGTAATGCAGTATTTGTCGATCATATCAAATATTAATTAAAATTTACTAAAATATTAATTACCGGTAATATTATTATTATTTTGTGGATGCGAACAGGTATTTCAGGTCAAGAGGGTACACAAGCAGTAATGGCCAGTGATTTTTCATTACCGCGATTTCTATATCTGGAACGTCTACTTTTAGTTCACGGGAATTGGAGTTACTATCGTTTAGCCAGAACTGTCCTATACTTCTTCTATAAGAATGCAGTAAATAATAATAATAATAATAATATAAATTCTCTATTAATTTATTACTATAACTTTAATGTTATATTTATTAATATTTTTTTTATTAAAAGAGTTGTGTTTTTGTGATACTTTGGTTTCAAATATATTGTGGATGGAGTGGTGCTGTTATGATAGATCAGTTGTATTTGATGATTGTTAACGCAATGTTTACATCGTTTCCACCGATGATTTTAGGCATTTATGACAGAGACTGTCCATCAGATTTGCTTCTCAAATATCCACATCTCTATGCGAGAGGACGTAAATCAAGAGTAAGTGATTATTATAGCTATGTTTTTTCGGGATTTAAAATGACCAAAATTAACTAAATTAATTTTATAAATATTTTTCGGGATTTTGTCAAAAAAACACAAAAAATCGGGAAAAACAATAGGCGTTAATTTTATTCAAAATGAACCATATTTCTATAAATATTAAATTCCCGACGATTTAATAAATAATAAAGTTTCGGGAATTCCCGAAGAAACATAGYTTTAGTGATAATTTGTTTTGTTTTTTTTTGGTGACATTTATTCTGTATTTTTTACACATATTATCCTATGTTTTGTATTATTAATTTTCAGGTTTATACAGATTATTCATTTTGGGTGAATATGTTTGACGCCTGTTATCAAAGTATTGTAATATTTTTCGTGCCATTAATTTTCTTCTTTGACACCGATATTGGGTTTTATGAGTTCGGTTCGGATATAATTATAACTATTATTAAAATGTTAAATAATATATTACAGAATATAATAATCATCTAATGATTTGTATGAATTAATATTTTTTAGGAACTATAGTATTCACTGCAGTTATTTTAGTTAATTTGGTTCACGTGTCCATTGAATACAAGTCGTGGTCAATACTACATGTGATGGCACTCTTGTTCAGTATTGTTAGTTATTTTTCATTTGCATACGTCTATAATTACTTCACACTCGGAGGTATGTTCTCATCCGATGCTTATATGGTAATACAGGTAAGTTGTCGTCAGAACTTGAAGTCTTAATTTATTAAATAATAACTATATTGATAATTGATAGCATGTTTCATATGATCCCCGGACTTGGTTGGCGATTGTCATAATTCTTGTATTGGCAGCATTGCCGCGGTATGTGTGTGTGTGTGTGTGTCTGTCTGTGACAACAATTTTCAGTCACACATAAATTAAATCTTAATTTATTTCTATTACAGAATAACTGTGCGATCACTACAAACCACATTAACACCGAGTCTTATAACACAAGCGGTTCAGACAAATAAAGTAAAGAGTAAAGAAAAAACAGAATACTTTATGGACAACATTCCCAATAAGAAGCCGACCATATCTGCCGTCTGGACAAAGAAAACCAAATCCATGATTATGTCTGAAATCGGTTCGACCAATAAATTGCAACAAAAGGTCGTCGACAACACCGATAAAACTAAAGCCAAAGATTTTACCGAAACAAACGAGACTAAAGTTACGGAAGGTTCGGACATAAAGTCATCAGAAGCAACACTAAACACTATCCAAACCAAAGTTGATGTAAAACCAACCGATTCTAAATCCAATGTAAAACCCGAACCGCAAAAACAAAATTAGACATTTATTTTATCCTATATTATATATATATAATTAGTATTTGTTTTATTTAAAAAATATAAATTAGTTTAGTTTACTAATATAATTGATATTTTAATTTTAATATACTGTAAATTTACACCATTAATTTACACTATATATTGTCAAACATTTTATAATAAATTTTATTTATTTAATACATAACGTGTTATAAATTTAAATAGTGATAAATACCGTACGCTATAATAATAGTTTACTGTACTTTAGTGATCCAATTCCAGTGTATAAATAATAACCGGTATATCCAATATACTGGTAAATATTACGGTAAGTTTATGCAAACAAATTTACATATTTGTAATAAGATATTAACATTAAAAATCAAACATTTCAATTTTTACTAAAAAAATTAATTTATTAAATGTTAATTTTAATAATAGAAATATAATATAAACATATAATATTAAATTATTGTCATTTAATTAATAATAAAAAAGTTAATGAAATTAAATTTAATGGATCACAGAAGTGATTGATTGCACGATTCAATCAATACAAACATTATAATAATAAACATGTATTTTATAAATCGTTTGTCCGATGATTATGAATAATAATAATAAAGCGGTAAATATATAAATATATAATTAATTACAAACAATTAAAGCAATAAAATTGTAAATAAACTGTTAAAATATATAAATGCTTTACACTAAAAAAAATTCATTACAATTAATCTGAGTTTGTTGTTTGTCACCCAAATCTATAATCATGATTGTCATTAAACTATCGCAGTTTATGGCACTAATAGTCTAATAAACTTTATATACTGTATAAATATAAATACTTTTCTCAATAATAAAAATTATTATAAACTCATGTATTTTGTAATAAACTATTTGTATGTAAATATAAATTTATACTTTGTTATGAAAATATGGATATTTAAACAAACAATTACTTAAGAGACTGTTATTTTGCCCCTAAAATTGATTTATAAATTGTCATTATAACAAACTTATTGTTAATAATAATAATAATATAGAGTATATAATTTGTCTATTAAATCATTTGTTTTTAAAAATAATATATATATATATATCTTAAAAATTACTGACAATTTCTGAATGACTCCATATTCAGTCGCAATTTGTTAAACTCTTGTGTCTTTAAAAAGTCGACAGTTTTGTAAACAGTTGAATCCAAACTCGACGCACTGGTAGATTGATTATGACTTGCACTGGTTGTCAGCTCTTTGTTAGAAAGTGTTGAACTACTTCGTTGATGATTATGTTCATTAGGTGTTCGAGGACTTTGAGAGTTTGTGTCCGACTCGAGATCTAAATCAAGATATTGTATTTCTGAGCCCTCGAAATGACGCGGAGGTGGAGGTACTTTCGTTCCCTTTCCCTAAGTAATAGAAATTAATTATTGTCTCAATAATTATAGAAAACAATCCAATTTAAATGCTAACTGTTTGTTCTTCATTGGATGAGTTTAGACGACTGTTTCCATTAAGACTGGTGTCATCTTCAGAAGTAGACGGCTCGCGATTGTGGTTTTGTTGCATATGTCTCGACGGTACTCGCGGTAGAGTTCCGTTAATTGTAGTCTGTGTTTGGACAGCACTTATATATAAACAAGAAAACATAGTTAGTATATATCAAACAACATGTATTATTATAATTTCCGATTCAAACCTGGGTTTCCGGAAACTCCTTTTGGTGGCCGCACTTTGAATACGCGTCAGTGCTGGCGGAGGTTGTAATTGAATTGTCGCCGACTTTGTTGTAGGCGATGGAAGCGTTGTATTACTATTATCACTGTCGGAACCTTTACGTTTTGGCTTAAGATCTCTATTAACAGCGGGCGGACCGACGACCAGATTGTTTGGTAAGGAACTAGAAATATGTGAATTGCAATAATTGGCTAAATTAGGCGTCAATGGACTTCTGTCATGTGTTGAATCATTAGCCAATGCATTGCTATTTTCATCGGCACCTGAAGTCAGGGTAGGCTTATAATCGTAATTAAATATAGTTTCCTTATTAACGGAATAATGAGGTCTCATATCAGCGAGATTGGCGTTAGTATAGGAGTGTTGTTTGGAGTGTCGTGATGTCGATCTATCTAAAGTACTGATAGGAACGGGTGCATTGATAAGTGACGCATCCTTATCAGTGCTATCAGTAAAATGAGTCGTTTCTGATGAGCGAGGATTCATTCGTGGAAAGTCATACAATTCATCCAATGATTTCGGTGAATCACCACTTTGTGGACAAATGGGGGCTCTTTTATTAGCCACTTCTTCATTATATTCAGCGCCACTTATGGGAATGTCGTATAGTTGAGCCACATTTGGCACTGAGCCATAACCATCTGATTTACTTTTAGATCGCCTAAGACTGGGAGGCTTAGGTGGTCGAGGAGGTGGTTGAAACTGTTGATTGCCATCAACGCTTTGCACAGTGTCTCGAATAATGTCTAGATTTGGTGGTGATATTGATCTTTGCTGATCCAAACCTGATTTGCTTCTATGTCTAGTCGTCAGATCGAGCGCTGCGCTACAGCTTCGCACTGAAGTACGCGTTGAATCATTGGTAATCAAAGACATAGCTTCAGGTGAGTCACGCGGATATGTACTCCAATTGACTTTTGGTGGATTAGGTATCGTCGACACTGTTGTGTTTCGCAGAACATGATTTTGATTTGTGGCACTTTTCGGTGCTTTTGGCACACTTTCTAATAGACTATCTTCTGTTTTGTTGGACAGCATATCTGTGCCCGGATTAAGTTGTCTGGGAATATCATAACATTCATCAGATATGGTTCGACTTAGTTTAGTTGGAAGTTGTGGCACAGTATCTAAATCTACTAAACTTCCGTTTACAGGCTTTCCTGTGTGACACTCACTAATCGGGATGTATGGTCCCGAAGGGCCGTCAATATGTGTCACAGAAGTGCGGGTATTGGTTGAGTCTCTTGAGTTGCTTTTGGCGTGATTTGATTTAATATGATTTTTCATGTTATTTATGTTTTCAGAGTTTTTCAATGTATTATTTGCTAATGTATTGGACGAAGTGATCGTACTTGAAGTGGGAGCACATGTAATGATTGATGGCGTCGAAGATGCGATAGTTGTGGTCAACGTTCCGTTGGAGTCAGCATTGGTAGAGACGCTGTTTGTGTTATTATTGGTATTATTATTATTATTGTTTGCACTAAATGCTAACTCTTGACTCGGTTGTGGAGAATACCTGTCATCCTGTCCTTCCTCGACATGTATTCTTAGGCCACAAACAGAACAAATACATTCAACCCATTTATTCATTTCACTTTCACTATTGGCCACTAAATAATAAGTCCGTTTCGCAGTCTTCACATCAAACATATGCTGAAAATTGTCTTTTTTGTTCTCCAGTTGTAGTCCTGCGTCGACCTAAAACAGTGGGTGTAATACAAACCATACAAAAAACAAACGGATTGAGTCATTAACTAATAGCTCTTTAAATGATAACAAAATAAAATAAACAAATAGATAATCAAATGACTAATTACTTGTTCGCATTGATCCAAATCTATAAGTCCTTTGAGTTTGCGTTTGGTTGAGTCGGCGTAATACTCGAGTACGTACTGACCCGGGATATTACCGGGAAGTCGGAGGACAAACCAACGGCGACGCCATTTCTAAGGGCAACACAAAATCCGTATCAATACTTGTTATTAACGTCTCTCTCTCTCTCTCTCTCTCTCTCTTCAAATATATATAATATATATAACAAAATGAGAGCACAATTCACATACAATTAGATTATTCAAACACAACTGTTTTAACTCTACTTTAAATTTAATATTAATATAAGTTGTTATATGTATTCAAACATTTAAAACATAACAGTGTTTTATATATATATATATACAGTATATCATTTTTATGCTAATTAAGTAATACCTGTCCTTAAAGCTAAAGCTATTTAAAAAAAGACCAGTTTTTGTCGTCGAGAAAACTATTTTATTTGTTGGCCTCAATTCACGTCTCATATTATTATTATTATATATCAAATGTTTTAATACTTTTTGTTTTTAGTTTTGTTTTAAAACATAATTCATTGCACATAACTCTATAGGGTTTATAATTATTAAATATTTTTAAAAAATGATTTATTAAATGAATGAATGAATGAATGAATGCAAACAAAACAACTGATTGATGGCTCAGTTATGCCAACAAAAAACATACCGTTTTCCAGATCTTGTCCGGCGGTGACTTTGTTAGCCAACCCTCACAAACAATACCATTATTGATGGCCAAAGACAGACAACTGTTGGTGTGGTTATTGTTGTTGTTGTTGTTGTTGTTGTAATAATTCATTTGTGCGGTCGTTATGTTGTTGTCCATCGTTAGGAAGTATACACCTATTAGTCACTTATTATTAACAAACATATAAACAAATTGCTATAATATGGCGCATAACGTCATAACACTATCACTACTATTATAGTAGTAATACTAATACTATTAGTCGATTATATGTTGATTGCAAATATAGATACATAAACACAAACAGGCTTTAGGTTTGGGTTCACTAAATAATGTATCGGTTTTTTAATTATTATTTTAAAAACTTTCTTTAACTTACGATATCCATTGAATTTGCATTATTATCATTAATAATATACATATACTGATAATACATGTATTAGACTAATATTGTCTTAATGTATTATATAATTAATTTATCTATTATAATTATTTAATAATTTTCGAAATTCAAAATTGTAAAATAATTAAATATTTAAAAATTATTAAAATTACAAATATATCAAAATCTAATCTATTTTTTTGTAATAAATGCCAATAAAAAAGAACTTAAAATTATTTATTAAATTCGGTTCGGTTCTGGAATCCGGGTTTTGGTTTAATTCCGGTTCGTACCTCTATTTGTGTAAATGTTAAACATTGCACTATTAATACATATACTGTATATAGTGTTGGGAATTTTACGCAATCCAATTTTCGATTGCCGCAATTGCGGAAAATTGCGTGAAATTGCGTGAAATTGCGTTGTGAGGGAATGTATAAAAATTTAATAAAATTTGCACATATAATCAATGAATTAATATTTATTATATCATATAAAATTAAGACTCATTTTCTGATTCAGATGAATCTTCTAAATTATTATTAATACATTTAAAATGTGTACGTATTGAAACTAATTTGGCAACTCTTTCATTTGTCAATTTGTTACGTTTTTTAGTATGAATGTCTCCAAAACTTGAAAACACTCTCTCAACCGCAGCAGATGATGGAGGGATTGACAATAATCTAATTGCAATATTAGATAAATCCTTATATTTCTTATATTCCTTGAATTCAGTCCACCATTGAATCACATTTTTAATATTTATCCACAATGAATCAATTGCAAAAAACCCTAAAAATATTCAGTAGTATAGTGGTTAGATCCCCAAAAATAAAAATATTACCATTTTTTGATTTATAATCGTTGTATGCAATTTTGATATCTGTAAGTTTATCTGAAAAACCAATAGAATCAATATAATCGTAGAGATATTTATTTGCCGAAAATCTCTCTTCATCGGTCAAATCCAATCCTTTATATCTTGGATCAAGAATATTTGTTAAATAATTAGCATCAGAAACTGCCATTTGTTTGCGATTAGTGAAATGATTTAAAATCTAAAATAAAAAAAGATTATTAAAACATAATTTTTGGGATATTAATCACTATACTACTGAAGATAACCTGAGATTTCATATTGCAATCAATTGATGAGTTTAAAATAGATGTATATATGTTGTTAAAAACAATAATAGTATCGGAAAGTGTTGCTTTATCTGATTCAATGATTGCTATTGCATCTGCAACTGGATTCAAAACATTAATTGTTGTCATCAGATCCGTCCAAAACCTGTCATTTGTATCCAAGAGATACTTTTTGATGTCAGCATTTATTTTAATTGAGGAATCGATTGCCATTTTTTGTAGCACTTCTTTTCCATTAAAAACTCGTTTCATTTGTTTAATATTTGAATACCATCTAAAGATTAAAATAGGATATTAACCACTATATTACTGAAGAATAATTTTTACCGTGTGTTGCTCCCTAATACTAGTGAATTGATTTTATTCTCTTTTGCTAATCTACGAAATAACGCCAATTTTAAATGAGAATCTTTTATTTCTACAGTTATTGAACGAGTTATCTTAAGTATCTCATTAAAATATGTCACACTTGTGCAGATATCTTGACTTAAAAGATTTAGTATATGAGCAACACAACCAAATGTCAACAAATGTGGATATTTTTCTTTAAGACGTTGTGACATATTTGACATATTTCGTGCATTATCAGCAATTATTGCTGAACACTTGTTAACACCTAAAAAAATATTCAGTAGTATAATGGTTAGTACCCCAAAAATATATATATATTAAATATTATTACCTAATTCGTTAATAACTTCTTCAGTAATATTAGCCAATTCTTCTCCTGAATGTCTTCGAGTTTCCATATCAATGCTTTTATAAAAAATAGGTTTTGGCAAACAAACACAAATATTAACTATTGAATCATTTCTGATATTTGACCAGCCATCGATGATTATAACAAACGAATTAGTATTTGTAATTAATGAATTGTTGTGAGAGTTAACCTAAAAATAAATTTGTTAATGGGATATTAACCACTATACTACTGCAGACCATTGAATATGTTGTGTCTAACAATTCTTTAGACAATTCTTTTCTTAATGGTATTTTAAATGATGGCCTCAATTTTTTAATGAATTGGATGAACTCTTGGTTCTCTACTAGACTAAAAGCACTTCCAGACGAGTACACAAACTTTGCGCATAAAAGCTTGAGGTCATCATTATCTTTTTTAGTTATTGAGTCCACAAACGATGGAACATCCTTTCGTGATTGAGATGACTCCGATGATTCAGTTGAATCGTCAGTTACTGTAATAAATGGGATATTAACCACTATACTACTGAAGATATAATTACCTTTACGTTTGAGATTTTTAGTCTTAATCTCTACTTTAAGGGTTGATAACACGTCTTGTGGTGGACATCCTTTACATGCATTTAGTAAATGTTCTCTCATTCGTGTAGCATTTTTGACTAAATAATTGCCACAATAATTACAATTATACTTTGTGTCAACTAAATTAAAATAATTATAAACCACTGATTTATTTTTATCCATTTTTAAACTACATAATAACATGTGTTTTATTTTTTAAACAATTTATTATTGTTAAAATAGATGGCGCTACTATACGATTGCGATTTTCGCAATCGGCATCTTCGCAATTGCGGCAATTTCACGCAATTTCATAGCAATGCAATTGCGCATCTTGCAATTGGTCCATCACTAACTGTATATATATATAAATTTTTATATAAAGCTTGAATTTGTTGTTCATATACAGTGTTAAACTTGATAGTAGACGAGTGCAGTAATACATAGTATTAACATAATAGGGGAACAAATCAAATGTAATATAATGTAACTTATAGTAAGTAAGCGATCATATAATTGAAATATTTTCAGCAATAATACATATGAGCTTAAAGTTCATAATATTTTTGCGCATATATTGTGCACAATATAAATAGCAATCAACGTATACTTTATATAATAATAATAAATAATAATAAATATTTTAAAGGGACAGTCAATATAATAATGTTACTGACATTTACAGTGACGGCCACACCTCCCACACAAAGTCTAACTCTAACTCTATATAAAAAAAATATTTAATAACTGGAAAACTATTTTTCCCATTTCAATGCCATTTGGTTTTTGAAATAATTAAGCAATTATTTTATTTATACAAATTTCTCGATTACTAATTAAACTGAAAATATTTTATAAAAATTATATACGATTTTTGAATTATACTTTAAAAAATAAAATATTGAAGGAAAAATTGTTTCACCATTATTTTATTAAATTAACTTTTATAAAATATTGTCCTATAGTTATGATAGTTGACAACAATAATCACTTATTAATTATTATCAAATCAACAATTTTAATGAAATACATTTCACAAGTATTTAGTGATTTGATGACATAAAAAAATATTTTGTTGTTTGGAAAGTAATCAAACAATAAAATTTCAACTTTTATTGTCAATAATACTAATAATAAAATAGTATAAAGTTTGATATCAAATATTAATTTCATTTTGAAAGTAATGTTTTTTAACAAATAATTTTAATAATGTAAATGATTTATTAATCTGAAAATTTTATCACAATATAAAACAAACTATTTATATGAACATTAAGCTGAGTATTGTTTTTAATAACAAATAATGACAAAATATAATTTTTATACATTTTACATACAAATGCACATTATGTGCACAAATGTATACATACAAACTAATTAATTAAAAATAATATTAATATTTTGTAGCGATATATAAATTTAGTGTTTATCAACACAAATATATTATATATAATTACATTTTAATATTTTATTAGAAGAATAGTTATTATATTATTAATAATTAAGTAAACACTAAAATGTTAAAATGTAAAACTAGAAAAAAATATAAAAATAAAGTAATTTATTTTTTTAATCAAATCAACATTTAAAATATTTATTAGTAATTATTTCATCTATTTATTATATGATTTCATCTATTATATATTAATTATGATATTTTGTAAAAAGTTTTTACTTACTTTGACAGCACTTATGACCAGTGAGTTAGACATGTAATATACTTTTTTAATTATTTGTATAAATTTCAAGCAATTTGTATATAATAATTAAGTTTTTAAAAAATAATTTAAAAAATTACTCCAATTGTAAAATAATAAATCAATAGTATTTTTACAGTATTTAATTTAAATAAAATGCAATTTAGATACAATGTAATATAAATACAGTATAAATTTAATGTAATATAAATACAGTATAATATCATTTATCAAATTAATAATTATATATTTTTTTAGCTATGTAAGAGAACATTTGTTGCACATCTATATATTTTACTGAATAATTTGATGCAAATAAGCTATAAAAACAAAAACAGTTTGTAATATCTAAAATTTTTAATGTTTTATAGTTTTTTTGTAGTAATGTTTTGTTAATAAAATAAGTTTTTCTAAATATAGTTTTAATTATTTATATATAATATTGTATAATATTTATATATTGTTTTAAATAACAATTTTTTATTGTAATTTATTAAGTAATTATTGTGTTATAATTTTTATACTTATAGATTCTATAATATAGAAATAGTCTAATATAAATAATAATGTTTAAAGCAAAATGATTTTATAAGTAAAAATGAGTTGATTTTAATAAATTATTTTCAATATCAATACAATAAATTCAAATAAACAGTAGACTAATTTATACAGTATAATAATTTTGGTAATAAATATGAAAAATATTTACATTAATAAACTTTGTTTACTTAAAATAATAAATAATAATAAAATTAATTAATTAATAAAATAAAAATATTATTTACTAATAGATGTTTATAAACATATTTTATACAATTTATTAAATATGATTAGTGTTTAGGTTTGAGACAAATTCTTTCAAAAGTTTTATATTTTTTGTTTTCTGAACACTAAACCACAGATTTTACTATAATGTTTGAAAAACAAATGATATTTTGTTTATTTATTTTATGTTTTTAAAATTGACGGTAATATTAATTTCTATATTGACGTCAATTAAATTAATTAAAATTTTTCTTATTGTCGGTCGGTTTTTATAAATTGGTTAAAATGTAAATTATATAATTATTTTATTTGCTTTAAATAATGTTTGCATCAATTGTATTGTTTCTGATATATTTGTTAGTAATTAGTTTAACTATATTTTCAGTAATATATTTTTATTTCAAACATAAAAACCTTTACCGCGACTCGTGTTTGGCCAAAATCTCGGACCTGAACCCCCGATACCCGCTTATCGGTAATTTAGAAATGTTTCGTATACCTGATGTTCCTATTAATGAAAGTGAGTTTCAATAATTTTGCTTGAGCATTTTCTTCATTAATATTTTTGATAATTATTGAAAGATATTCTTTTTAAAAAATAGTAATTAATTTATATTRCATTTAGTTAATTAAAAATTACATTACTTATAAAATATTAAGATCATTATGCAAACTATACAACAAATATGGTATTTTAAAAATATTTTTGTTACACAAACATGTTTTTTGTCATATTTAAATATAATACTAATGGATGTATGTATTGTATTAATAATACCGGTATAATAACCATTTATAATGTAATATTTTAATATTACCGGTAATACTATATAATAGACAATATTTTCAAGCAATGTCAACATTTAAAAATCTCATATAACAAAATTTCTAAGTGATTGGTTGGGTGATAGCATAGGGCTTTCTACCGGTGCTAAATGGAAAGGTAGACGCAAACTGTTGACACCAGCATTTCATTTCAAAATATTAGATGATTTCATACACTGATCAATGAACAGATAAACATATTTGTAGACAAAATAAGAAATATCTCATCAATTGAGAGACAATATATTGATATCAGAGAACTGATAGCGCTGTTAGTATAAGATATTATTTGCGGTAAACATAATCAATCAATAATAAAAAATACTTAATTAAGACAATTACTTTAAAGAAACTGCAATGGGTATACAGATGGGCGCACAGTTAGGCAAAAATAAAACATACGTTTCAGCTATTCATGATTTGGTGGAAATATTTATGAAACGTGTAGTTTCGCCTCGGATTTGGTCGGACACTGTGTTTTATTGTACATCAATTGGCCGTAAATTTAGGCGATCTTCAAAACTCTTAATTTTAATCTTAATATTCTTAATAACTGTAATTTGTTTATAATTAGAAAGTATAGAACAGATAGTAAGTAGTGATAAAAACAACTACTTTTTAACTAATAAAAAGAAATGGATGGCATTTATGGATCCATTACTCGAATATCATATCAAAGACAGTAAAGTTGTCAGTAGAGGACATACGTGAAGAAGTGGACGCATTTATGTTTGACATAAGACATGCTTACAGTTATGTGCCCTTCAGTGTCGGTCCGCGCGGTTGTCTCGGAAAGCGGTTCGCATTAATTGAACAAATGATTGTTTTGTCAAAACTTTTTTTATTCAATCAATTGAACCGTTAGATAGTATTCAGACATCCGCTGAAATAGTGAATCGCGAAAAAAGTCCGCTTAATATTATATTTATTTCAAAATCTAAAAATTTATAATAAAATTCTTTTTATAGATATATAAATTTTATATATTTAAAAAACTAATTAATTAAAAAATAATAATAATATTTTGTAGTAATACATAAATTTAATGTTTATCAATACAAATATATTATATATATATTATGTTTTAATATTTTATTAGAACAATAGTTATTATTGTATTGTTAATAATTAAGTGAACACTAAAATGTCAAAATGTAAAACCAATATATATAAATCATATATATATAAATAATTTTGATGAAAATAATGTACTGTAGTATAAATAATATGTTTAAATACCTTCCCTGATATTTACATTATTGTATTAATAATTAAATATTTATAGGTTTATTGTTAATAAATTATTGACTGCGTATATAATATATTATTAAATTAGATAAATGAGTGACAGTATGACTATAATATAGTAAATGATATTTTGTTAAACATAAAGAAATAACACAATAAAAGTTTGAATCAAATTATTTGCTGTCAATTAACTGTCATTTATAGCCAAAATCAAAGTCAAATAATATTTGTTATGTAAAAATTCATACAAAAAATTACATATTTATATATATTTAGTAATAATAATAATAATATATTTATCATCTCTTTATACAAATAGCTATGAAAATTTCACTTAAAATCTTACATGGTCACATTTTAAATGTTATATTTTTCTAATTTAAGATATAGTATATATATATAGTTGGCTTAACAATATATTAATTAGTTATTAAATTATTTTTTAAAATTATTATAAATACTAGATGAAACATTAAAATTTACTAAAATTATATTTTAATTTATATTACTACAAAAAATATCTCAAATTACCAACATACATTTACAAAATATTCTAATCTTCATAATGTATAGAAAAAATAAAAATATTTGAAATATAATCCCTTTTTAGACATAGTATTACAATAGTTTTATTCATTGATAGTTCACTTAATAAAAGTATAAAAATATCATAGATTTTTATTTGCAATTCTTATAATAGAATTATTGTACAAAAAAAATTGATTGCAGTGATGGTTGTTATGGAAACCTGTATTTGTTATTATATTTTGTATACATTTTAATAATAATAACAATAAATATGTGTTAATAATAGCATCACTAATATGATCGCCAATCGATTGACTGATAGTCCAGTTGTGGCCAACAATGAAGTAAACTTCTTGGAGAAAACGTTTGTCAAATGTATCGGTAAGAAGAACCAGAAGTGGTTGTGTCCGGTCTGTGGTTTCACAAACATATCCGCCTGTTCTGAATGTGTTCACTGCCATCAAAACAAAGGTCAACCAAACAGTCAATTGAGACCTCAGTCTCAGCCAACGGTTCCAATCGATGACCTCAAGTGGAAGTGCCATAACTGCCAGTTCTCTAATCTTGTCAATCGTTTCCAGTGTACAGTCTGTAGCCATTTAAGACTCGACGACAATCTGTTAACTAATTTTCAAAACTATTACAACAATCAAACAAATAAATCAATTATCAATTCAAACATCTCATCGATTGTTTCGCCGACACATTTGACTGTAAATCGCTTTAATAAGAGTTCAAATGTCGACACAAAGTCACAGAAGTGGTCGTGTTTTAAGTGCCACTTCTTAAACATTCCCTCTTCAGTCACTTGTATTATATGCGAAAATTATCGCCAATTCATTCCACAGATAATCGACAAGAAAGTGAATGCATTGATGCACCAGAAGAATGCCATCAATTCTAGAGAAGCAAAATTCAAGGAACGTCTTAAAAGGCACGGATCAGATGGTGGTTCATCCACTGGAACCGATCAAAGCGATTGCTGCCAAACAAGTGTCGACGACAGTGTTCATCAACAACAAGTAGTGGACAATACACCGGCACGTGTCAAACGAAGTACTTCATTCAATGAAGTGTCGTTTGCATTGATTGGAATACAAAAGAATAAATTTTTCAAACAACAGCAAAACCAAAGATTACGAAAAGAAAATTCTGCCGGAAGTTCGGGAACCGACTCCACTGAATCACCGACACATGCGAGCAGCAGCTCAGCCACAATGACTGACCAGCAAATCATTGATCTCACACAAGACGATGACATTTCCGACGAAACGGCATTCTGGTTATGTCTTCAGTGTTCATATGCATACAATAGACATGAATCGGCCATTTGTGATATGTGTGACACTAGAAGTAACGACAATTGCAATACCAATGCTTCCGACGCTCAACAAAGTGTTTTAAATAATAATAATAATGACAATAATAATGTTAATTTGATTGATTGTGTAAATAATAATAAAATTAATAGCAATAGTCAGCAATTAATCTCAAAGAACAAAACAATGTTAACAAATGGTTGGACGTGTATTAAGTGTACATTAATTAATTCATTTGATGACAATCATTGTACGGCTTGTGGCGGATCTAAACTCAACAGTACTACTGATAAAAGTTTTGTAACACTTAAACCAAATGAAAGTTGGGTTTGCAATCGATGTACTTTAAGAAATTCAATGGATTCCACTAATTGTTCCGTTTGTAACCACAAAAGACCTGATCTCAGGAATAGTTCGATAGAGATAATTGAAGACAAAAGTGACGATGAAATCCAAATAGTGAGCCGCAGACCGACATCCTCTGCCCGTCGTGACCTAACCCGCAATAAATCTCAGTGGGAATGCAGTGCCTGTACTTATTTGAATCCTAGTTCCCGATACGGTTGCGAAATATGTCAACAATCACGCAGTGTATTGACATTGAGACCCGATTCGGCACATTTGAACACTAATTCTCATTCATCACAATATGATTCAAATACTAGTACTCTATATCACGGCGAGAGTGAGCTCATGGAAACTTTGCGCCGAATTGAAGAGAATGAGGCCCGCAATCGATTGGAACATATCGTCCACTTTTGTCGCAAAAGTAAAATAAATTTTGTCGACGACTCATTCCCACCACTGCCTAAATCTCTTTATTATAATACCGATGACATGACAGCAAATAATCATCACGTGACTCAATGGATAAGACCTGTTGACATCAGAAGTGATGCCAATCCAAATGTCAAATGGGCTGTATTTCGGACACCGATGCCGTCAGATATATCTCAGGGAATACTCGGCAACTGTTGGTTTTTAAGTGCATTGGCTGTCCTCGCGGAACGACCTGAATTAGTCAAGAGAGTTATGGTTACCCGAGAGGTATGTCCTGAGGGTGCATATCAAGTGAGACTATGTAAAGACGGCAAATGGACGACTGTGTTGGTCGATGACTTACTTCCCTGTGATTCACGAGGATATCTAGTCTACTCTCAGGCCAAACGAAAACAATTGTGGGTTCCGTTAATAGAGAAAGCGTTAGCAAAACTGCACGGATGTTATGAAGCACTAGTTTCTGGTCGCGCTATTGAAGGCCTGTCAACACTTACCGGTGCTCCGTGTGAGTCAATTCCACTTCAATCAGCCAATCCATTATCGAATGATGATGGCATTGATGAAGACTTGATATGGGCTCAACTTTTAAGCTCAAGGACAGCCCGCTTTTTAATGGGCGCCTCTTGTGGCGGCGGAAATATGCAGGTCAATGATAGCGAATATCATGCAGTTGGTCTCCGTCCTCGACACGCATACTCCGTACTGGATGTCCAGGACATTGATGGGCTACGATTGGTTAGATTGCGCAACCCGTGGGGCCATTACTCATGGAAAGGTGACTGGTCAGACTCGTCACCATTGTGGACACCAGAACTTAGGGAACAGCTAATACCTCACGGCGCCAGTGAAGGTGTCTTCTGGATGTCATTCAATGATGTACTTAAATATTTTGACTGTATTGACATTTGCAAAGTCAGGTCCGATTGGAATGAGATTAGACTTCAGGGTGTTCTGCCCTCCAATGCCTGTGATGTAGAAAACTTGGCAATTGTCGAGTTCACTGTAGTCGAGCCCACGGAACTGGAGTTCAGTTTGTTTCAAGAAGGACAGAGAAGTGCTGAACGATCACAACGAAGTCAACTTGATTTATGTGTTGTCATCTTTAAAAGTGCTAATCCATCGACCGGAGACGTCGGCAAACTTATTAAGCATAGTAAACGACAGGTCAGGGGTTTTGTCGGCTGTCATGTTATGTTTGAACCGGGAGTTTATGTTATAATTTGTTTGGCATTCAATCATTGGCAGACAAGTGAGTCAAATCAGACAATAATTGTCTTAAACTTATGTATCAATAGATTGATCTATTTTTTGATATATTTTTTTAAAAAAGGTATAGAAAGTGTTGAACAATATCCAAGATTTTTGTTGGCAATGCATAGCTCTAAACGCTTGTTGGTTGAAACAGTGTCACCGCAAGTATTTTTATTAGCCGATGCTATCATAAATTTGACACTTTCTAAAGGACAACGACATGAGGTAAGATATTTTGCATATTTTTAATAGTGTTTTATTTAATAATAATATTAATGGAGGATTTATTTCAATAACTTAGGGCAGGGAAGGTATGACAGCTTACTATCTGACCAAAGGTTGGGCCGGTTTAGTCGTAGTTGTTGAGAATCGATTCCCCGATCGCTGTATTCAAGTGATATGCGACTGTTCCGATAGTATTAATGTTGTTTCAACCAGAGGTATATTGAAGACTGTCGATAGTATTCCACCGCTTCATCGGTTAGTTTGTTATTTCATTGTATTTTTCATATTTGATGCATCAATTAATTATAATTTTTACTTTTAAAAAATTAATAGACAAGTGATAATAGTATTAACACAATTGGAGGGCAGCGGAGGCTTCTCTATATCACATCGACTCACACATCGTGTCTCATACACCAGTGGTCTTCATGATTGGGGACCCGTTGGCACCAATCACGTGCCCAGTATTGACCAGAAAGTGTTTGGTCTACACTCTCCCCGTCCCTTATAATCAGTAAACTCTACTTATAGTTTAATATATTGTATATTATTATTACCGGTATATTTACGTTTACTTTTTGCTGTATTTATATAATATGTATTATATTTACACTTAAATTATAGTACTGTATATTTATTAAAAAATCATTGTTAGCCTTAAAATTCTCAACACTTTTACTCAATTTTACTTATACTTTCATTTGCAAAATATTATATTTACAAAAAATATATAAATAAATTATAAATATATCTAATGTATAGTACTGTATATTATACACACAATTTATTTGCATTTTTTAAGTAAACGATTTTTCAAAGCCACTTGTTTTTCTTTAAATGATTTTTTCTTTGTGGTCTTAATCTTGTGTTTAATCATTTGAAAGTTTTTATTTCTCAGGTTTTCTTTCTTGTTTTTACTTGAAAATGGATTGGATTTACCCTTTTTAGCGCCAAACTTATCCCTTCCCTCCCGTCCCTCGCGAACTGACTCTAATCGCATTTCTTTGTCTGCTCTGCTTTTCTTATAAAGTCTTTCGATGGCATTCAACGGAACAATTTCTTTTGGTTCAAATACTTGTCTCACATCTTGTGGTTCATCAGATTTAGCATTTTTATTAAATTTTCGCGGTTTGGCCGCCGATATCTGTTTCGACAGTTGTATTGCCTTTACTTTTCGAAACTCTTCTTGAGTTAGTATACGCGATGACGATATGAGTGCAGCTTTTTCTTTAGGATCCGATATAGAAGTTTTCATATCTTCTTTAGATTCCTCGTCACCACTTTCATCCTCATCATCTGAATCGCTGACATCTATAAAGCCATCACTATCTTCATCTTCAGAATGATTAACATTAATCCAACCTTCACTATCGTCATCATCATCTTGTGGTTCATCATTATTGTCATCAATATTACTGTCGACCGTTTCATTAAGTGTTTCTACACCATCAATGAAATCACTGGCCACAACTTCTCCGTATTGTTTGGCCTTAATCTGCAAATTGGCTTCAGTTGGTTTGGACCTATCCTTCTTTTTCAACAAATGCGGATTTTTCAATCTAAACAATTGGATCAATGATTTCGCTGCCATCGATACGTTTTTATCTCTGAATGTTTTATATTCAACTAAATCTTGAAGAAGATCCTCAGTCATAACAAGAGGACAACGAGAACATACTTCACGAATAGAGTTGATACCAACGGCCATGACTTCGCTCGAGTTTCTTTCGGTTATAAAATTGTTGGCAATTTGTTTGAGTAGCGGTTCAATAACATCTGGCGGTACGAGTTCATGGGCTGCCTGTGCCGTGTATTGCAATATTTTGGTAACTTCTCGTTGATGTGATTGAATAAATCGTTGGATAAATGGATAAAAATTCAATAAAATCAGTTCATGAATACCAACTAATCGTGAAATTAAGTTCATAAACATTAGTTTAACTTCAAATCTTTCGTTACAAGTCTGCAGAGATTTAAAGAGCCGTTCGGCCATTGTTTGTGGATCATGGATCAGATGAATGGCTGAAAAGTTGAACGAAACTACTTTATCGTTTTTCTTGGCTTTTTTAACAGCTTTCTTAGTTCTGGCCAATAGTTTCTTTCGTTTATTGGATTTCTTATTCACTCTGTTAGCCATTGCAACCTCCAAAGCGTTCGGTTGATTATCATCATCGGAATCGCTATCATCTGAATCCGAGTCTTCCTTAACTTCATCGTTGCCAAGAAAAAATGTTAGTCCAGTAACTAAAATCTTTAAAAAATAAATAAAGAAATTTATTAATTACTATTATATATTATATGAATCAAATAAAATAATGACATACTTTGGTGATCTTCGAGAAACAAGAGCTCGCAATCACATTAACAGTTTTGGCGTCTTTCCAAACATTTTTATTATACAATTCAATCATTATCTCCAACGATATCTTTGCGGCCACTTTGTTGCTGTCCTTAAGCATCGAGAACATGAAGTTTTGTAAAACCTAACGATATTTAATGATATCATAAACAGCTGATCCCAATATTAATGTAAAAATTATAAACAAATACTAAACTGTATTCATCTTTGCATTCTTATGCTTTGAGTTGACATTCTTGATGTCTGTTATAATGTGTTGTTTCAGAAATTGTCGCAAATTTTTATCATTACAGCGAAGTAATTCAAAGAACAGCGAAAGCATGTCTTGAGGAGTGATCAGCGATTTGTTTCGCAAAAGTATTAAAGCGCGACATAATGTCTATTAAAATAAATTTGTAAAAAAAATAAATCAAATATCAATCGCTAAGATATTGGTATTCGACAACTATTTGATGAAATCAGATCATACCATACGGACGTCGGGATTCAGATTTGCCGAAAACAGTTTCAAAGTACTCATCAATTCATTGGGAAATTCAGATAAATCTTTGGGAAAACAGTGGCTGACGTGTGATATAAACATAACCAACTCCTGGAAGTTCTTGTCATTGGCTGATGGATTAAATTGAAACACTTGCAGAAGTGACCGATAGTGATCATATTGTTGGTTAAACTATAAAAACAAATTTAGTTTATTAATTGATCCCATTATCATCTGATGATCAAAACCCGTATTGATTATCATTAAACAAAACAAACCTCATCTTTATATCCGTTGGCATCTCTTTTGATACAATTCTGCAGTTGTGGCAGATTTGTGGGTAACTTATTATTGACCCTTTTGTTAGTCATCTTTGTTGATGTGATCTATTGGCGGCCAATACTTCTTAGTTTTTTTTCAGTGATAATTACATCCAAAAACAATCACAACATGTGTCACATGTATTGCATGTGTTATCCATTTAATAGTGACATCACTTTCATTGTGTAACCAATGATTGGCTTATATTCATAGCAAACGAGCGCTTCGTTTAAATTCATATCAAATAATTATTTTCTCATTTTTTGTTAATTAAATAATAATTATTATTAAATGCTATATATTTAAAATTAACGCATAAATAAAATATTTAACTATTTGTTACACATTTATTAAAAAAAACTAAAATAAACTACTATTTTAAACAATTAAATTAAAATAATTTAACAAACATTATAACTACAGGTATATTAATATTAATCTAATTTTGAAATAATTAAAACTTTGTTTTTTCTTAATATAAAGTGTTATTTTTAATTAAAATATTTGATAAAAATTATCTACTATATATATATATATATTACTAAAGTCTTCTATGTACATTTTCAATGTTTTTTATAATAAAAAATTAAATTTATCAAAATTTAAAACAAAACAAAAATCTGATAAATAATAAAATTAAAAAATCTTTGATTCATTGATCAAAATACACATATATTTGGGTCATATTTTTTTAGATATAAATGTACTGAACTTTGATTTAGTATAAAAACAGGTAATTTATAAATAGTGATATAATTATATTGTATATAAGATTATACTGTATTGTATGTACTCTCATAATGTATTTAATATTGTATACAAAAAGTTGTATTTCAATACAATATAAATGTTTTGCAGACATATAGCCAGCCGTATAGTAATGAAACTGCAAATACTGTAATAATACCAATGAATACATAGATAGCACACAAACCTAGAGTACAAATGAGTGCACAAATCATAGGGAAAAACAGTTTGCGTTAAATACAGTGTTAGACATACAGTACAGTAGTGTTACTGTCATTCAATGTTTTACTGTATTTATTGTATTATTTTAGACTAAAATTTTTAGTTTAATTGATATAATAGTGTCGTCGACTATATCGTCAATAAAGTGCATAATTATTGCAATCAATTGAAATCATTTGATTAATACATTGAAAATAAGCAAAAAATATCTATTTTAAGGACACATTTAACGGATTGAAAAATAAAATGTTGACAAATAAGTTATCAAAAGTGTTGACCCGAGCGGCCAAATGTAGGTTAAACACGGCATCAGTTGTGACTCCGCGCTGTGTGTCGACCGACGGAAGTGCGTCGGCCAATGGTTTCTCCTTTTCATTGACCGAAGATCAGCAACAGATGCTGGATATGGCCAAGAAGTTTACCCGCGAAGAGATCATTCCGAAGGCCAGACATCACGACGAGACCGGCGAATATCCGATTGAAATCATTAAGAAAGCGCACGGTTTGGGTCTTATGACGACCAGTATTCCCGAGAAGTACGGCGGACAGGGTTTGTCACTATTTGATCACTGTTTAGTTGATGAAACAGTTGCCTACGGCTGCACTGGTATTGGGACAGCAATGACGGCCAATGCATTAGGTCAGGCGCCGGTCCTGTTGTTCGGTAATGAAGAGCAAAAGAAAGAGTATTTAGGCCGATGTACTGCCGAACCTGTCATGTGTTGCTACGCTGTGACCGAACCGGGAGCGGGCAGCGATGTGGCCGGAGTCCGAACAAAAGCCGAAAAGAATAAGGACGGAGACTTTATTTTGAACGGACAGAAAATGTGGATCACTAATGCAGGTCATGCCAACTGGATGTTTGTGTTGGCCCGAACTAATCCAGACCCTAAAGCCAAGACCAGCGAAGCATTTACGGGATTTATTGTAGATAGCAGTACACCGGGAGTTATTGTTGGCCGCAAAGAGTGGAATTTGGGTCAGAGATGTTCGGACACGCGGGGCATCACCTTTGAGAATGTGATTGTTCCTAAAGAGAACGTTCTCGGATCAGAAGGCAAAGGTTTTCGCATAGCTATGGGTGCCTTTGATCTGACTCGACCTCCAGTTGCTGCCGGTGCCGTCGGATTAGCACAACGGGCGATGGACGAGGCAACCAAATATGCATTTGAAAGGAAAACGTTTGGTGTGCCGATTGCCGCTCATCAGGCCATTCAGTTTATGTTAGCCGATATGGCTATTGGTATCGAAACGGCCCGTATGGCGTATTTGCGTAGTGCGTGGGAGTTTGACCAGGGTAGAAGGAATACATACTGGGCATCAATTGCCAAATGTTTAGCCGGAGATGTGGCCAACAAGTCTGCTGCCGATGCCGTACAGATCTTTGGCGGCGCCGGCTTTAATAGCGAATATCCCGTCGAAAAGCTGATGAGAGACGCAAAGATTTTCCAGATATATGAGGGAACCGCTCAGATTCAAAGAGTTATCATCGCTAGAGAGCATCTGACTAATGCAAAGTCTAACTTATAGACCATCGATTGCTCTTTAATTTAACATTTTTTAGATCAATTTATACACACGTATTATACTTTTAACATATTTTTTTATACAGTAAAATAACTGTATATGCTATACAATATGTATAGTCAAATGGTTTTATTATTATAAAATTAATTTATAAAATCTAATTAATTAATTCAAATGATCTAAACTCTCATTTATTTTAATTGATTTAAAAAATGTATAATTAATGACTTAGTATAAAAACTAACATGTTCAAATTGACAAACAAAATTAATTGATATATACGAATATACAATCTGTTTATTTAAAAAACAAATGTAAATATTAATTAAAATTTATTGATAACAAATATTTTAATAAACAAATTTAAATATTTTATAATTAAAGAAATTAAATGCGAAATCAAATTTAAAGTACGGCTGTAAACCCGGTTTGAGTTAAAACAAAACGGGAATTACTGTACTATTGACTTACGAGTTAGTAATTTTACAAATATTATTATTTTGATTATTTATAATATTTAATATATGTAAATTATTTAAAAATATATAATAAAATAATAATATTGTAAACACATTATTAGTTTAAGTAATGCCTGTTTATTAAACAGGTTGTTAACACTTGATTCACTACTATTAATAGGTATCGATGTGACAGTGCTATTACTAGTCAATGGTTTATCGCTATTAATAATAGATGTTTTTTGTGACTTTCTCTCGGAAATTGAATGAAGTTTTGGCGACAATATTGTTGGTTGCAGTGATTTATTAGTCGACTGTCCCGTTAGTATATATGTGTCACCATTACATGGTATATATTTTCGACATATGGGATCAGTTATTTCGTTGGTTATCAATGAATTGCACAATTCGATAGATATGTTATACATTTGGCACTGTATGGCCACTACTTGGTTGGTATTGAACCTGTTATGCCATACATAGTTGTCGGCAACTTTACATATGTCTGCACTCTATTAAATAATTTGTTTAAGTCATACAATATATATAAAAAACAATTTAATTTTATATTAATAGAGAGTATATATATATTATATAACTTATATTCCTACCACTCTATGATGAAGACACGCGTGCTCTACACGCGTACAACAGTTGATTAAATCAATATTGTTTGACATACCAGACCATCGATCAATTGAACACCGTTTGACTTTCGCCTGTATAGTCATAGCAGTGTCACTACACATTACATTTAAATTATCATTATTATCCGACACAATTATACCCACTTTTAATGTATATAATATTAATGTAATTAAAACTGAATTTTTATTTGATAATATCAACATTTTAATATTTTATTTTAATATACTATATATAAATATAGTATAGTTAAATTCAATTAACTATTTAATATTTTAAACTAGATTTATATTTACTGGTGATATCAATTTAAAATATTAAACATTGCAAAAAATAATGAGTTTATTGTATTATATATATATATATAATTAATTAAATACAATATAAATTATATTAAATAAATATTATACATATTTAACACTTTCCTCTTAAAATTCAATGTAAATTATAATTTTAATAAATAAAAAATATCAAACGATATAAATTAAATGATATTGAATTTGGTTATAATATATTATTGTTACACATTATTTTGGCATATTTAGCATAAATATTCAATTTTATTACTAAAATATTTATTTATTTGCAAAATCCTTGGTTTGCAGCATATATTACTTTAGACTTTAAGAAATAAATAAATTAATTAATTAATAATCATATAAAAATATAATAAACAAAATTATAATTATAAGGATAAAATTTTACAGTAAAATTATATTATATTTTTAGAAAAATAATATAATAAAACAATTAAATTTTTAATTTCATTGTCTATTTATTTTATTAGACTTGAATTTAAAAAATTATTTATTATTATTAATTATTACTATTAAAAAACTAAATTATAATTTATATATATATTTTAAAATATGTTGATGTGATTTGTGATGAAATAATTTTGTCTTTTAGTCACTACAGTCTATACTTTTGTTTTGAATCGACACAAACACCCTTAGAGTGTCCCTCTTGTCTACAATTAAATCTTGATTAGCGATCACAGGGACAGACATAATCACAACTCATATTATTTTTTGTTTTATTATAAAATCAAAAAATTATAATTATTATTTTATTATCAAACATTTTTAAAAAGAGATAAATTACAATATATTTAATTAACAAAAACGGTTTATTTAATAAATACATCGAACAATATTGTAATAAATTAATAGCTTTATTAATAATAAATTATAATACAGTTATTAATAATTGGTTTTTGTTTAAAATAAATAAATTTACATTGCTGTTAGCATATTAGTATAATTATACTATATAATATAATTACATTTTTAAAGTAATTAATTAAAATTTATTATTAATTAAAATATTATATAAATTGCTTAAAATGAATTAATTAGTAAATATTGTCTATTTTATGTATTATCGGTCACAACAGGAACAGGAATCACTAATTCTACAACACTGTGGGTGTCCGTCATCACAGCAATAGGTGTGATCACATGGATAGGTACAGAGCCAACAATCATTGGCTTTCATCATGGTCATATTGGCAGCACTATAACCTATTAGGAACATATATATACAGATATTTTAATTAAATAATTAAAAAATATAAATGTTTAAAATATAAAAATTGTTAAATTAAAACTGACCCTGCTTGAAACTAATGGCTCTCATGTTTTGATTAACACGAATCTCCGTTTTAGAGTAGACATCCTTATTAGTGGCCAATACTGTTAATTCAAATTCATTAGTAAATATCATTTAAAAAAATATATACATATCAAGTAAACAAAAAAAATTAATTATAATTTACCTGATGAAATTACCACTGAAAGTAATAGAAATGCTATTAATGAGCGCATAATTAAATATTAAAATTAAAATTTGTAACTTGCTTATTTTTTCTAAGTGAGTGTTATTTATAATAATAGCCCATAAAAATAATACACAAGTATTTATATACAATAGTTAATTGTGTTTTTTTATCAATAACTTCATTTAATCTTCATAATAATTAATCTATATATACAGTAAAGTATTAACGTAATAATATATTGTTTATAAAATTTATAAACTTAAATAATAATTATCAATATTTATTTAAAAATTCACAGAAATACTGTAGTTACAAAATTAAAATGTAACTTATCTAATTTTACTAATATTATTTATTTATAAAAATATCTAATCTCAACATTAAATTATTTTATTTTATAATGTTATTTGCAGCTATTGTTTGCAATATACTGAGTATTATTAATTAAATAATAAAAATTATTAGAGCAAGTATTAAATATGATGTATACTAATAAATGTTTTGTAACTATTGTATTAAAATATAGATTTTGTACCTATATAATGATTATTTATTACATTTATGTATTTTATATATTAGATTTCAAGTGACTTTACTTTTACTTGAAGACTAATTATTAAAATATTTAAAACTTTAACAAAATTTTATCAAACTATTAATATTTAATATCAAATAAGATTTTTTAACCATTTATCTAATGTTTTAGCAATATAAAAAGTTTTCCATTAATAAATAACACTATAAATGTAACAATTGATTTAAAATTATTTTTAAAAATGAATGACATAGCAAATAAACTAAATAATAGGATTTAATAAATTATCTATAAATTAAAAAAGTATTACACATAATAAATAAATATAATAAAAAATAAGATAAATATTCGTTGGTTGCAATTAAATTTGTTTTATATAACGAATAATGAATTTAAAATATACAAAAACAATAATATTATACAAATTTATAACAATATTTAAATTATGCTAATATTTTAATGACATTAAAATTAAAATCAAAATGCTTTTATTATTATTATTTTTATTAAAACAATGATACATATTAAAATAATCTAATTAAAAAAAATATTATAGTATACTAGAAATCAATCATATTTAATTATATTTAATCATTATTATTTTTATATTAAATAGTTTTGATTATCAATTGTTTTTAATAAAATAATTTAGTCTAAAATATGTAAATTATATATGAAAATAATTTGCTATTATTATTAATTCTATTATTAAGTAGCTTAAATATATTTTTATGATATTTGATTAAGTATTTTTTATTGTTTACATATTTAAAAATATATACGATTTTACGTTAAATATTTTGTTGTTAAAAATAATATTAACAAATATAAATTACTCAACTTTTAAGTTATAACTTATAATAATTATTCTTACATAAAATCGATATTTTATTTTTTTTATTTGTTTAATAAACATTTAATAAATATTTAAAATTTTTAAAAATTACAATGACTTAACATTTAATTCTAAATAATTATGTAATTATCTTAAGTTCATCTCAATTACATAACATTATTATTTAAAATAATTGTCAATATTTAAAATTTACATAATTCACAATTATTCACATTTTAACTTAAATTATTTTATAATACTAAATCACGTTTAACTCTTTAAAAATAATTAAATGTTTCGATAATTTGATTGATTATTATTTTTAATACAAATACAATAATTCAATGTTTGTTAATTGTTTAAAATTTTCCATCAAATTTTTAATAATCAAAACTTACAATATTGGTTAGCATTAGTTATTAAATAAAAACAATTATATAGTTACATTTAAAATAACACGATATTTTAATTATCAATTTTAAAATTAAGTAACTGTAATGTGATGATTGTGATTATAAAATTTAAATAAAAATATGTAGTTTATTGTTAACAAAAATTAAATAATAATAATAAAAATTAAGAAGTTTAAGGTATATATAAAAAGCCAAGTTTTCATCATTAAAATTATATTAATATTTATTTTCTATTTAGTATTAAAATAATATAACTTTTTTAAATATATTATACTCTATATATATACAGTAAATATATATTAATTTTTGTATCTATTAAAATAACATTTAAAAATGATACTGGTAATATTTTTTAATTTATATATTTTAAATATAAAAAATATAAACTAATGAATACAATTTTGTTTTGTAGTTTTTAATCTCAATTTCGGCACTTCTGAGTGTTTGCAGCGGTCAATATGGCGGAGGAGGTGGAGGTTATGGAGGAGGAGGCGGTGCTCGAGTAAGTGGCGGTGGTGGTTATGGTGGTGGAGGAAGTCATGGTGGAGGAGGATATGGTGGCGGCGCTAGAGGTGGTGGTGGTGGTTATGGAGGAGGATTAGGAGGAGGCATTGGTGGAGGTTTTGCTGGATTTGGCGGAGGAGCTCTTGGTGGTGGAGGCGGTGGTGGCGGTGCTGGTGGTGGTGTAGTACAGGCAGCTATTATCTCAAGGCATTCTGTTGATTATAGAAATGTGCCGTCAAGTGGATCGGTAGAGCCCGTAACTGTTGAAGTGGGCGCCTCACCCATTGCTGTCAACTTTGTGTTTAGATCGGCCTCAAGTGCTCTGAACGTTGAACAGGCACACGAAGGCTCAGGTGGTTCGACACAGCAATCTTCCTCAGAGGACGAACCGCACACTTTGTTCCATTCGGTGACTAAACCAATCATACAAGAAGTTCGCGAAGTTATCAATCCTTTCAGACGTATTGTACAAGAGATTAATCCGGTTCAGGAAGACATACAAACTATTGTATCGCGTAGTAGTGGTGGTGGAGGAGGTGTTGGTGGTGCCGCTGGAGTTGGAGGAGGCTTTGGAGGTGGCTTTGGAGGCTTAGGAGGTGCTGGTTTTGGTGGTGGTGGACGAGGTGGTCATGGCGGTGGTGGTGGTCGTGTTGGCGGAGGTGGCTATGGTGGTGGAGGAGCTACCAAAGGAGGTGCAGGTGGTTATGGTGGCGGTGGAGGTGGTGGTAAAAAAGCTTATTAATAGAATAGATGATCTCCAAGTGCTGGACTGGATTACGAACCCTTTTTCTTCATTATCATTATATAATTTTATTGTAAAATAATTGTAAATTTTGTCTTTTAATAATATTTAATAGATTTATTTAATTTAGAAAATTAGTGTTGTTTTAATTTAATCTAATTTAAGCATTTAATATATTAATTACTTAAAAAAAACAATTCATAAGAATAAATGTGTGTTTCACAAAAAATAGTGTATTTCAATTATTAGTATATTATTATTATTTTAGCAATATATTAGTTAATTTTGTTGACATTGTTAACATTTATATCAATTAGTAAAGCCATTAATGAAAAAATTGCTATATTATAAATATTATAAAAATGTAAATTTTCATGATATATTTATTGTGATGTTATTTAAAATTATATATAATAATTAACACACAAAAAATACATACAGGTATATACTTTATTTTAAATTAATATAAATTAATATTAATATTGAAATTACATTTTTTATCAATAAATTTTAGAAATTACTTAAATTTAGTAAATTACAAAAAGATAAAAAATTTATAATTTTTTTGTACATCTCGAGGATTAAGCATTACATTTAAATTTAAATTATCAAATTATTTCATTGATATAAAATACATGTTTAGCTAAAACAAGACTATGATTTTCAAACAAGTTTTATTTTTTTATTTAATAATTTGTATAAACCATTTTATAAGTATTCATTGTAATTTTAATGTACTTATTGTACTATTAAATAAAATAAATATTAAAAATATAACTAATTATAATTTTTTGTGATATTTAAGAAAACAAGTGATGAAATCAATCGATACCTTAATTTGGAGTCAGAAAAGGATCGACTGATGTCTTCATCGTTAATACTGTTAATTAGCGGCACATTTCGTATACCAATCCATCAAATATTTCTCATAACAATTGCATTATTGTTGTCACTATTGATCATCATTTTAATAATGATTTCAATTATATTTAATATAATTATTACTATGTGGAGAATTGAGTCACTTTAACTATATATATATTATTTATGATAAATATATACTTAGAAATAAATTATACAATATTAAAATATTACAGATATTGTATTTAATTATTATAATTTGTTGTGAATATATTAGTAAAATACATGTATTAAAACTATTCCCAATAACTAACTATAAATAATGTATTCTTGTCTATACCTTATAAAAGCCTTAGATATAAATTATATATTTTAATTTTTATTTGATTATTACCCTTTTTTTAAATAAACTAAATGCATTTACAATAATAAATTTTAGTCTTTAATATCCATTTACTAGACTTATATAATGTTTTTAAATAATTTAGGATTGGGTCAGTTTGGTTGTGGTTTACAAATATTGTAGATTACTATGAGATGTCGTAAAGATTATGTTAATATGATTTTTATTGATAAATATTGATAAATTACTAAATACAGTAATTCACACGCGCTAACTAATGGCAATTTGTTTGCTTTAATAAGCACGTGTTAGTTATAATTTTATACATGTTTATTTATATATAAATTTATAAAATATTGACAAAAAATAATATTATTAATAATAGCTCTAACCATATCATCCTAAACGTATTGATTATAAAATGAGTCATTGAAATTATAGTTTTAATACAATGATATAAAAACTTGTGATCAAAGCTTAACAATCATAAGTTTGATTCATAACAATAGTTTTATTACATGTATATTAATCTTAAATTTAAAAAAACTTTTTCCTTAAGTCCAATATTCTTATCAATAATAAGGTTCCCATAGATAGGAGAACCTTTAGGTGACAGTTGACTCCAAGTAGCTGTTTGTGGAGTTTAAATAAGTAGTGTTGGTGTGTGTCAAATGAGGGTCACTCAAACACTATTGAAAAATTAATATAAAGTTATATTTAATATCAGGGTTAAGCAAAGTTTTGGATCTTAGATAGTATAGAGTGGGATATATTTTATATTACATTTTTAAAATTGTAATTTTTCAAAATTTTAAAATAATGAGACCCCCTCTTTAATTTGTCTTCAATTTCCTCAAAAAATCTTCAATTTGATGAAATGAAAATTCCTTAAATTTTCTAATATTCTCAGATAAATGAGAGGAAATTCCCAAAAAATAGAAAAATATCTCTAATAAATTAACTTATTTTTTGAAATATTTTCTTAAATTACTAAAAACTATTAAATTTTAATATATAATATATAATTTATAATTGTTAACGAAATTTATAGTCTAATTTTTTTTAAACTACACATAATTTTTAGTAATTTTTGTTACCAAAGTAAAAAATTACAAATTTTTAAGAAAATGGACACACTTTTAATAAATTAGAAATTAAATATGTTTTTAATGTATTTAAAAAAAAAATTGTTATTGAAAACAGATGTGCTTTCAATGTCTTGCAGTCAATCAATAGTAATATAATTAAAGTGTGTTTAAAATTAATTTTTTTAACTGGAGTTATAATATAACAGACGTTAGTTGTATTTGATATAAGTTTTTGCATATAATATAATATTATATAACATTATTGTATAACTATTGACGCAATCATTGCAATCGTGTTATGAATATATGAACTGATATTTGAATTGAATCTCAAAAAAAGTTATTTATTATTATAAATATAATAATAACTGATATTATTGTCTAATAATTACTATAAACACAACGATAATAATAATGTCCTATATATCTGCCGACGAGTACCGAGAATTGGCCAAAATTAGACACCGAATGACCGAAATGCGTACCGAAATTTTCAATACAATGACCTCAATGAAAATTATCGGTAAAAAACAGTGTCAACAATGGATTGACCAGTTGTGTGATGTGGCCATTGCTGCCGATACGCCACCCGTCAAACCACAGGTCAATTCGAAGCCATTCGGTAACAGAACTCAGCCGATGATTAATTTGGTTGATATTAAGTACACTATGGATATCGAGGAACTATTGAAGAAAGGAAACCAAATGACTGTTGAAGATATGGACAGTATTGACGACGACAATAGAGGTACCGAAGTACTAATAAATGACTCGCCGTCGACGTCCATCAGTGATAACTCGGAGCGCGAGAATCAGCCAATCGAAGGAAAACAAGAAGTCCGCTATAAAGGAGTTATCCGTACGATTGCTGATACTGTCCGACCACCGAAACGAACGGTCAAATCTAACAATCAAACCAAAAGTAAGAAGAATAAAAAGAATGAAAATTCAAGCGATCAGGTCTTCCAATCGGCCGGTAAAGTGTTGGGCGGCACCAGTGAGGCCACAGTTAGCACCGATAATATGACTAACGATGAAATGAGAGAACTTCGGCTCAAGAAGACTGAAGAACGAATGGCAATGCAACAGAATAAAGGTGTCAAAGGAGAGATCAAACTGACGCACACCAGAGCTACAGCTGATTTGCCCACAGAAACGACAAACAGTGTCCTGAAATGGACTGTTTGAACCATTTATTGTATTTTCATCATATTTTCATCTAAGGTAACAATAATACATAAAATTGATAATTTATATCAACTATTTTTATTTAGTTTTGCATTATTTGTTGAATTTGTTGACATAGTATCATATTGTTTGTATGACATGACATTCATTGATAATTCATTAATTACTTTTAACTTATTTATAATTACCAGTTAATGTCATTTTTCGTTAATTACTTTAATAGTTGATTTCATGTACGCATAATTTAACCAATATTTATATTTACCGATACAAAACACATTTTGATTTAATTTAATATATATATATATATATATATATATATATATATATATATATATATGTATACTATTAATAATATTGTATTAAATAAAAATTGTTATATATTTATGGTAAATTGTAATCTCATTATAATGTGTCAATATATATCTATCTATATATATATAGAGAGAGAGAGAGATTAATAATATAATTTTAAAAAAAAATAAAGTACAGTATATTAAATAATATTTTATTTTAAGATGATTTTTGTAAAATAAATGTTTTGTTTAAAAAACTAAAATGAATTATTTGCAGAACTTGTCGGACTTCATCTTAGATCTTCTGTCTAACAATACTTCGTGCAGTTTTCCAGTGTCTTTGGCGGTCTTCAAGTGAACGGTTTCTTCTTTATTAATCCTTAGCTTCTTGTCCTGAAAACTCTGAAATTTCTTTACATAATTCACTTCTGCGTCCTTTAGTGAACCTCTTTCTTCAACTGCAGTTGCTTTCAATTGTCGTTCCCTATGAACAGCTTCGGGATCAATATTATTACGAATTTTGATCATTTCGTTGGGACCGGCGGTTGAACTGCGGGCCACAATATAAGGTAATTCAGGATTATCTTCATCAGCTGATAAAAAGCACGCATTAGAGCCCAACAGAGCTATTTTGCTGTCCTGAAATACGGGTTCAAACTGTTCCCGCGGTCCAATAGCATCAGACCGACCCACCAATCGGTTCTTGGAGTCAATACTCAGATATTTATTATAACCTGATTTAAGAGCTATATGTGTGCCTGAAAATCGTATGGCCGTCAGTATCTCTTCGGGATCGGGTATCTCTCCCGGTTGATGGGCGGCTCCTAATATAAACAGACCGTTGTCGAGGGCACGGATGTATTGATAGGGTGACAATTCTATAGCTATCGGTCCAGTTATGTGCTTAAAGTCGGAGATTTTAAACCAAAGTCCTGTCCATTGGTATTATGATAATATGTATGAGATATATAAAGACAATTAACTGATATATTAAAGGACACAAACCATGATTTTCGGCATCAACTCTGTCTGTCTTTATATTTGCCTCTTCTTCGCTGATCTCGACTTTACGTGACTTATCTTTTTTCTTCTTTCTATTAAAAAAAACAAAATAATTTAAACAAAAAAATATATAATTATTTAAATAAAAATTTACTGAAAAATTACTGGAAAAACACAATTTGAATCAACAAAAAGTCACCAACGGATCAATCAAAACAATAATTGTCACCAAAAAAAAGTGATACCTTTTCTCTCCTTTGAGATTAAGTTTGCCGATTCGGAAGTCAGAATAGTCGGCCATAATTGTGGACACAATTTATTTATATATATATTTACCGAAAGATATGCAATTGATATCAAACAGTTTGATCACTAATTTATTAAATGTATTGTCAGTAATAGTAAATAATATAAATAATAAATAAATAATACATTTTGACAACAAAATCATTAATAACGTCTATTTGTAAACACAAACTGTTGTAATGATATTATTGTTTTTTTTTTTAATAAAAACATTACATAGATATTAAAACATTAAATATTTGAGTAATTTTTTTTTGTTCAAATAGTTTTAAACTATTGTTTTTATAGATATTGTATTAATAGTGGTACAAACACGCCAACCCTCCCAACTAAAGTGGTATACAAATACCCGTACCAATAGTATTGTACAAACTGTTATGATTTTAATAAATGTTTGCTAATTGCTTACCTTTAAATGTAAAGTCAAAAATTACTCGTAGTTTTCAATAAATGTCTAATTAATAATAATATTATTACCGGTAATTATTATTGGAGATAATGTCTATAAAGCTACTAATTATTTGATTTGATCCAAACATTACTATTATTACAAACTAATAGATCGATTGCTTCAATATATGAATTTATTTTAAAGACATTTTTAAATCAGAATTATTTTTAATATTGTAGAATATTTTTGATAATTACAATAAAAATTGCATACATTTGCTAAAAACAATATAAATACAATTTAAATTATTAATAAATTTAATTTATAATAAAAATATTACTGTATATAAATAATTATAAAAATTACACAGTTAAAATAATTTATTTTTTTTTTATAAAATAAGTTGCGACAAAACAACATTTACAAACTATTAATAGTAAGCATTCAAGAAGTTTAAAACAAAAAAAAATACAGAATTTAAATAGTTATTAAATAAACTTTTTTATAATAATATGTATACAATAGTATTCAATCCCTAATACAAATGTTTATTATATTTTTGTTTTGTTGACAATGTGTTGGCAAAAATTTTGATAAATTAGTTATTAATTACAATATTAATTGACATATAATTTCAAATATTTGCTATTTAGTGGTTCACACATACTGTTAATTAATGTGCGCAACTTTTCGGTACCACTCGACAAACTCGTCCAGCAATACGGGCCACGCGCCGTCCTCGTCATAGTTTCCCAGATCGTGACTAATAGAGCGACTAAACTCCAGTACATTACACCACTGGTCCTTATTTAAGACTTTATATTTCGATTGCTCTAAAAATTGATGAAAGTAGAGATAAAGTGGCCATCGATTGCCTAATAAGAGCTGAAGCATTGCTTTAGCCGTCTCTAAGTCGATACTTCGCTGATCTTTGTCCTACAAGTTATTGGACAACAATTGAAATCAATTTATGCAATCAAACAAAACAAATCAATTGAAAACACATACCTTCGCGAAGTCAAATGAGTAACGATATATGGCTTTAAATACCGACGAGTCGTTGAGTTGAAGGCGCAAAGAGTCCAATTTGTTACGTAATTTTGCTAATGAATCACATCTTACAGATAAACATAAAAAAGTTAATTAGTATTTCATTTAACATCCAAACTATATGACCACTCACTGCATTTCACTCATGCCTTTAACCCACTCTTTGATGTGGAAGTATCCCATCTGTTTTGCCTCCATTTTCCAGGCAATCACTAACATCACTATATCTTCGGGTTGAACCGACAGTGCATTACAGAAATTTTCTATGCCTTCCGGTTCAATAATTTCGGGATCACTATGGGCTGTAATAATAAATTTATATATAAATAAATCAATACATTTTGGGATCAATTGATTGATGACATACAAGCAAACTCTTTGAAGAAAGCAATACATTTCTTTTGTGAAAAAGAGCTCATTTCGTCATCAGTTCGGGAACTATTGCGACGAGAATTATAGCTGAAAGTAAACCGAAACATTGGTTATAAAAAGCGTTTAAAAAAATTGTTAATAAGTAGCGCGTGATTTATCACTAAATGCTTAGCATTTAACGAGTGACGCGTATAATACGTGTTCATTGAACGGATGGTCGGCTCTCAATACTAACCGATCACTCATTACTGAAGTCTTGAAACGTTTGGATTGATTCTTATCCTCTTCACAGACGTCTATATTGTATTTTCTACGCCTGGGAGGCATTGGAGGCATTAGATGACCACCGCTGAAGTCACTGATGTCGGCCAACAATGACTGTCCCAATTGAAGCCAATCGTTTAGCTGATGATCGGCACCTGTTTGCAAACTCTGTCAAATCAAAGACATTCGTAAACTTTAGTTAAGTAATCAATTGTTAATAATATTTAATACAATAATGATTGACAATCTAATAGAAGAAGTAAAAGAGGAAGTGATGTAAACAAAGAAAAATCAATTAAATGTCTAAAAATAATGACCAGATTTTGGAGTTCACGCTGTATTGAATGTGTCCCAAATGAATCCACTTTTGATGATAATTGATATCTAAATCATTGAGATTTTAAACAATTTATTGGTTTATGGACTAAACAATCGTTTCTCATGAGTTAAGACGTGGTATTTGTTATCACAAATCAATTGATTACCAAATTTGTCTCAAAAACGCATTCAATTGGTTTCTCATGTCATTTGGGAATCAATTAACAAATCATTCAAATGAATAAAACAAATCTAAAGTCTAATTCAATGAAATCGGATTTGAAATCAATGGCCAAAAAATTGGGATCAAATGGGGTTAAGACTGTCGGCACTCAAGACATTACAAGACAGTCAACACTGGATATCATAAGGCGAAGGCCATACGTGAGTCACTAATCATAAATTACGTCATTTTATATACTAATCAATTGTATGATAATCTTATGGAAAGGGTTGGCAAATGTGTACACATTATTCATGTATAAGACTAATAAAGTAATAGTATATTAATATGAATATACTGTGCAATAGATTGTGCATTACTTTACTATACTGTACTGTATTTTGTAATAAATTGTAATTTACAACAAAACATGCATTATATACAAAATGACAAACAATTTAATCAATGTTAACATTAATAAAACGCATACAAATCGATACCCCCTCACCTCCACTCACCCCCTATGACCCCCTCTATAGTGTAGTGTTGTGTAGGATATACTTATGTTTTGTAACACTAGTAGTAATAATGATAATCATTTGATACACTTATTTATGACTTACCGTTAAAATTTGCGAAATAATACTATTATTTCTAATGTAAATTAATGATAGCAAACACAACACAACACAACACTAGTCAAACAATTTCATATTATATTTGAAATGCAATTATAATATAATTTTTGTGTTTTTTTTTTAATTATAAAAACGATTCAATCGATTCAATAGTAAATTTTTTGAAACGAGATTTCATGGCTATATCGGTGACAACAAAACGCAACAACAATTCAAACTTATATTAATATACAGTATATTAGTAAACACTACATCATTGCCGAGTGTTTATAATACTGTATAAAATGTAAAACAAAATTATGTTTTATTTTATTTTTTTAATATTCACTGCACTATCACTCRCACACACTGTACGTACAGAAATCACAAACGCATTACACAAACCAAAAATCTGAGTCCAAACCCCCAGCGCTTCCCCCGAAAGACACACACAAACACATAATACTAAACATTTAATGTTCGACTAAACAGTGGCCCAACCCTTGGGATGACAACAAAAAACTTTGAAAGTTTTACATTATTATAAATTTATTACAGTATTGTTTTATATTAATAATATGATAAAAGCWAATATATTTTGTTAATAAATAACGCAAATATCATATATTAATGTATATTAATATTTGTTACAACTTTATTAAGATTAAGATTTTATCGTTTATTATCATAAATCTATGTCAAAGTCAAATGTTGTCAATTAATTATTATGCAATTAAATTCATTTGAGAAACAAACTAATAATTTGTAACATATGTATCAATTATTGTATTAATTTTTGGCCATTTGATTGTCAAATGAAATATTTGACAAAATTAAATAAAAAATAAAATAAAAACAGTTTCAGCTGACASTGTCATCACTAATAACGTTAACAATACAATAGTGGGCATCACTTGTATAGTGACTAAAGCAAGTCATACAGTATAGTATAGTTAGGGTTAGATTGAGATTCCCAGGGAGGGAAGTTCCCAAATAAAATCCCTCCAATTTTCCCGGAAAATATGGAAAATATATTATATTCCTTCCCTTGATCGTTAGAAAGGGAAAATATAATTTGTCATACATTAAAAAGTACATAATCTCAATGGCTATGTGTTTCAATTGGGACCATTATGTTAGTAATAACTCAATCAAAATATGATTCAAATATTATTAAACATTTAGTAAAAACATTAAATACATTTTGTAGACATTTACTATACAAACGTGTTTTTAATTAAACATTATGTAATGTGAGTTAGGGTACGATAGGTGGTACCACAAGGAAATGTCTTCCCAGGGAACAGGGAATATAAGGAACTTATGGAAAATAAGACGAGGGAGGGAATCTGATCTAACCCTAAGTATAGTACAGTATTATTACAGCAATGTATTAGTGTTTGTGTTGAATGTGGGGCACAAAACACTACAACAAAGCCCACGTAATTGTCACGTGACTCACACACACACTGATTGCTGTAATACATGAGATCACGTGTTATAGTGTTGTTAGTGAATAAAGTGAGTCAATAATAATGAATATGAGTATAGCTGTAGTATTACTACTACTTCTACTGTATTACTGTTTAGACACACAAGTCGTCAATGTTTTTGTATTAACTGTTTGTCTCTTAAGAGTGTTTGTAGTGTTGTATTGACATTGAGATTGAAAATCATTTATTATTTATAAATAAAAATCACATTTTCTTTTGGGTTTCACTTTAATAAAAATATTATTAAATTTTAGTTTAATTATTACAAAGCAATTGATTAATTGATTATTATTATTGTTTAAACATATTTAATATATAACGACAACTTTGAACAAAAAGTATTGATTGAATTGTTTGGTCCATTTGATAGCCAATGCAAATCATTGTTAACAAATGTTTGGACAATTGGTGTTTGAATTATCCAATGTCTGCAACGATTATCACCACAACGGTTCCAACCAAGCATTATATTTACGGCAAACCAATGATTGCAAGATTATTATTATTGTTTAGTAATATTTTGGATTTTTTGTGATATCTTTCGGTGATTATTATTATCATATTATTAGTTAAAAATTTAATTAAACGAAGAAAAAGTCTAAAAAGCATTTAATTATTTTTTTAAAAAGTGTTTAAAAAGATTATATGATATATAGAATTAGTGATCAAATTTAGATGGTTTAAGATATTGTCCGACAAGTGGTCAGAAACTGTAAACAAGAAACAGAAAGAAGAAATGCCGCGAAACAAGAAAGTGAAACAACGGGCCATTGACTTAAAGGCCGTCAATAACAACGAAAATACAGTCGTTATATCCAATTTGGCCGCTAATGATACCAATGCTGTGACACAAATGGACAATTTAAGGTCATTGCAGGAAATGTTTGCCAACCGATTAGATCCAGAGATTATCGACAGTGTCTTTCAAGAATGTGCCGCTAATTGTATGTATTTTTTTTTGTTTTTATTTTAGACTTAATTATCGCTTATCTTTCAGTTAAATCTTTTTTTTGTTATTATAATAAAAATGTACTGAAATATGAAATTCGCAATTAATTAGTAAATATATCGTATAAGATATTAATGTATTCATATTTTATTTTTATTAAAAGTTTATAACCACATAATTATCTCATAATTGAATCCTATAGTTGCTAATTATATATAATATTTATTTTTCAATAATTTTAATAACTTGAAAGGCAATGGCTTTACAACTATGAATTACTTGTATTATTAGAGCCAAAAATAGATCTTATATTTCATGAAAGCTAGAGATTAGTTGACAATGTTTTTATAATTTAAGTGAAAGATTTTGTGGTTAATAAAAGAAAATAGTTTTAACCAACAAAAAAATGCTATGAATTAACATAAGTCATGTTTTATATATAGAGAGAAAATAATAGCACAAATGATTGATTATAAAAAGTTTTATATAAAAACCCTGTGATTTTAGGTGTGTCTCAAAAAAGTTTAACACGAATTTCACTAAAGTTTTTTTTGTTTTTTTAGTAATTTTTTATTTATTTATTTTATTATTATATCACATAGTTTCCTGTTATGACTGCCAATTAAATGTATAGTTTCATAATTTTTTGTGTTATTTATTTGAGTTTATATCCAACATAAATATGATATCAATCACTGGAATAATTTTATCGATTTATATAAAATGCAAATTAATTTTTATAAGTTTACTTAAATGAACTAATTAATTAAAGCAATAAATTAATTTGTTTGACTAGACATGTGATAAATATGTGGTCTTTATATTAAAACATTATTATATAAGTCTATAAATTATTTTAAATTATAGATAATTAATAATAAAAATGGTTAACTTTTCACCTGTTGTTTTATTATTGATTAATCTAATATTGAACTTTGTTTGATACTTAATAGCTTTTAGTCTATAATAGAAATGCACTATTTTTATATATAGTATCTATAGTTATATAACTTGTAATCTATTTATATTTTATTTTTAATAAATATTGTAATTTGAATCCATTTTATTATTTAAAATATATAAATATATTTTATGCATTTGATAATTAATAATAAAATATTTGTATAATTGAGTTATCGATAAGCATTTGTTTACAATTAAATTTATCAATGTTTATAATTTATAACAATTAACTTTGTATAAATAATTTAAGTCTTAATATTTATTTTTTATACTGACCTTTACTTTGAAAAATAATGAAATTTATTGCATAAGAATTAGGGCAACATTTGTAAGAATTTTTTGTTGTTGTTATTATCGATATATGTGTTACAATTTATTTTTTTGAAAGTATATAATTAATTAGTTTAGTTTATATTTAATGAAAATATTTCTATATATATATATATATATATGTATTTTATAAATTTATTTTATTATTTAATATATTAGCTAATTATTTCACATGATTTAAATAATATATATCATTAAATGGGTTCTATTATATGATATGGTATATATAGTTAGTTAAAGTAAGCACAGGTATGCAATTTTTATAACATTGTAAAAAAATATTCTCAATAATTTAATATCATATAAAATTATAATTATTGGCTGTTGATTTTCATAAGTTTAATAAATTACAAATAAATTTATATATATAAACTATTTTTTATTTATTTTACATGCAACTATATATGATATGATTAAGCATTTTTAATATGATTTAATATTATAACATTCATAACTATACAATATTAATAATTGTACATAAAATATATATTATCAGTCAACCAGACATTAGAAAACTTATTGGAGATGTGCGGCGATAGTATCAATGAATTGGTGCCAAACAGAGACACACTTCCATTATCAGCACAATTGCATGCATTTAATACATCCAACCATACGATAGACGAAGTTCCTTATACTGTGTCTGAGCCCCCGTTGACCGACAGTACAAATAGCAATAACAGGGATGTTGGCAATCGTACGACTTATAACAGGGAACCGGTAGAAGTGCTCAATCTATTGCCACTTAATTTAAAGGTCAATCACAAGCCATCGCCATTGAACGCCGTAATGCCTTTTGCCAACATTTTTTCTCCCAAATCTATTCAGTCAGCGGCGATCAGTGCAAAGTCTAGTCAGCCGTCATCATCAAAGCTCAAAGARGTATCACTTAAAGACGATATAAAACAAATGATCAGAAAAAAACATAAAATAATGGTTTTAATGCGTGGACTACCCGGCAGTGGAAAGACTACGTTAGCTAATCAGCTTGTCTATGGATCCGATGGTATAATTTTAAGTACAGACGACTATTTTATAAAGAACGGCACCTATAGGTTTGATCCCAACCAACTGTCCATTGCTCACGAATGGAATCAGAAAAGGGCAAAGAAATACGCTGAAAATGGGAAGTCACCCGTTATTATTGATAATACTAATCTCGAGGGATGGGAAATGAGACCTTATGTTAGCTTTGSTTATACCAGAGGTTATAAAATCTATTTTCTCGAACCGGACACCTATTGGAGTCGAAATCCTAAAGAGTTGTCGCGACGTAATATTCATGGCATCACTAAAGAAAAACTCGAATCAATGATTCAAAAGTTTGAAAGAGTGACCGTCGATGACGTTGTCAAGACATTGCCAACAACTCATTTGCTGCAAAAATCAAACTCTACTCAAGTAATGAATAGTAAAATTGTATCGACAAATGCCACAAAACTGATATCGAGATCAATAAGTAGTCCAACAAATGCATGGACTGTCAATAATTCTGGTGTGAGCTCTGATTACGAAGAGTCACCACAATCTTCAAGCGCACAATTATGCAATTTTCAAGAAGAAAGCTCTTCATCGCTCAATTCGACAGAACCAACTGATTCTTTAAATGATAACAAAATAGACATCGATTTACTTATTGCACTCAATCAACGTAACACAGACTCAGAAGATAGTTCATCGGTCAATGCCTCTGATGGCGGAAGTAGTTGTGTTAGTCAGGAGTTTGGATGGGAAAGGGATGACGAGTTTACTTATACTGATAATCAACAACAACATGACATGGATCAGTCTACATCTTGTAATGGACTGCAAACTGAAAATCCTATCTATGAGTCACCTAAAGAGCCAATATTTCAAAAGGAACATCTGATTAGTAATACGACTATTGATGATATTAAGGAGGAAACTGTTGAAGAAGTTGTGTCTAATGAAACCACTGGTAAATCTAATAACGACAATATTGTTTCGAATGTAAATAATATGAGTACAACTAACGGAGCTCAAGAAGTTAGTTTGCAGAACACATCCAATACTAAGAGAATGTTTAGTTTGGTTGGAGTTCCCAAACAATTAGGACAACAGAATTGGGAGTTTCCTTCATTTCCTATTGACTTAAACGATAAAAATGATAAATCAGAAGTCAGTATTACTTTTCATTCACGTTTCTCGCAGACAGAGCTTAAAGATTGGGCACTTCTTGAGCTAAGACAATGCAATAAAGACTCGAACGAGGGTTTAGACACTGACAGTAGTGATGGTGAAGAGATAATTAGTGAGACTAAGGTTTACGATATAAAAAGTAGTTTAGGTGTTAGGTTTCATAAGGGAACCGATACTAATGATATGCCCGACGACTTAAGTCGCGATCAAAAGTTAAATACATTGCGGCAGAAGTTTCCGAAAGCGGAAAATAATCATTTGAATGAAATTCTTGACGCCTGTCATGAGGACTATTTATGGGCCGAAAAATTGTTGAGCGAACTTAATGAAGATCACTTCGATGTCGGATCACTTGAGCAGCTGTCCAATGGTACCGAAGCGCGAGTCAGCAGTCCTGAGACGATCTCGGAATCACTTTCAAACTCAGGCGAAGAGGATTTACAAGAAAATCTAAACAATCGCAAAGATTCTGATGAACCTATTTTTTCCCTAACTCTGGACACCTTYTTAGCGGCTCAACTTCAGTCACAATTTGGTGTTATAACTGACACTCTAACTGAAGATGATTTGACCATTACTTTAAGTCATGGCGTCGCTAGACTTCTTCATCATAATTGGAAAAAGTCTTTAAATCAAAAAGATTTGTCTCAAACTAAACCTAAACCTCAAAGTACTACCGATAGTAAAATTTTCAATAATCATCAAAATAAAAGCCAAAACATTAACAATAATATGAATAATAACAAAGTGTCTAAAAATCAGACAAAAGAATCTGCTTTAGAGGTTTTGCCTAAAAGTGAGTTTCAAGAGATACTGGATATTGAAATGGCAAAGGATTTGAGTCGTAAAGAATATCAAAAAAGTTTGGCAGCGAATGCACTCAACTCTTCGTGTCCAACAAAGAGACAAAATGCCAAAGACCTGTTGTCTACTAAATTGAAAAGAGATCAGTTGTTTCAAAGATATCCCGGAGTCGATCAAAGCTTTTTGGACACCATTTTCGAGTCCAATACGTAAGTTATTGTAATATAATTTAATTATTAATAAATGTTTAAACTATACATTTCTTTATCTTTACATTTGTTAATAGTTATTGTTTAGGAAAAACAATCGATGTATTAGATAACTCATTGGGTTTGGATGACGACTTCACAAAAGAGATTAATGAATTGATTGCCGAAGAAAAATATAGTCCACAAAACGGCTCACCAATGAATGGCTCGCGTTCTGCATCACCGCTCAAATCTATCCGCAAACCGATTGATATCAACTCAAACATATCGCAAATGAGTTCTCTATTAGTCAAGAAAAAGGAGACACACGACAGGGCAAGACTGGCATTCAATCGCAAACAGTTTGCCGTCGCCTCATATTATGCTAACGAAGCCAATCAATTGCATCTGAATATTGATAGACTCAGCAAAGAGACGGTCGATGCTATTCTTTACAATAGGTTGGTTGAGTGTTGGTGTCATTATAACTCATTTGTATCACTAATTACTGTTTAATTTATATCCTAATCATATGTCAGTATAAATACCAATGAACTTGATTTACATGGTTTGCGTTTACCGGAAGTAAATGCCATATTATCTGAATATTTATGTCGTAAATGTGATGAATTAAAGCGAACTCAGGGACGACGCAAACTATCGGTCGACATTATCACCGGTTACGGGGCAACCAAAGGTGTTATGGGTCGCATCAAACCGGCAGTCATTCAGTATTTAAAGCAAAAAAACTTTGCGTATGTTTTGTTTTTTTATATCCATAACATTTATATTTGATTTGTTTTTGTAAGATTATATTATTTGTATTTTTTTGTCCAACAGTTACGAAACGGTAAATATGGGTGTTATCCGAGTCAATCTAACTCAATAATTATTTACAAGTGTTGCCATTTCAAAATCATATTTACAGAGCTTTTTTACACACTATTTAAGTGAAATCATTGATTTTTTATATACATTTTTTGATTATACTTTTTGAAATCACAATTTTTATATAAAAAAAATATACGATTGTTTTTAAAAAAATGTAATTTTTATAAAAAAAATCAAGTAAATTATACATATGTATGAAAAATGATATATTAAACTAATATTTCGGATGATATTACTAGTTTTGTATACATCTATGAAAAAAAATAAATTGTTTTAATTAAATAAATTTAAAAATTAAACAATTTTTATCAAAAATTTCATTTAATTGATAACTGACCTGCAATTGGTTTCATCAAAGACAGCAGCGGATGAACATTGTCTGGAAATGGTTGGCGGACAGATACAATCGCACTTTTCATTGGACCACATTCTGTTCAATTGGGAACAGCTTTTGGCTTTAGACATATCCTTACACTCACAGATACACCTGTCCTCTGAAAATACTTGTTTATCACTGCAATTCTTTTGAGTCATTGCACACTGACATCCACACAACAAATGTTTCTCCATTTTGATTCGCATACATTTTTCGGGTGGATTACCACTTGTGTGACTACCACTGCCTAATAATCGACTGTATATCTGATTAAATCAGATACAATAAAAGGTTATTTTACAATGAGATTAAAACAATCAATTTATAAAATTATACAAAATCTGAAGTTATGGGCACTTCGATGATCTCTTTTTCAATTGGCAAACACTTGTGGTTTGGGTGYTGACAAACGCCAACACATCTCTCCACTTCATACATGTTTGGCCGGTGATAGACACCCGGCATATAGTACTTGGACGGCATCTTTACTGGTATTAATTGCTTTCGCGGTGGTCGGCATAGTGACTGTCGATGCAATATATTGGACTCTCTTTTAAAATTTCTATCGCACGCTATTTCAACTAATTAATTGGTAAACAAATTAATATAAATTAAATATAAATAAGTGATTTGAAAAAATATTGAAGAAAAATATTTATTTATATCGAAAAACAATGAACTGAGAAATGAATTGCTTTAATGAAAATATTCTACATTTCCGGGAAAAGTAATAAAAACTTACGGTAACTATAGTATCGGATTTACCGGTAAGTTATGTTTATTCTATAAGTTATATAATTTGATATTAAAAAAGTATCAAATATTTTGACATCAAATACCTGGACTCATATCCTCTGGCATTCCTACGTCTTGACCAATGGATACTAGTTCTTCAGTTGGCGATTCATCTAATCTTTTATATCGATTGCATTCAACAAAACAAATTGACGACACAATTAACAAAATGGTTAGAAAATAAATGACCAAAAATTTATAACAATGAAAATATTTCATTTCTTTATTATATTCTTATAATAATATTATAATTATTATTTATATTAAAATTATTATTATTCAAATTAATTGAATGTTAGCCTTTATATATATTTATATCTGTGTTTATAAACTTTAAACAATACACATATTATTCATTGAACTTTTCATTCAGAGATACATTCATATTAGCAAATCATCAAAATATATAGTATTTTGTGTGAGAAATAGTTTTACAAAACTTATAGAACTAAACAAATTAATTTATAAAACAATTTTTGTTATAAAACGGAATCACAATATCCTTTAAGTCGGCGGAAATTAAGTGCAAAATAAAATGTTTATTTCAAATGTGTTTGACATCAGAGACCGAGAATTAAATTAAAAATCACTTTCTCTCTGAAATAATGTATTGTACACACAATTACTGTATGGACGTAATTATGACATAATAAGTGTATCATAAATATGATTTCAATTGACATTTACCTACTTTAACAAAAAAAAAATAAAATAGTAGAAAATAAAACTAAATTCATTTCAATTAATATTTGATTCAAACTCTCTCTCTCTCTCTCTGTGACTCTGTTGTCAAAAATATTTACAGAAATTACCAGTAATTAAAAAAAGAAGATTTGCTGCACTTATAGTACAAATGGTTTGCTTAGATCGTACATATCGTCGGATCTATTTATGAGAACATCTTCGAGTATGCCTTCCTTTCTTTGGCCTTATAGGCCTCGATCTCTCCCTTAACGGCCGCCAATTCGGCTGCAATTGACTTATCGCTCGGTGCCAATGCTTGTGCCCTTTGAAGATCAAACAGACTTTTATCGTAATCTCGTTGGCCGTGATATGCCTGACCTCTTCTGTATAATGCTTTTGCATTATCAGGACAGATATCAAGCGATTCGTTTAGCACTTCCAGTGCTGCCTCATATCGTTTGAGTCTCAACAGACAGGCAGCACTATATAGATATCATATGTCAAATAGAAATCATTTTGAAATTATCAAAATTAATTATAAGTTTACAATTATTTTTTTATATATATATAAAAATAAACACCTATTTAGCAGACATGGAAGTTCTTGATTGAGAACCCGTTTCTCAGTTTCATCGTTGAGGTCATTGTCGTGCAATTTGTTTAAATAACGCAACGCTTTCTTATATTTGCGATTAGCGTTTACAAAGTCTTCGTTTTTAAAATAAAGATTTCCCGATATTTTAATTTTGTCGCCAATTTCTAAAACTTTCTCCATTTGCTAATTTGTAATAAAATTTTTTTATAATCATTTAAAAATTCTTAGAAATTTATGTTTCAAAACGTTTAGATAGTTTGCATTTCAAAACGCATTGCAATTTTTTATGAAATAAAAAAATTACAAACCGAAGTGAAATCAAGATCCGTGTCCTCAGGAAAGGGAGGAAATATATCTTCTGAACCGTCATTTTCGTTGAGATTGTAGTCTTCGTCAGCTTTGAATTGTCCGCAATCACTGATTATAACTCGCTATTGAAATAAATCAAATGTAAATCAGTGATAATTATGTCAACAATAATGTCGAAACCGATTACCTCAACGGGAACATCGTTAGCAATGGTCTGCAGGCCTTCCAAATACTTGATAACACCCATACCTTTGATTACTTGGCCAAACACCACATGTTTGTCGTCCAAATGAGGTGTCGGTACAGTTGTAATGAAAAATTGTGAGCCATTAGTGTTGGGACCAGCGTTTGCCATACTTAAGAGTCCAGGTTTGTCGTGCTGTCGATGCCATCAAAAAACAACATAAACTAATTGATACTCTAATGAGAGTAATACTGACCTTAAGCTCAAAATTTTCGTCTTCAAACTTCTCGCCGTAAATACTCTGACCTCCCGTACCATTAAAATCGGTGAAATCTCCGCCTTGAATCATAAACTCACGGATTACTGGAAACAAAACATATGATATGAGTGACAGTTGTTGACACTTATTAACAATAATCAAATCAAATGACAATCAATCAGTACTTCTGTGAAAAATGGATCCCTTATAGTGAAGTGGTCTGGATTTAGAGCCGATTCCCATTTCTCCCGTACAAAGCGCCCGAAAATTTTCGCACGTCTTGGGCACCACATTGTTGAACAACTCGATCACTAAGCGGCCAACTGTTGAGGACATTAAACAATGACAATTAGATGACACAATCGGTGACAACGGGTGGTGTCAACAAAATTATTGTTCAATCGTTGGCCACTATAGCCTATATCATACATACCGTATTCATCGCCAACATTGATGTCGAGGAAGCACCGGATTGTATCACTGTTTGTCTTGTTGTCTGCCATTTATCCGATTAGTGTCCACTGTTTGTCTACTAATCCAATGTCACTAACAATCAGTCAGTGAATGCAATGCCAGTTGTGTTGTAAAGTATTGTATGGAGTGTTGTGTTGTTTGAGTTAATGTATTGGAGAAACACTAAAACCATTGCATGTATTAAATCACTCACTCATTGACTACAACAACAACAACACAAAAAAGCATTCAAATGATTGATTCATTCGATTCAATATTTTTATGTTTTTTTTGCAGTCATTTCATTGACACATATATTCTGGTTGTGAACTCAATTCACCGATTCTTTAACAACAAATATATACTTATTTTTTATCGCAATTCAATTGAAAAGTTTTTATTGAATTTGTTTGTTTCATTGATAGCATAGATTGACAATAAACATGTTTGAGATAAGAGTTAAATTATTTTGTAAAAATATTTATAAAACAAAATATAAAATATATATTTGTTTAGGGAATAAACCCAAAAATAATATGTTTAACAATTAAATGTTTAAGAATCGGATAAAAAATTAATTAATAATTTATTCTTATGGCTAACTATTTCTGTAATAGTTTCTGTAATCTTCTAAATAAAATAGTTTTGCAATGCAATAAATTTTATATACATTTTTATTTGCAAAAAATAATAATTTTTTATAAAAATTAATTTATTTGTGGCGCGAATTGATTAAAAAAAAGAAAAAAGTTTTTGTCACCCGATTTACAACAATACGAATGGGATTTATAGGGAATAATTCAAATTCAAAACTGTTATATAATTCAACAGTTATTTAGTTTGGTGTCAATCGATAAGTCAAAGTAAAGATTATAAGTGCTTTGTTTGCGACCAAAAACAAAAAAGTCATTACAAAGTAGTCTACAAGAAATGGCCCGAAGACACAGTGAAGACGAAGACAGTAGTGAAGGCGGTAGCGGTCGGTCCCGATCAAGAAGTGGACGGAGCAGAGGTCGAAGTGGTAGACGACGTGGAGGACGAAGTGGAGGACGAAGAGGAGGCAGAGGTCGTTCAAAGGCAAAGAGATGCAAAGGAAAAGGCAAATGCGTTCACTTTCACACCAAAAGAAAGGGCGCAAAGAAGTGCAGTGATGTCGACGACAATAAGTCCTGCGTTCACTTCCATCCCAAACGCAAACACAAGTGAAAGAGTCGACAATAGAGACGAYCAGTGATGACATTCACACCAAACAAACCGTCATCTTATTGACTGTCAGTGCATCTCATTTGGTCATCAATTTATCCACTCTTTTATTTTGATCTCAAATCATATTTATTTAGAAAAACCAAATGAATTAAATGTAAAAATTTCAATAAAAAATTGTTTACAAAATTGATTGATTTGATTCAAAMTTAATAATTAATAATTAATACTCTGATAAATAATTGATACTTTGATTGATTGAAATTTATAAAAAAACAGATAAAATTTTAATGCAATTTTGTATATAAATTAATCAATGAATGACACAATGTTATATATTTGATAATATTATATTATGATCATGGTCATTTGATTATAAGATAATAGAAATAATCATTTTGTAATAAGTTATTACTAATATATTATATAAATTAAATGATTAGTTGAAGTTAGTTATTAGTAATAAAWTATTACTAATAACTAACTTCAACTAATCATTTAATTTATATAATATAATATAACTACTTGTTAGTCATATGATACAGTATATAAAATTTATAAATTATTAATAAGAGGTACTAAATAAATGATACAATATAAATTTAATATCATATAAAACTTTTACAATAAATTACATTTTAATCTGTATTTCTAATACAGAAAATAAACACAAAAATATAATATAATAACTAATTAAAATTTCAAAAAATATGATTYATAATAAATAACTAAATTATATAATTAAATTAAACTTATAAAATATAGTTACCGGTAGTTATAGAGTACATGCAATATAATGCATTAGTATCAGTACATTACCTGTATTGTGATTCATAAATTTATTACACACTATTTTTTTGTAAATCTACATATATTATATTGATCCTAGATAAATTAATATTTGTTTTTTATTATAATAATTACTAGTTTGTCCCGAGCAACATGTATAGCCGTGCAATTCTTTAACTAATTTAAAAATATTTACTATAAGTAATTTGAATGAGACTTAATTTGTTTATACAACTACTACATAACCTAATGTAACAAAACTACTGAACCAATACACATTAATTCGACTAAACTTTTGAGAAATTTTAGTTTTTATATATATTTAAATAATTTTAATAAAAATTGAAAATTTAATTTTTGCGAAAAAAAATTTGCATTTGAAAAAAATTTACTGAAATTTAACACATGTAGCTAACATGTGCCATAAACTCACACAATATAGCAAAGTGTAATTACACGACACACCAGCCTACCTGTCCCTAAAACCTACCTGAGCTCAACAAAAATTTAAAATTTCCCATAGAAATAACATTGCTTTAAATTAAAATTGAAAATTTTAACACAAATTGAAAATTTTTGCATTTGAGAAAATTTTGCAAAAATTTAGCACAGGTAGCTTACCTCCCGGTGCCCTGTAACTCATATAATATAGCAAAGTGTAATTAGACGACACCAGCCTACCTGTCCCTAAAACCTACCTGAGCTCAATAATCATTTAAAATTTCCCATAGAAATAACATTGCTTTAAATTAAAATTGAAAATTTTAACACAAATTGAAAATTTTTGCATTTGAGAAAATTTTGCAAAAATTTAGCACAGGTAGCTTACCTCCCGGTGCCCTGTAACTCATATAATATAGCAAAGTGTAATTACACGACACCAGCCTACCTGTCCCTAAAACCTACCTGAGCTCAATAATCATTTAAAATTTCCCATAGAAATAACATTGCTTTAAATTAAAATTGAAAATATAACAATATATTTTTAGCTTTGAATTAAAAAATGGTTGTTGAGGAAGTGTGCACACATACAAACAAACAAACAAACAAACAAACAGACAAAACAAATGTCTTAAAGTTATTAGGATATTATTGTTTAATAAAATGTTTAACAATTAAAAAAAACTTGGCTATTTAATATTAAAAATAATAGTGATAAAACAAACATTAATTAAAAATGATTGTGTTTGTTTGTTGTTAGCTTGTTAATAATTTATAAAAATTGTTATTATAAATATCTAATTATCTAAAAGTTAAAATAAATAATTTATATTATAATTATTAATTATATAAAACAAATCAACAATAAATAAAAACAACGATAGTCTATGACTAGTCTATTGGACTAAATTAGTATTATTAATATATTGTAATTTGAAAATCATTTGCATTTACAACTATACAGTATATTATGGGAATATTATGGGTATAACACAATAATTTAGAGTCAATAAATAATACTGTATTATATTTACAGTGGAAAATAACTTTTAAAATAATTGTAAGTTTTATAAAATAATTAATTAATTTTCTATAAATAGTTAAAGTTGTCGCTTATTTGTTACATTACAAAAATTAAATATTTTTGTTATTTTAGTTAAATTTATATATTATTATATAATTGAGTATTTTTTTTATATATTTATTCACCATAAAAACAGTTTTATCAATACTATTACGCAATCCCTTTCAATACTTTATGTGTACAAATCTTTTTCCCCYAGTTTTCCCCTTTTCCCACGTCCTCTATTGGTTGATTCAATACTGCTATTAGTTTAAATGACAACAAGTGTTATTAATATGAGAAAAGTGTTTACATTATATTAATAGTAGACACGCATTAAAAAAAACTTTTTGTTTATTGTTTTTCGTCTAATATTTGATTTTTGTTTCAAACATTTTTTATTAGCAAATATTTAAATAACAATTTATTGCTATTTTTTAATAGGCATTACATTCAGCAAAATTCAGTACTATTTATGATATTTAATACATTGTGTCTAATGTTTAAAATAATACCAAATTATCTCAAAATGATTTAAACTGATTGAATGAATGCATTGAATATTATTAATAAAACAGTGATTTTGTTGAATGCATTGAATGTGATATTAGTTGTCAACAAAAACTATTGAGTGATAAGACATTTATTGATAACATTTTGTTCAGTGTTTTCATTGTTTGTGTCGTTTCTCTGCATTTTTATCGTCACTTTTATTTGGTTACTGAAGAGACAGCAAAACAATAGCATATAAAGCGATGGACGAAAAGCCAGCGCTAGACTCGGCGGCCACTACTCCGCAGATCATTGAAACACATCATCTGAAACTGTGGTCAAAGATTGCCGCCAGAGATATACAAGACTTGGCGAGTAATCCGACGGACGAAAAGATGCACCGAAAGAGTCCGTTCCCGTACTCGCCGGCCATCAACTCTAAGGTCGCCCTTTGGTTCGGTGATATCACTCAGCTATCGGTGACGGCTATTGTCAATACAACTAATGAACACTTCAATGAGGTCTACAATTCAACCATTGATTAAATTAATTAATTAATTAATATAACCATTGAATTAATACAATTGTTTTGATTGTTAATTAGAGATCAGTTCTTAACGAAAGAATTCTTACTAAAGGTATGCCTTTTTGTTGGCCAACAACTGATTTGCTGTTAATTTATGTAATGATTTGATTTGTTTTTATTATTTTTTATTTCATATCGAAAGGCGGACCACAAATGAGACACTTTTTGGCAGAAAAGTTGCGGATCTGTAAGACAGGTGACGCAAAGTTATCTAAAGGGTATGATCTGCCGACCCGTTATGTCATTCATACAGTTGGCCCCAAATATAACCCTAAATATCATACGGCGGCTGAAAATGCGTTATATAATTGTTATTCAAAAGTACTTCAAATCAGTCGCGACAATCAATTCAAGTCATTAGCTTTTTGTGCGATAAATACTGCAAACAGAGGTTATCCCCGACAGTCGGCCGCTCACATAGCTCTTCGAGTTGTTCGCAGATTTCTTGAACATTACTCCGAATCTATTGAATTGATTGTGTTTGCCGTCGAAGACATAGATATTGGGTTTTATGAACTTTTGATGCCTTTTTATTTTCCCCGTTCGGAACCTGAAGAAGAGTACGCATTATATTATTTACCACAAGATGTCGGAGGAGATAATGGAGAACCTGTGATACCGGAGCGCGAAATACGAATACAAAAGGCCAAACCAAATACAATAACAAGTGTTGAGGAGAGTGTCGACCTGTCCAGTGGTCTCGACTCATCAGTCGCTGTCGGAAAGACAGCTTTTGCCAAAATGCAGGGGGATTTGGATAAATACAGGGGTCGGTCGGCAATTACTCCCAAAAATTATGATCCAATGACTCAAGAAATCCAAAGACAACATAGATATGAACGACTGTTGCGTAAAGCAAACGTTGAAGACTTTAGTGATTATATTAGTGCCCGATGTCTGTACATATCGGGTGAAGACGTAATGGGTAGACCTGTTGTAGTGATAGTCGGAAAACGATTCAGAGCCGACACAATGAGTAATGAGCGAACACTCATGTATTTGATTCGTTTATTGGATCCGATTGTCACCAAAGAATATATTGTGATATACTTTCATAGTATGACTCAAAAGGAGAACATTCCGTCCATTAGTTTTGTCCAAAATGTTTACAATCTTTTGGGTTACGAATACAAGAAAAATTTGAAAGCCTTTTATCTAATTCATCCGTCATTTTGGTGCCGTCTTATAGTTTGGTGGTTCACAACATTCAACGCAACTATACTTAAGCGTAAACTATTCTGCATCGGAGGCGTTGAATATCTAAAGGTTTGAACCATTTTTAAAAATTACATTTTTAATGATTTTAGCTTTTGCTTAAAAAAATGTATTAAAAGTTTTTCATAAACAAAATTTGTTTCAATTTTTATAAAATCTATCGATTCTGTACACTCCTGTGGTATATATCGTCGTTCAGAATGTAGTTTCACTCCAGAAACTACAGGTGCCGTCCTTTGTCATGGACTATGATTTTAAGGCAAATATATATATATATATATATATTAGTTAATTAGTTTTAATCAATTAATAATTGGTTTGTTTTATTTCTGATAATAAGGTTAACGGTGTTCGCTATAGTGAAGTACAATCACCACAACAACAAACAAATGACAGCTTATAGACAGACACACAAAGCATATGAAAAATGAAAACAAAAGTAAAGAAAAATAATTATTAAATAATTATTATTTCTCTTCATTTCCCTAATAATCGCTCAAAATATTTAGAATTTGTTTGTTTATTATTTATATATATATATATATATATAAATTATTCATTACTTTAATAATTAGTTTTTATTATTTTTATATGAGAATCGTTAATACTTTGTTGTCATAAATATTAATAAGTTATATCGAAACAAACAAATACAACAATAATGTTGAGACCAATTAATGAGACCATATTTTAATCAATTACTAATCCCATGTCTAGTTTCACCATTCAAGTGATTGATGTTTTTTCTCTGAGCTAAAAGACATATAATTTTTATTATATTAATTTTATTCTATACTAGTTTTCTTGTTAAATAAAAATATCAACAAAAAAGAGATAATAAATGAATCAAAATATTATATTTATATTCCAATTTTTTACCTAATTTTACCATAAATTTTTTATATTATTGATTTTCAATATTTGTATGATAACATTATTATTATATAGAATTTATGAAATTTTTATTTATATATATAAATAAAAAAATTGTTTATACTTTGAATGTTTATTAAACATTTTTATTTTATTGTTTTTTGTTTTTCTACTTTTTTAAAAGTTTTTTGTTACATTGTTTTCTCAATGAAAAATCAGTGCAATAATAATAATATCAGTAATAATACAGTAGTAACAATCAGGAAATGAAAAATAATAAATCTGTTATTAAAGGATACCCTCAGTCATAAACATTGATCTAAAATTTTTTTATATTTATATAAATTCCTTTATATTATTGCTACCATTACTCTCTCAATAATAATAATAATTATTATTTAATGTTGTTGTTTTTATTTGTTTTTTTTTGCAAAAATATTATTTTATAGATATAAAAATAAATATAGCGTAACTGTTATTACATGGTATATTTGAAAATTAATGTCTCATTGAAATTGATCAAATTTATCTATAGTTGTTAAAATCAATATATTTAATATTGTAAGAGTCGGTACTTATAAGTCGATAATATAAACTAAATTTTTAGCTCAAATTAGTTAAATCTTTTTTAAAAAAATTTAAATGATATTTATATTAAAATTTTGATTATTTTGAATTGGGGGGGGGGTTGAACCATACCATAGTATACATGTTTGGCAATCTATTAACAGTCTCTATAAATACTTTAATAATAGTTAATTTTAATACAATAGAAATATAATAACAATCTAATGATAATAATTATAATAATAATATTATTATTGATTTAATATATAAAATTGCTGTACTTATGATTCAAAAGACTATTATTATTTAAAACAATTTTTTCTTAGATTAGCATTCAATATAATGTTATAAATATATCTAATTATGTATTATGTAATGTTTAAATTTATAAAGCAGCTTATTTTAGTATACAGTCATATAGATATATTAGTAAACTAATTAACTAAATAAAATTAATAACAACTGTCGGTTATGCAAAACAAAATAATGTATAACACATATTGAATATTACTGTATATGAAAACATTTGTGATATCAATGAATTTTCACACATTTATAATTATTATCATAATATTAAGTACATTTTATACAATGATATGCATTTCACATACACACACACACACATACATACACACACACAYACACACACACACACACACACGAATTTAGTATAACAATAAAATGAATTAATTAATTAAAAAATATAATTAACACAAATGATAATTTTATTTTATGAGAAATATATAACATAATTCTAGTATATGTATAACAATACGAAACAACTTTTTTCAATATTAATTAATTTTTATTAGCTAATAATAATTATCATTGATATTAATTTTTTATATTTTTTTGTATATTGAATAATATAATGATAGTATATTATAAGTAAATTGTTAATATTAATATTATTTTGTTGTTGAAAACTATTGAAAAAACTATTAAACTATGTTTACATGAAATTATGGTCATCTGATTGTTTCAAAATGTTTACACAATTATATTAACACCTTTCCTGGTGTTGTTGATTAATGACTTACTCTATTTACATCTTTAAAAAATGTTTATCAAAATTTTAATTTAACATTGTTTATACAATTGAGAAAAAACAAATTGCAAAAAAATAACCATTAAATATAATAGATTTTATTTATTCACTTATTATATACAATAAGACAAACACAAAGGAGTTAATTAAATAAATATTTTTTAACGACTTCTTGTTGTGGTTAATATATTGAATGTGTCTATGTTTTCATTATTAAATCAACAGATAGTTTATTAACCTTTTTTTATTAATTAATGTGATTTTTTGTATGTATATATATAAATTAGATAATGAAAAATCTTTAATTTTAATCATTGATTGAAATACGTTTACTTATAAAATGTTTACACCTTTATATGTTTTATTCTAGACTATTGATTGAATTAAACTATTTATAATAATTTATAAATGAATTTTATTTAGAAGTAATATTTATATTATATTTATTTATTTATTTTTATTATATTTTGCTCTATTGATTAAATAAAGCTTAATTTAAAGGAAATGATTTGTTGATTCAATGTTTTTTATTGTTTAAATTTATTTGCTAATAAATTATTTGTAAATAATAATTATTATATGAATATATCTAATAGCCTTTCAAATAAAAAAAAATGTTAGTAAAAATTATATTTAATAGATTTTATTTTAAATTTTTATTACTTACAGTAATGATATTATAAAAGTAATTAATGAATGACTGACTGACTAATTGAATAAATGAATTAAAAATAAAATTAATAAATAAATAATAATAATAATTGCTTTGTAAATGTTATTGTTATTATTCTAGAGAGAGAGAGAGAGAGAGAGAGAGAGAGAGAGAGAGAGAGAGAGAGAGAGAGAGAGAGAGAGAGAGAGAGAGAGAGAGATACTTTAATATATGAAAATATAAATAATATAACTATTTAAATTTAAAAAATATAACAATTATAGAGAACGGGAGAAAAGAGATTAAACAATATAATATACGGTTAGGAAATAACTAAAAAGTGTTATATTTTTGTTTTTGTTATTATTGTATTATTATTATTATATTATATTATAGTTTATAATAATTTAAGAAAAATAAAAATTTATAATAAAATACTGACTTTTATTATTACATTCTTTCGAAGGACGAGAAGGACGTTCAGTAAAAAAATATATGAGTGAATGAGTTAGTGATTAGGCAATAGAGAGTGAGTGAGTGAGTAAATTGTTAAGTAAGTGTTTATGAATGAGAAAAGGAGAGAGAGAGTGAAGAGTGTGTTAGAGAGAGAGAGAGAGAGAGAGAGAGAGAGAGAGAGAGAGAGAGAGAGAGAGAGAGAGAGAGAGAGAGAGAGAGAGAGAGAGAGAGAGAGAGAGAGAGAGAGAGAGAGAGAGAGAGAGAGAGAGAGAGAGAGAGAGAGAGAGAGAGAGAGAGATTAGATGAAAATAAATGAAGTGAAACAAAATCATATTAACAAACAGGAAGAGTATTATTATAAAAATTTTAATATTTTATAATAAAAAATTGTATAAAACACCTGTAATTTAATACTAATAAATTGGTTTTTAAGTTATAGTAATATTTAATGTTATTTAATTTAATATTATAAAAGTCAATTTTCGTGTGTCATTATAATTTTATTGCTAATTAAATAAACAGTTTTATTGACTTTATTTTGTTAAAGAAATAAATGTTTGTAATTTATTTTTGAATAGAATATAAAAGTAATTTAAATTTTTATAAATCTATTCAATCAATTGATTTTGTTTATAAAATTGTTATTAGAAATAATGTGAAGCACTAGTAGTTTTGAGTTTAATAAACATCAGTTTATTTTAATGTAATTTTACGAATAGCTTAAAATTATTAAGGGTTTTACTTATGTATAAATAATATTATTTATTTATTTGGGATGTTTTTATTTGTTGGTTATATGAATGCAATTTAAAAATTTAAAAATCAAGTTTTACTAACAGGTATTAGTGATGATAGTGACAGTACCTGTTTGTCCATATAATTGATAATAAGCGAGATTTTAGTTTATTTAAAAAAATCTAATTTAAAATTTTACTCACATTTATTTATTTGTTTTTAAGTTTGAAAAATAAAAATAGATAACTTTCTTCAGTAAAGTATTTGTTGAGTTAGAAAAATAGTAATTTTAAACTAAAATAATAGTTACCGAAAATTTTTCGGTATAATTTGAATCTCATATTCATATAGCCATCGCTTATATGACATGAAAATCGGCTTTTATTTGACTTTTATTTTTATAAGTAAATGCAAAAATAAAAAATTAAGTAACAAACAAACATTGGGTCATTTTTCTCATTAAATTAATAAGTTGTTTCCCAATTGCCATTTGAGTGTGTTATTTGATAAACAATATCTTTGTCATACATTTTATTGTAACCAATATCCCAAAAGTTCATAAAAAATTTAATAAAATATATTGAATTTCAGCTTTCATTTTGATATAATAATTGGTGACATTATTTCTTATTGTGTGTGTGTTTGGTATTTGTAAGCAATTTTGTAAATACAGTTCAAAAGTAATACTGTATGAATGGTCTCCTTATTATATTATATTATATTATTATTTTTATTGTATATCAATAAATTAAATTAAATTAAATTAAATTAAATTAAATTAAATTAAATTAAATTAAATTAAATTAAATTAAATTAAATTAAATTAAATTAAATTAAATTAAATTATTAAATATAAAAGCGATTATTACTTATAATAGAAATGATAGGATTGAGTCAAACGACAGCATATTTGAAGAATTTGTTGCCTCAAGAATTGTATGTCATTTTATAGTCAATTCAATTATAATTAATAATATTAATAATAATAATTCAAAGGATAATAAATAAAATAAAAAAATTTAAACAAAAATTTTACAATATTTGAATATCAAATATATTTTAGGCGACAACTTTAGGGAGTGATTAAAATAATTTTTTTAATCATAATATTCATATACTGACTTAAGAGATAAAAATGAGTTTAAAATATTTAAAAATATAAGTATATATTAATTTTA